CGGCTAATGGTTTTTCTAGTCTCTTTTTATTCATACAATTTTCTTTTTATAAAAATTAAACTTAAAATCCAGTTTCATTCCTTTGTCAAGCGATTTTAGGAATTTTTATTATTAAATTTACAACTTTGCTGTGGAATCATATTTTTAAAAAAGAAAATAATTATATTATGCTCTACTGTTTGTATCAAGCACTTTTTTTTTTTTTTTTTTTTTTAAATAAAAATAACTGCTAAGAACACTGGATTATAAATCTTACTGTTCTTTGTTTGTGTGTGTGATGGATTCCATCAATAAAACCATTATTAGTCTGAAGTAGTTCTTTTTCAGAATGAAATGTGCAACTAAGAAATTTTTTCTGTTACTCATGATATATGTCTGATTATTGATTAAGTGAATTAATGGCCTCAGAATTCCCCTAGATAGAAAGTTAAGTGAGTTTAGGATAATTTGAGATTACAAAAAAAAAAAAAAAAAAAAATAAATGTTTATACAGCCTTTCAAGTGTTATTCAAGAGCATTAGAACATTTTCAATTCTATGAATTCTTTGCATTAAGATCCTTATTTTGTGCATTAAAATCTGTAACAATATTAAAACACTTTCTCAAACCCACCTACATATCCAACAATCCTATATTTCTTTTGAGCAACAGGATTACCTACATCTTGGAGGGACATGACATTAAGAAAAAAAACAATTATCACAATGGATACTTCCTAGAGAGACCCTGTATCTTTTTGAGAAAAAGGAAACCCTCATGAGTTTGTCATATGAATTAGATTAGCACATCTGTTATGCCCTGCCAATACCTCAGAAATAATGGACTATTCCGTTTTGATCCCTTGGAAAGATGTAAAAGACATCTAGGATGCTGTTTGATTTCAGTGAGAAATAGAAGAATTCTAACTGGAAAGCTGTGAAATTTTCATGGATATCAGTATTAAAGGAAGAACAACACTTTCTTAGGAGTTTACAATATCTTCTGGATAAAATTAATTTATTTTTAGTGAAGAGGTAATCACAAGGTGGCTTAATATTTTGTAAATTTGTATTTCACCTACATTCCTGGTATTCACGAACTCTCTGAAAAAAAAAAAACTTGTTGCCTGCAAATGTAAGGGAGATAATCAATATCAACGACTACACATTTACACTTCCTTTGTTATGACAAATATATCCAGTTTTTGAAACTTGGATTTTTCTTCTGTTATCGATTGTTTATGGCTTATCAATCCATTGTAGATCATTTAAAGCTAAAACATATTTTGGATTGTAAGAATAATTCATTTTCATAATTTTTTTTTTTTTTGAGAATTTTTCTATATGTGAGAAGATTCATACCTTTTCAAAGGTTATTAGCGCAGAAGTGAATTGGTCTTCAGATAAGAATAGCCAATCATTAGCTATCTTTTTATGTTGATGGTTACTTTATTCAAGGCCTTAGTTAATTGGTAACTATGAGATGTATTTGGATTGTTGCCTTCTGTCAAGTTGGGGCATATCAAATATTTAGTGCATGTCAGGATATGAACATGGGACAGTCATTCTCTACACTGGCTAAACAAGTGCAGAGTAGATGGTTCAGGTTTATTTAAGACATAAAAGCTCACCATCTGGATCACTAGGGGTGTGAAGGGTACACTTAAAGCTGGTGGTCAACTCTTCTTGTGGTTTCAAGTTAACATTGCTCAAAAGCTAGGTTGCTAAAATGTCTATGGTTGGCTTGTGTGTGCCTTCATAGCATAGATTCTCCAGAGGTTACTAGTGACAGCAGTTGGACATGGGACACAGAGTTCTATCATAGCATTGGTTTTTCTGAGCTGCATACTCAATGACAAATTGTTTTTCTTTTGGTGGGGTAGGGGCTGACTGTTAGAGCAAGGAATTGCTAAAGCATTTCCTGTTTTAGTCAGATTCTGGGCTATCATTTCCACTTCAGCCTTGATATATTTGATCTTCAGTTTACATTGAAGGAGAGTGGGGTAGAGACTGCATTGCTTGCATCACCACAATGTGAAAGAGAACAGTCTGGTTGTATTACTGTTGGGATGCCTTAGGTCAGTATTAAATGATGCTATAGGTCTGAAAGATTTATTAGAGGTACTGCTGGTATTGCAACAATCACTGGATTAATTATATATTATAATGTATGAAGGAGAGAATTAAGATAATTTTATTATTAATAATAACCTTTTCTATTGCTTCTTTAATGGCAATGTGGAGTTCCTTTTCCAACTGTTAATCATGTAGAATGGAAAATAGTCTCCAAAATTTGAACTCACATTCTATACTCTATTGTAGTAGTAACAGTAGCATAACTAAACAAGGGAAAAGGCATCCTTATTCCAGATTGTCTAACATGAACTTTATAGAATCCATGTGCAAATTCCAGAAACACTGTATTCTCTGGTCAAAGTCTAAATCCACATCAATGTTTGGTGATATGTCCTTAATTGGTTATGTGATTTGCAACATGTCTCCCCATTTAATCTTACGTCACCAAATATGGTAGATGTATCCTTTTCATCATGTTATCTTGCTGAATATATTATACAGGATTTGTTTCCAGAGATGTTTTGCTTGCATAATCCGCTTTTCAAAAGGAAAAAAATAAGGCATTTAGTTTTTAATAAATTTTATTGAATTAATGGTTGGTCAGTTTGTTAAAATGAACTGATGCTTTGAATATAAAGCAATGTATTGAAAATATCTGTACAAAATCCTTTAACCATTTTCTGGGCAAAAGACTTATGAAGAAATAAAAAGGTTTTGTAAATTATGAAATGTGCCAATAAATAAACCTGAAAGATGATCATCATTTTGAAAAATATTCAAGTAGAGAAAATACAAAGACTATTTTTGTCAAAAGGCAATTGCAACTTTTCCAAAATTACTTCAGAGGAAAATAAAATCTTGCATTTTCCAATTTTGAATTGGTAAAGCTAGTCTGAATGTGATAAATGCTTTTTAACAGAACCATTGTTTATTCTTAACCCTCATTGTATAAAATGCAAAGATCAATTCTAGTAGGATTAAAACTAACAAATCAACTGGATTATCATCCAACAACCCCTTTGAATTTAGGAAAAGGGGATCAATCTTACTACAGATTCCTGCTTAAATGCAGAGAATGTTATATATATCGAGCCAATGACAAGCTTAGTTTAGCATGGCACAAAGCAAGATTAAGTGAAATGAAGAGAGAAAGATTGCATTACACCAATCTTCCAAGTAGATAACGCTTGCATTAATTTTTTTTTTTTTACCCAAGTCAAAAGCCTAACATCTAATATTAATGGGGAAATATGTTACCTATTTCACCCACAAGGTAGCATTATTTGATTTTTATTTCCTAAAAAGGCTGAAAGAAGGCATTTCATGTTAATACCAGCCATGTGATGGTTGAATAGTCATTCTGAAAGCTAGAAACATCTTTCACTTTTTAATAAGTGCACTAAACTAAATGAGATTTTCTGATGATTAGAGAGGGAAAAGCAGATTAAAGCAATTACATGTCAAGGAGGATGACCCACTGGAAAATAGACAAAATAAAAACAGTAACTATTTTTTTTGCTCTTCCCCAAAAGTGTCTACATCCAAAATGTATTTCACCGTTTCTTAAAACAATTTCCAATCAAGTGATCATATAAAATGAGAAAGTAGCTCATTTGTTGACACAGTTAAAAATTGTAAAATCCTCCTTACCAAAGCCAAAAGTAAAGACAACCACATCTGTACTTTCAGATCCAAATATATAGAAAGTATTAACACTGAATGTGAAGTTTCACAGCAATAGCTTGACAAGGAGAACAAATATTACAAAACCATTTTTCTTCCTTCAGTCTGAATAAAAGACTATCAGGTTGTTGCTCATTTCTGCCAAAATATCAAGGCATAGCATGAATGAATATTGAACATTTCACTGGAAGAGATTCTGGAAAATTCTCTTATTCTTGCTGTGGTGGTAATTCCTCTAAATTCCAGTGGCATTTATATTGCATAAAAAATAAAGTGAAAAATCTTTCTTCATTATACATTAAATCTTATAAATGATCTGCTTGATTCAATTGATGTTCACATAAATAAGTTTATAAAACATCAAAATGGTTTACACTTACAAACATAACTTCATTTGAATTTCAGTGTTGCACACAAACATATGTAAAGATTGAAAGTAATCCTGAAAAGCACACTTGTAGCATAATCCATTTTCACTTGACAAGAGTTGTGGTTTTCAGAAGTTCTCTAAAAGTTTCAAGATTAAACTTGTAAATCAACTACTGATTATTTGCAAGCATTATTTTCAGCTTGCTTTTTTATCCTTTACACTTTAAAATTATGTGGACAATATTTCTCATGTAAATATAACCGACAGAATATCCAACAGTAAAATATCTTGCATCCAGTTTGCTCAACATCAAACTAATCTCACATTATCAATTTTGTGTTCACTGCAAAATGTATAAATATGTATAGCTTAAGAAAAGCTTCACTTGTTTAATGAAATTAAGTACAATCCAAGAACTAAAAATGGTTTAAAATTAATAGATTTGATTACAGACTGAACACAATGTGTTGCTAGTTTCATTTCCAAAAGTTCCTTTGTCTAACAAGCCTGCAGTACACTATCTTGAGCATAGAAGGAAAATCTGAACAAAAGACAAATGAAGTAAAATATTTGGATGACTTAATTCTAAAGAGATAAAAAGTAAGTTTTGTTTTTTTTTTTTGTTTTTTTTTTTTAGAAAGAAAATTTCTAATTTTTTTTCTTTTTTTTTTTACATGAGGTGTATAAATGAACAAAATCAAGAAGACCATTTACCAAATTTAGTTCATAATGACATGCTTCCATTTGCTGCTAATAAAAACCCCTTTGGATAGAATTGCAACATTTCAAGGCCCTACAAGGAAAAGGGGAATTCCTGTTTCAGAAATTTCTTTTGACACAGCAGCCAGATTGGGTTAATTTCCAATACTCTTCCTACTTCCTTGCTATCTTACCAGGTGGAGGCCCTCCACTTCCTCCACCAGCCATAACTGGTGGCCGCATTGGAATTGCTGAGACCATTGTACCCATTGGGGCCATTGGTGGTCCAATTGGTGGACCCATTGGGGGACGGATGCCAACTAGGAAAAGAAAAAAAAAAGAAATGAGAAGAGTGGATGAATCTCCATCAGACAATTTCAATGCACTGAAGATATTATTTGATCCTATTAATAGAAAATGCTAAATAATATTGTAATCCTCTATATAATTTTTTTTTTTTAGATCACCAGAAATAAGATCTGTAAACCGACTTAAAATAACAGATGACTTCTGTTTAAATTGAATTATAACAGAAAAGTGTCTGTACATTGATAACCTTAAAGAATTCTGAAACCAACAATGAGTTACACTCCTATTTATGATTCATAATAGAAAATTATGAATTTGAGAACAAAAATAATTGCAGTTTCATGTGGAATCTTCTAGACTTAAAGAACTGCATTATCAAGATATTTTAATTTTAGCTATTCAAATGAAGAGATATTTATGGCAAAGTTAATTGCCTGCTTATTAAACATATTAGGAAATACAACAAAATATTTAAATGAAAAGAAAGTGAGGTAAATATATAGCAAATGAATTATTCTGATAGCATCTAGCTTCATTTTTTTTTTTTAAATTTTATTAAGAAAGCTTTAAAAATTCTTGAAAAATAAAATATCAAACTTTAGCATGAATGTTCTTCTACAAATGTTTATGCTGGCATTGTGATCAATAATTATTTCAAAACTCAATTGTTTCAGCAATATATGCTTTTTTTTTTTTTTTTTTTTTACAATGTGTAAACATGAACAATAAATAAGGCAAATCAAAGCTATAATTGAGCCAGTTCATGTAGTCACTGCTCATTTTATCTAACATTTCATCCTCAAATACAAATTTTGAACTATTTATTCTATAATTAACAATTCATCACATCTAATGAAATTGTAGAGAGATGTATTTGAGTCCACATACACAAGAGAAAAATGTCAAAAGTCTATCCTTACCTGTCATTGTAGGCATCATAGGAGGTAAATGTGTGCCTGGTGGTGGGCCCATTAATGACATTCCTGGTACAGGACCACCCACTGGAGGTCCAGCTGCAGGGGTAGCTGGTGGAGCTGCAGCTGGAGGTTTTGTACCACCTGCGAAGTAAGTTTGTCTTCATTTATATTTTTGAAAAGGATAGAGCCAATCAAATTTAATTTGATTGTTTAATGGAATATCAACTCCTTATGGGCCATTTAATGCCAAAATTTAATTTTCTTGGGAGTTTTGAAGTAATAAAAATATATGTTATTCTGCTTTCACAATTGAATACATGGTAGATGATACTCAGCTTTTGTGCATATACATGTTTGTGTGGACAAAATTACTAGAGGTGGTGATGTGTTTTATGGTGTAGTTTTGTTGAAGTTATATTTTGGAACACAGTTTGATTTCTTTAGGAAATTGTAGGATATTATATAGATTAATGTCTTGAGCTCTTTCATGTGGATTGTTTGGTTGATTTTATTTAGTGGCATATCAACCTCTATCTGTTATTTAATGCCAAAATCTAAATATTTTGAATTTAACTGTATGCTACTATAAAAATATATTTTTATACATTTTTTTTGTTTTTGTTTGTGGGTTCACCAATTGCTCATAGGTATGTAGTTTATCATCATACTAAGGACTGCCCAATCAAGTTTTGTTTGCTTTTTGGTAAAGCATATATGTTGTCCTGTTGTACAAGGCAGAACTGAAAATTTTGTGGTTTGGACTTTGTTAATGTTTCCAGTATTCCAAAGAACCACACACCTATTCAATAGCCCCTAATAGAAGCATTACAAAATGTGATATATAAAACAAATAAAAGCTTATTTTTAAAAACTGGAAACCCAAATGGATACAAGAGCATTAAATGAATCCTTGGTTGAGTTAAACCATTTCTCCATTATTGACAAGTGTTATATGTCCAACTGTTATATCAGTGGTTGGATAGTAGGTCATCAGCTGCTAGGTTTCAAACAATGTTATGCCTTTGAGTGGTACAATTATGATGTACTTGGGATGTTTTCTGAATGTTTAATACTCAGACATCTTAGTGGCACTCTCAGCAGTTCGAGTTCAGAACCCTGAATTTGCCATTAATTGCCGATGCAAACTTAGTCATAACGTCATGTGTGTGATTTACAAATCTATTTTCTGATATACATAGTCCACATAGAGCCTGTAGGACTCTAATCTTCAATTAACATACACAGTAAAATATTTGACAGAAAAATGGTAGGAGGATGAGGTCAGCTGAGCTAGTTAATGTAGAGTAATAACCCAACAATATGTAATCAGGTTGTGTTTTTTTTATAATTGTAAAAATATGCTCAAAAATTACTATTTTAACATTTTGTATAGCAGAGTAACAATTATAATGTTAACTCATCTGGCTCCCTTCTGTTCAGTCTACAAATAATTCATCTCCTGGCCCAGTTATTTCTTTGTTAGTCATGAGATGAGGAATAAAAACAAAAAAACAAACAATTACCAGCAAGTGTTGCAGGTGGTGGTATCATTGTGCCACCAGATTGTTGACTGCTCTGGAATGGATTTGATGCAATTTTACCGGCTTTGAATGCAGCAGCTGCACAAAGAATAAGAAGCAAATGAATTAAATTCAAGCAATTGGACATGAAACATTTTTTTTTTTTTAAAGAACAGTTATTACTTGGATCAACTGACTGCAAAGATCCGTTTATTTTCGTTTACATTTGTGATAAAAGACATCTCCACTGCAACCCAAAAAATTAAAAATGGAAGGTACTTTCAAGTCTTGCTTTTGCAGTAAGAAAAATGCTTTGCAGCAGCAAGCAGATAGTTGTACAAATGTGCTTATAATATCATCATCATCCTTATTATTATTGAAAAGAATCCTAACTCATGTCTGCAGTTAAATACAAGGAAGGTGCTTAATACTTAATATCAACTTTCCATACTTTCTCAAATCCCCATTGTCTTAAAGACAATGAAAAAAAAATCAATTTGAGTATTTAGTCAACGGAATCATCACATCTTGTAATAAGAGAGATTACTTACTTGTGTCATCGACCAGTTTTTGCACTTGCTCTTCCAACCATTTTTGATAGTAGAGACGCACATTTTCTTTATGCTTTCTTCCATTGCAATGTGTTTTTCTCACTGATGGCTAAAGAAAAAAAAAAGTTTTGCTCAAGTGATTTTAACTTCAAGAAGTGAAAGCCATAAACCCCCTAACTACATGCTACTGTAGCTCCATAAAGAGCAACAATATTAAGTATTAGCTTCAGAAGCAATTGTTTGATTTATACTTCACTGGATGTTCAGTGAATGTGGATTGATGCCAAAGTCGATCAAGTCCTAAATACCTTGTTGTGGCAGGAATTTAAAATATGTAAAACTCAACATGTCTTTAATCAGTTTCCTACATAAATATTTATATACACAACAAATGCCGATAAAGGGGAAGAGAAATTCATAGACTTGATAAGTATTAAATAATACTTGTCATGCAATTAAATTAAAAGCCATAGTTAGAATGTGCCTATGAAGCATTTCTGCTTTCCACTAGAATATAATGTTTGTAATAATTCAGTTTATTTTATATTTGCAACACTTGCAAATAGTATACTAACCTGGCATAAGTGTTAACAATAAAAATTTATGGAAATGGGCTTTAAATCTCAGAAATTGAATGAAATATCTGAATGAAAGTAGGCTTCTATGTTTAAATTTACTCTGAAAAATTCAATTGAAAAAAATAAAAATAAAAAAATAAAAATCAAGAATTTAAACTGCCAACTGTTAATTGTATATAAATCTGTATTTTTACAGATTTTTACCTTAAAGCAGCTGCAAGTTTGTGATGTTTTTTTTTCATTTGCTTATATCAAAATGCATTGTAAATTTTGATCAAATGATTCTTTAATGCATTTATCAAAATATACACTTATTTGTGAATGCAAATAGCAATCATAACAGCCAGTATAGATGTCAGACAGGTTCAGATGCAGAAGGTTTTCACTATATCAGCTAGAAAGACAAGAGATCAAATTCAAATGTTTTTCTTAATAGCAAGTGGGTATATTATATAAATGTATTTTAATTATCAGTACAATTTTATGCCTATTACTATTAAGTAAGCATTTTCTATTTTTTTATTAATTTGCAGAAAAAGACCTGATAGTCTATATATTTGAGAAAACTCATTCCAAATCTTGTTACCATTTTCTAAATCACACCCACTTTTCTTATGGATTATGTTCCTAATAGAGTAACCAAAATGTAGTAATAACACAGAAAGAGGAGGAAGAGTTCAATTATCCAAACAAAATTTGGAACTAATAATAAAATTTGAAAAACATGTATATCAAAAAACCAACAACAAAAATCCAAATACTTACAGAATCATGTGTCAAGTAGGTGTCACAGTAATCACAATAATACCTGAAAATAAGACAAGCAATGTTTAAGACATTTTTGATATCAAAAGCAATTCAGGACAAAATGTCAAACTACATTATTCATTTTGGATGTCATTCTGGTTTTGAATATATCAGCTATTATAAAATGTTATGAAAATGTTTGAATACCATAGTCAAGCAGAGCATTGAACTTAAATCCTGATCATTTAAAAAGAGCAGCTGAAAATGCTTTGGTTAGAAAATCTATCTATGGACTTAGTACCAGACATTACAAGAGTATGTATATTTTACCAGTGTTCTATAATCTCTTTGTCTTATCAAATTAATTGAATGATAAAGGGGTGCTAAAAAAGGCCAGTCCCATTTCTCAAAATCTGATCAAATGACCAGACTAAGAGGAAAGGATGTAGCTTAGGTACCTCCATGAGATTGCTAAAAATAAAAAGAGCATAGCATGATGAAAACAAAATTTTATCGTCTAAATGTTATTAAGAGGAAAGATCAAAGTATTTTGGGGGTATTTTCTTTACATTTTTTAATTGTTCCTAGCACATCTGAAATTTTCATTAAAAATCTTTTTTTGGGGGTGGGGGGTCATTGCATGGCAACCATTTTTTTCCATTTTATAAAAAAAAAAAATGAAAATCTCAGTTTGAAAATTCTTTTAAATGTCAATTATCATTTTTTTCAAAACTTATTTTAAGAAAATCAGAAATTATGTTTATTTAAAATATTTTGAACCAAGCTTAACTTAGCTTCTGCACTGAAAAGATGTAATTTGAAAATAAAACAAAGCAGATAATAAACTTTCGCATCACTTGATAGGTGATGAATGACATTGACGGATTCCATGAGGATAATTTGTTCTACGGAAGGAGAGAAGTGAAATTATTTACATTTAAGTGAACAAATTATTTACCTCATTATTTTTAAGGAAAACTTTCAGTGCTCTAATTTTTTTGGTTTTGTACTTAGCTTTCACCTTTACGTTTATGATAAATATATTACAAAGAAATTAAAATAAGACTTAAGAGTTAGCTATAAATTAATTAGATACCTTTCTTATGAAATTTTATCAGAAGTGTACATAAAATACTATAATTTTATGTACATTTACTACATTTTACTGTGTTATTTGTATTTCCATTCATTTTATTATTAATTTTGATATTTCATTTATGGAAAAAATGCCATAACTGAGATTAATATCATATAAATTTCATATGATACCGATACTTTTAGGTACCCTTCTTAGTTGAAATTGAAAAATCAAATAAACTTCTCCACATGTGTCTTGCAAAAGTAAAGGCCTTAACAGCGGAGAACAATGCTTAACTCAAATAACGCAACTTAATTGTATTCTGGTTGGTCTTCCATACTTTATAATTACAACCCGATAAAAAAGATCTATCTCATAAGGACACTTACGAAAGTGGATGCAGCTTTTAACTAATTTTATAATATTTTAACAACTTAAATGTAAAAATCTATTATAATTAAAAAATAACAAATAATTGTATTAAAAATTCATTTTTCATCAAAAAATTTTTTAGCTTTCAGAAAATATTGTCCATATTTATAAAAGCAAATAAAAGCATTTGAAATTAAATAATACATTTGTTTTATTGAGTTTTGTATGTTACATTTCAGAGCTGATTTTCAGGTAGGGGGGTCCAATTAAAGAAAAAAAAGAAAAAGAAAAAAAAAAAAAAAAAAAGAAAAAAAAAAAGAGAAAAGAAAAAAAAAAAAGAAAAAAGAAAAAAAAGAAAAAAAAAAAAAAAGAAAAAAAAAAAAAAAAAAAAAAAAAAAAAAGAAAAAAAAAAAAAAAAAAAAAGAAAAAGAAAAAAAAAAGAAAAGAAAAAAAAAGAAAAAAAAAAAAAAGAAAAAAAAAAAAAAAAAAAAAAAAAAAAGAAAAAAAAGAAAAAAAAAAAAAAAAAAAAAAAAGAGAAAAAAAAAAAAAAGAAAAGAAAAAAAAAAAAAGAGAAAAAAAAGAAAAAAAAAAAAAAAAGAAAAAAAAAAAAAAAAAAAAAAAAAAAAAAAAAAAAAAAAAGATAAAAAAAAAAAAAAAAAAAAAAAAAAAAAAAAAAAAAAAAAAAAAAAAAAAAAAAAAGAAAAAAAAAAAAGAGAAAAAAAAAAAAGAGAAAAAAAAAAAAAAGAGAAAAAAAAAAAAAAAAAAAAAAAAAAAAAAAAAAAAAAAAAAAAAAAAAAGAAAAAAAAAAAAGAGAAGAAATCCTTGTGTTTTAACTATTGTAATCACTAAAGTGGACTAGACTGAATTTCTAGAGTTTTCATAAAATTAGTTGGGGGGGGGGGGGTTAATAAATATAAAAAAATATTTCTGCCATGACTTTAATAAAAGCAAACATATTTATAATAATTTCGATCATCTGTGAATAGTTTCTGAAAGTTTCATTAACATCTGACAATTATTTTTATTTTTGCAATATTTTCCAAATTATGTTATACAAAAAAAAAAAAAAAAAAAAAACAATAAAAAAAAAAATGTATGTTATTTTACCAGTTCCGGTGATACAAAGAGAAACAAAGATTTTAAAATGAAAATTCAGATTTTTTCAGAGAAATTTTAAAAAATAATTAAAATAAACTTTGATCTTTCCCCTTAATAATAACAAACATTTAGATAAAATTTTGTCTTCGTCAAGTTTGGCGTCTTTTTCATCATGCTATGCTCTTTTTTTAGCGATCTTGTGGAGGTACCTAAGTAGCTGTTGTTAGTGGAAACCAAGGGCATCTTGGCAATAATGACCAAGGTAAAGATAGCGGGTCAGTGAGAACTTTGACAATACAACCCAAGTTAAGGAGTTGGAACTATTGTCAGTCTTGACAGGGGGCCACACTTATATATTGTCAAACAATTTGATTTATAATTAACCAACCATTTACTGGCATATTCTACATTTATCTTTGACACATACATATTGCTAACAACTTAAAACAAATTCATGAGCGTCTTTACAAATTGAGAAAAGTTGTCAAAACCAAATGCAATATTTTTTTTTTTAATTTACTAAAACTAGGCTTTCAAATAGACTTAATAAGTATTAGATTATACTAGTTATGCAAGTAAATTCCTGAAGTTTCTAAGTCTTATAACTTTCTTTTTGGCACAGGAATTTACTGAACTTAGCTCAGTTTAAAATTTAAAGAGGATGAAATATTACTCTTCCTGGGGAGGGTAAATCTCAAATGGAAGTTGTCTTTACCCAAGAAATATCCCACTGTAGGGTGCCACAAATTTATAAATGGTATTCTGAAGGGTAAAGATTTTCAGATAGATTACAATTATTACTTCAATGAGAAGAGCCATTGAATAGAAGAAATACTCAAGAAAAATGAAGTGATTTGAATCTAACAACTACTATGATAAAATAATTTGGTTGAATTCCAGCAAAAAATGAAGTTGACAGCAAAACAAATGAAATACACAAAAATTTTCTCAGAAAATTATTGAAGTGAACATTTTCTAAGTACAAATAAGACAAAGTGAGAAACCACCTTATTCATGATTTAGTGAAAAACACACTCAGCATATTTTTTGCAATGGAAATTCAAAAGAATATCAACATATACTTTGTAATATTTAATACTCCAAATATATGAACATTTGTATATTTCTCAACACTGACATACTTCCAGCAATCCCTGAAGTTAAGCCAGTCCCAAATGTAGTGCCCTGTACGCCTTTGTATCTTGTCAGTATGATCAGGGAAGCATACAGCCTACATATATCATCGCTTAGGCATGCGCCTTGGAGAGGTTACTCAAGTCTCACCACCAAAGGACTGAATTTTGACCAAATGGGGCACTATCTTTTAATATCCTACTATACAAAATATATGGAAGACAACATTTTTCTTGATTTGTCATTTATCTACAGAAATTTTGGATTATATCTACAATAACAATTTTAACATATATAAATTTTAATGCACTTGACTGTGTTCAAAATATTTACCCAAGACTATAATTATACTGAAAATTCAATATATTATATATCATATTTATACAGGGTTCTGGATACCAACTTATGCAATTTTATTTACTTACATGACAGCAAATAAGACAAAGCTGGTTCACCTTGGAGTTCCACACAATGGTAGTTCAGTCTTACCATCAAATCCTTAGTTTACTCACTGCAATCGAGGCATAGGCGACAGGTTATCAGGAAATGAATTCCAGCCATGAATGCCAAGAACCTCCAGCAGACCAAGGTATATATACATTTTTCAATTAGGTCACGTTCACAAACTAGAAAGTTTCCCTTTAACCTTTGTAGAGTGAGATGATTTAAGGAAAATCTTGCATTAAATGATGTTGATCCGTTTCCTGTGAGAAGTTAACATGAAGGAGAAAAAAAAAAAAAAAAAAGTAATCTTTCCCCAGCTGCCATAAAAGTGTGGGTGATTAAAGCCATCCACATCCTTTTTTTTTCAGCAATATTTGGTTCTTTTGTCTTTGTGGTATTTTCCCTCCATCTATTTGCTCAAACTGTCTTCCTTGCTGCTAGGGTACCTAGTGAGTACCTTCAAGTTCCCCAAGCCTTCTTTCCTTGCACATCCCCAAAATGTCAATTGCCCTCCTGATTGTTAGCAACAATTTCCATGTAGTTCGTATTCTCTTTAAAACTTCTGCACATGTCATATGCACTGTTAATTCAATAGTAAACACATCTTTCCTTCAAGTCTTCTTTCTTCACTTATGACAAAATTGTTCATTCAGTGGCATATAGGAGAGATATCACATAGCAGTCTAATACTTTCCAGTTCAATGTTGTCTTTCAATCCTTTAACCTTTATCACTCTGTAGGTGACTATTTTCTCCAAGCAAAATGTTAGTCCTGCCAATGTAAGTTGAATTTCTTGGTTGTGGAGTCATATCCTTCTATGGCAACACCTAAAACAATCTTGACTGAAATTGAGAGCCAGGCTACTGCAATTTCAAATATATAGAACTAATACATAAAACATTTTGAGGGGATTCCATATACAATAAAATGGGAACCAATATTTATAAATGATGCAGAATGCTAAATGTTTATACTTGGGTTATTTTCTGAAAACATTTTCTGTTATGCCAATGTATATTCAGATATGTCAAACTTTGTTGTTTGTAACTAAGTTACCTAAACAGGTGAATTTTTGCACATGCTTGATTTTAATCTGTAGCTCAGAACTATACATTCAGCCTTTTTACAGTTGATGGTTAGTCCTTATTTTCATTAACTACCTTGACTAATAGTTCTTTCCATATTTCTTCTGAACCTGCCAGCAATAGTGTTATTTTCATACGCATATGTGGTTATCTCCAATAATAAAACCTGGTAGGGTAACATATTCTCTTAGAATCATTTCACTGTACAAGTTAAATAAATTTCACAAGAAAACATTTTTGTTGCATTGCTCTATTTTGGTGTACTGACTCACTCTAAGTCGTTCCCATTACAAAGTGCCACTTATAGATCTTTTCCATGTAGATCAAGCTTTCATATTATTCCAAACAGTTCTTTACATTAATGAATGCCTTTTTATAATCAATGAAGTTCATGTATAGGTATTTCTGTATCCCTACTGCTCATTCTGACATTTCTCATAACTGATATAACAAAATCAAACTGTTCTTCCTTTATTTCCACTAAGTCTGCTACAAGCTCTATTTGTTAAAATCTTAATTATTAGTTTTGCTATGTGTTTAGGTTGATTATTTGATTAATTTCATATTCATTTGTACCGGTTTTGTTTGACAATTGCAGTTGTACGAGGTCAAATAATTTCATAATTTACAGAGTATAAATAATTAAGCAAATTGATTTCTTTGTGGCTCATTATACCTGTCAGTGTTTACAAAATTTGATAGTTTCAGTCAAAAATAAAGGGGTGCTGATGTAAGCTTCATACAAGATACTAAAACTATATGTATTTTAAGCGAAATTCCACAAAATATATCAGATCTACATGAAAAAGTAACTTATGGTTCTTTTGCATCCTACCTTCTCTGGAAGGATTTTCTAGCATAGTTTAACATTTCAAATTAATTTTTAAGACAAACACCACCTTATCTACCTTATGTCGGGCAAACTTCTTGAATGACATGCATTCAACAAAATTTTTTTTACTGTTTATCAACCTTTTGATATACAATATAATTTAAATTTGTCTGCAAGTTAACATTTGTGACCAAGAAGTTTCAAGAAACTAAGTAGAATTTAAGAAAGAAAGAACAAAAGGTGATAAATCAGTTAATTCAAATAGTTTGGAACATTAAAACCAACTATCCAACTTTTCATAAACACATCCCAAAAACATCATTAGTGAATTCAAATTAAATTTGCCTTCTCAAAAATGAAAGGAAAAAAAAAAAAAAAAAAGTATTTAAAAACTAATAGTTGTAGTGGGAAAAGGTTTAACAATATCTTTTAAGCTAAAATTCTTTTTTTATCTTGAAAAACTAGATGAAGATTTAAACTTAAATGTTCAGTGGGGTTCAGAACAAAATTATATATTATATAAAAAAACAAAACAATTCTTTTAAAAATCTTGATTGAAGTAATAAAGTAAACATGAAAATTGAAGTTTCCTAATTTCATTATTTAAAAACCGATGAATGGAGCATAAGTAAACCGTTGCATAAAATAGACTATTTACAATACTTAATCTCCGAATAACAACTTAAAGACCAAAAAAACTATTTGTAGTATTTTATATAGCACTGAAACAAACAAACAAAAAAAAAAATGGTGAACGCTTGTTTTGTTTGTGAAGATCGAATATTGCAAGTTTCTATTTTAGAAACCCTCAACACGCATACTCCTTAATAACAAGGTTAGAAATAAATGTAATCAATTTGATTTCCTATGCATATATAATAATAATGTTTTTTTGGCAATAAGAGTTAAAGGCACATGTTCTTTTAAGAAATTTAAACCAACATGGCTGCAACCTAAACAACACAACGGTAGACAAACAAATAAGGAAAAAAAAAACATGTCCAATAAAATAGTTTCTTTACAGAGATGCTGTCGGACATCAAAAGAACGATTGAAATACATTTAAAACCCCCAAAATAATAATAGAATATCACAAATACTTACTTAGGCATACTTGCGAGAGGTTAAAATTAACCCAACTTCCAATGCCGGTCACAATTACCGGAAGTTGAGAAAGAAACAAATTGAGTTGGATTTTTTTTTTTTTTACCTTTATACTATTTTTATAAATGATAATTATTAATTAAAATTTTATTAAAATATAATTATTCATTTCTTGCGTGGAGAAAAATCGTATTTTAAAATTCTAAAATTTTGCTTGGAGAATAGAAAACCGCGTGCATTTGTTTTGCCAGTGATAATGGGAATCGTTCTCAGAAAGGAAGTAGAGAAATAAGGAGTGCACGCAAGGAAAGTGAACAGAGGAAAAAAAAAAATGGTGAATGGTATTGGCTATTAAATTGAACGTTCCTTTTAGCGCGTAGTCGTTGTTAAGGGATTCGAGAGTAGTTAAGAATGGCGGACTATACGGCTTGGCGAAATATGCTGTACCGCGAAGTGGCCCGAACACAAACCTATGGGGCTAGTTGGAAAGAAATAACTGTCAATACAGGTGACATTTTTTTTTATTAAATCAGAAATTGACGATGGGTTTCGAAACCTAGATACTTGGTAGATTTTTACAGAATTTTGATCGAAGTTGTTGGGTTGATGAATTAAGTTAATTTTAAAAAGTAAAGACCGCCACGTTCTGAGCAACAAACATGCGAAGCGCAAAGTTCTTTTTTCTTTAAAACATTTCTTGAACATTGTCATTTATTATTTTAGTTTTAGATGAAACTTTTGTAGCATAATTATTTTATAAAAGTTATTTTCTATACATTTTTTTACTATCGAAGAAACAATAAAAATTGTTGAATTAATTAAAAAAACAAATTAAATCAAAACACTTCCCGGAAAAAAATGATTTCGTTTTTCGTTGATATTTAAAAAAAAAAAAAAAAAAAAATCTTTCCTTCAAACTCAAACAGCAAACTTTACAATACATTAATAATGATTTTTTTTTCATATCTTACTAAGCGTTAAGGCTTAAATTAGTAAGCTTTTTTTTTCATTTTTTTTTTTTTAAACATGATTTAAAATCATTTATCCGACCAATAACATTTAAGTCTAATTTTTAAAAGTTAAAAGCACGTGTTTACTCTTTTTACAACCATTGATCATTTCTTTTAAAAGCATTTGTGACTCTACTTAGTAATTTCGATCATTCATTATCTTTTATTTATTTATTTATTTATTTGTTTTTAGAAATATCCTATCAGGTTTTACTGCTCCTGTTACAGAGAAATTTAGCTCTTTCTCAGTCGCACACAATAGTGGGGTATAATGGGACACATATGTATTTCAAACTTTACCATTTCAAACATATGTATATCCCGCTAAATATTCGGACATTTCTTTCATAAATATTAAAGGTAGAGAGACTTTTATCAGCTGTAAAAATTTAGTTGTCACGCACGTTAAGATAAAACTAAAAGTGCAGAAAGAAAGTCTTACTCTTCTTATTCCCCCCCAAATTCCTGAGACATTGACAAGTCACTTTTAAAAAAAAAAAAGTTGCCAAATGATTAAATTGGTTCAAGCCTTACGGTCAATCATTTTGTCTTGCCTGAGGGTATATTTACTTATTTCCGGAAAGTTTGTTGTCTTTAATGTGGTGTTTGAGGACTAATAATATGACTGGTTTCATCCCTTTACAAATCATTTACTACTCCCTTCCCGCTATTTGGAAGAAAAGTTAAAAATATCTAATTTGCAAGTGTAGATTATATTGGCAAATTATTGATGCAAACTTGATTTGTTTTTTTTTCTATTAATGATCTTTAACATTAGTAATAGTTTGTGTGTTTTAACCTTAAAAGTAAGAAATACGACTTTAAGTTAATACACTTGACAAACACAACAAATATATCTACCTGTTGTATTTAAACGACATGAGTTTCCAAACTTAAAAAAATGTAAGAATCCCCACGTAAAGTTGAGAGCTGCAAAAGCAAAACTAAATAAACATTGTTCTGGCATTAAAATCAGGTTTTATATTGTTAATATTTGTAAACTTAAAAAAAATACTAACTAGGAAACTTTTTTTAACCCAGTGTGTCCATACCTAGCATAACATTTTTATTTTATTGTTTTGTGATGAGAGAAGGAACTTAGCTAAAACTTCACGAGTCGCACATAAATGTCAAAACCGAATGTGATTGCAGAGTTGCAGTTTCGTCTGGCAAATACGACCACCCCCAAAAATTGTTTAAATTAAAAATACTTTTACCGACATAAGCTTTTTTTTTTATCCTGCTCAACATCAGCCTGAAACTTGAAGGATTAGAGAAAATAGTTTAAAATGTATTTTTTTTTTTTTTCAATTATTGAAAAAAATATACTGAATAATATTAAAATTGAAAAGAATAAAATATTGAAAAGAAAAATGCATTTATATATTTAAAAAAAATGAATAATAATGTAACTCCTCTCTAATTCTGGCAAGTTGTTTAACCATTGCCTGAAAGAGAAATGTTTCTCAAGTCTAGCAGTTTTCAGTTGTTTACTATGTTTTAAAAAAGGTTGGTAGTTTATCTCCATCCCTGTATCAACCACCTTAGTGTCTTTAACAAACACTTTGAGCCTGTTATTTACAAAGGATCACCTCACTAGAAACAACCTCCTCAGTGACAAATAATATGGATTTTATTCTTTGGGGCCATCTGTTAATGTTTTAACTGTCGTCATCAACTGAATCAATGAGGCATTTGATGGTAATTTTGTGATTGCCTTAGACATCTTAAAGGCTTTTGACAAGACTTAACATAGTGAGTTGCTACACAAACTCTCATGCTATAGCACTTTTTGGAGGAGTCTTATGAAGATTGTGAATGATCACTTTTCTGAATCTCATGAGATTTATGCAGACATCCATCAAGTCTCTCCTTGGTCCTATTCACTTTCTGCTTTTTATTAACAATCTACCTTGGAATAATCTCAGATCATTATTAACCCTGTATTAATCATGGTGTGTATGTGTGTGTTTTTTCTTTTCTTTTTTTTTTTTTTACCCCAAATTTTTAAAGTACTTGTAATTCCTAGTTGGCAACTTGTTTATTTTGTTCATCTGACTTAGTGAGGGTGTTTGACTTGGTAGTCATGGGAGGCAGATGTCAGGGGACTATCCATTTTTTGGAAAGCTGAGGTGACGAACACAGGGTTAAAACATCTATACAGATGATATCATTTTCTATGGATGCATTTCCGGACACAAAGATGATTGGAGCCTGGCAGCTGATCTCTCCTCACTTAGCTCTTATCAGTTCATTGGGAAAGTAACTGGCTTGTAACTTTCAATACCTCAGACTCATTGAGAATGGAACCATTCAGTATGACTGGAAAACTCTTTGGATATAAATGATGATGAAACTATAGTAGCTTGTGTTTTTTTTTTTACTTTTAACATCTTTTGGGTCTTAAGTTCCTTATAGACCTCAAGTGGAGCCCATTTTTAAAATGAATTGCTAAAGATGGCACACAAATTGTTGGTTCATTCTATTGCTCTAGAAGTATCTAACTTTTTTTATCATTTCACTTCAAGGCAGTGAAGCCACTAAGACGCAAGAGGTTACAGAGTGTTAGAAAATATTAGAAAAGCTACTATTAAGGAGAGAGGACAATAAAAGAACAAGAATTAAGAAGACAAGACAACGATTGACATTGCATTTAAATTTTTGAACATCAAAGTTAATTGGGAAGCAAGAAACTAGAAGTGTTCCACAAGTGAGAAGTGCAATAAGAAACTGTTAGCATAGAACTTCTGCCATTCTTTATCTTTACAAGAACCAGATTAGGCCAAAAATGGAGTACTGCAGCCATATCTGGGCTGGAGCTGATCAATCCTTTGATAGTTTAACATCATTTATGCAATCTTGTGGAGGAAGACATTTTCTACTATGCAGCTGCTCTCCCTCTGATTCAACATTTTAAGCCTATCACTACTCTATTGCTATATCCATTGCAAATGTTTAGTTCCACATGTCCAGACCTTTACAGTTAGGACATTTCCTTGGAATTGAATCTCATAATTTTTACTGTTCTAAATGTAAGAATAAAATTCTATTGAAACAGCCTTTTCCCTAGAATTGCTTTGGAGAACAGACTCCCACATGTGTGCTTCCCTGAACACTTCAATCTTCAACAAGTGTCAGTCGTTATCTATCCTCCTTATCAATGTAATCTTCACTTACTATCACCATTTCTTCCATTCATATCACACACCACATTCATCATTACCATTTTGACTTTAACTCCCTACCTATTAGGTGAACTTTAATTAAGAAAAAAAAATTTCTACATTTTTACCAACTTTAAACTAATTTAAATTCAATTTGTAAGTTATTTATGCAAGTGTAATATAATATATATTCTGGTAGAATTAGGCCCAAGTTATAGGCATATCTTTTGTCTTTTTGACACAGTGTGGTGAGCATATTAGGGTCAGTTTGAATTGTTTCTGAAAAGAAAAATGTTAACATATATTTGATAATTAGTTATCCACCAAAAAATCTGTATTACTTGCCTTTTATTTCAATGTTATGGCCCATTGTTTACGAACCTCTGCCTTTGTTTGTAAAAGGGTTTTTCTGGTGAGGCAGGTGGGTAGACACCCAGCAGAATTAAAACAAGACCTGTGAAGGGGTGGATGAACCTTCTTGTAATGTCACTTGCCATCTAGCATAATGGGATAGACTGGATAGCTATGAATGCAGCAAGTGCTGGTGTTGACACTGCTTTGCTGGATGAAGGGCTTCTTAGAATTAAGTCAACGGCTAAGGTTGAGGGTTCCCCTGATGGGAACAAAGACTATATATCCATGACCAAGGTAAGCTTTCAAGTTCAAGGATGTCAGCTGTGATTTGACCTAGTGAGAGATGGGCTCTGCTAGCTTTACTTACCCACGGCATACTGTGCATTAATAAATACCTCTCTGGCTTTCAACCCAAATATGTGAAGTGAACTGGTCAGGTGCTCAGTTGTGCAGCAACCCTATGACTACACCCAGTTATGGCAAGGGGGTAGTTATTTTGGAGTCATTAAATTGACTCAAGAGAAAAGATCAAATTGAGGCTAGAAGTAATGTTTTGTTTTATTTTGTTGATACAGGGTGATTGAAAAATAACTCCGAATTTTATGTATGATGGGCTCTTCTGTCTTGTAAAAATTATAGTTAGATGGGAGAGTCCATCATACATAAAATAGGAAGTTGCTTTTCAACCACCCTGTAGAATTTAAAAATTTGTATGTGTTTTAAATGTCTATGTATAGATAAATAAATGACAAGATGGAAAACAGAGTTGTGATATTTTTGCTACCAAGAATGAACTTCTACTTGTCACTATTCAGCTTTCTATCTTGTCATTCATTTATTCATTATTATTCTTACATATTTCATTATCAGTATGGTTTAGCATGATATTAAGGAAAGTAATGTATTGTTTTTTTCTGTTTCATAAGTAAATTCAATTACATATTCAATTTTTTAATCCTTTTATACCAAGGAAGGAAATAAAGCCACTAACATGTAAGGGGGTTACTGAGAGGGAAAGAATCTGAGAAAAAACATTGAGAATGAGGACAATAAAAGAACAGAATTCAAGGAGACAGAAGATAACAGTTGACATTGCATTCAAATTTTTGAAGATTTCAAATGATCTGAGCTGCCAATCTGTGCTTAAATTTGTGAAGTTGAAATACCAAAGAGGGAAGCTCAGCAGAACAATTACCAGGAAAATATTTATAGAAAAGGCACAAAGAAGCTACATTATAATGGTAAGAAAGTGACTGAAGCCAAGATACTAGGTCAGGATCATTAACATTGCAGATATTTTTTTTTCATTTTATCAAGAATCTCCAATTACATAACAGAAGCACCATACTAGATGTAACAGCAATATTCAATGCATGGGTGAATGGTGGACTTATAAATGTGCATGATAGATTTTGGCAAGAAAATTTGTTAAGAACACAGTAAACCAACCTTCCTAGCAGTAGACCTAACAATTGGTTTAATATAGTCATTCCACTTCATGTCAGTAGAGAATGTTAGACTGAGAAGCTACCAGGAGTTATTCTCTTGGTGGTTAGCATCAGCCATTCTAATGGAAAGCAAAAGTTTCTCTCAGACAATTAAGAGAGCAGTTTTGTTAAAATTAACAAGCTATTTGTTTTTTTTTTTTTTTTTTTTAGCAGTGGGAGGGAGTGTTAAAATTAACAAACCATTTATTGCCTCCACAGATTGAAGGCAATTGTGTAGTTTATTTACAAGATCCATTAATATTGTTTTGAATAAATGAAAAACATTGAATTTATAATCAAATTTACTTATGAAATGGAAAGAAACAATATGCAACTCTTATTCAACTGGGCATAGACTCTACAAGACATCTTATGATTTCTTGAATCTGCCAGTTAACTGATGGAGGTTCTGCACATTGAATTTGTTGATCCAACAAGTTCTATAATTATTCAATGTGAATGGTATCTGGGGAATATAGTGGCTAGGGTAACGCACTGAAAACACTTTATATATTGTACACTTGAAAATGATCATAGTATTGATCAGCCAAAATCTTGTAATAATAATAATAAAAACAGCAAAAATAATGAGCTTAATCATGCAAACAATTCTTGTATTTAAATTGTGCTGGCTTTTTTTTATTTTTTATAATTTGCAATCATAGTCTCTTCATCTGGTTCACTGATGATAGAATAAATTCCTTTGTTTATTTCACTCATATTCATAGCAATAATTTATTTTCAAAGTGTTTTTAATCTAAATTATTTTTTTTATCAATTATACATTACTTCCTGGTGATATCTAATATACTTATTAAAAAAATTCAAATCATGTTATTAATAGTTACTATTTTACCAGTTAAATGCCAAACTGTTAATTACATAATGTCTAACTTTTTTGAAATTGCACTAGTCTTCAAATTTCCTTTCTCAATCATGGTATTCCACCTTTTGGGGGTGTGTGAAGTGTGTATGAAAAAAAAGGAAAAGTTTCTTAGCTGTTTTCTTAACCTGCATTATACAGGGTGTGGTAGAAAAACCTCCCACATAATGTTAAGACATTAGTGACAATAGTGTCTTTATCTAGCTAATGTCTTACCATTATGTGGGAGGTATTTCTTCTGCCCTCTGAGTGCTTGTTGTCATTTGGTTCTTACACTGCTGTGACTACTACCTGCTTTCCTACAGTGCTGTTTAGTCTCTGGGGAATTCTTTGTTTTTGTTCTATATTTGGCCTACACACTTGGCCAGAACAAGAAGCATAAATAAAATTGGCACTGAAGGTGTTAATAAGTTTTTTTAAAATTATTTTTCTTACTTTTTAGGTGGATCTGACAGCACACTACAAGACATTAAAGTTTCTAACACATCTGGTGGATATGCCTATCAAGATAGTACCGAGCCCAACTCTGCAGCCAGCAACAGATTCATTTATTGGTAAATAATTTCTGTCTGAATTTCTGGAATGAGGAATTGTCATTAATTACATTATTTACCCATGAACTATTGTTCCCATTTTTGTTGTTATCATAATGTTTCCACTATTGTGCCTGTGACGATAAATATTCGCACTTACCGGAGTCGAAGCATCCAAGATGTTTTGCTTGTTGGGCTGCTGTTTTATGATGGATATGTGCATACACCCAAACTAGATAGCTTGTCATTTCGTCAGCTGCATCCTTTCCTCTCGCAAGTGTGGTCCAAGAAAAGTACATTCTCCGACATTTGTTGATTTTATGCTGCTTGGCACGATTTGTCTAGTGGCGGTCTTCATGCTGATTGGTCGAGCTGGGGACTCTGATTGAGAACGAGGCCAATGGTGATGATTGGTGTGTTGGCCGTGTTTTTGGTCAATAAAAATGGTCTGGGACATTGGCTGGCAGTGCGACTGGGACCATGGTGATGTGCACTGCGAGAGAGGTTCGTATTTAGTTACGACTCTGTTTATTTTTGTCTGAAAGCTGAACGCTAGCTTCAAACATACCGCTAGAGTGATAGGTATAATTACTGGTGTCTACCGAAATATGGGAAAAACACACTGAACTTCAACAGTGCCCTTCAGCCTTTGTTAGGTGATTGCTGAGCCAGGTTAACCTGAGAATTTCAAATTGAATCCTTTATTTAAATTACATGGTTCTATGTCCAGTGATATCTCATCTAGTTCTTATTTAGTACTACTCAGTTATTGTTTGGCCCATTTCCACCGAGTCCAAATAGATGCTCCCTGGCCCAGGGATTGAACTCACAATTACTATGTCACCAAAATCGCAAACCAATGCTTTAATCTTCGAGGCTGGTGAAACTTAAAAAAATATTAATTAGAACATTTGTTCATGAATTTGGTGATATAGTAATTATGAGTTCAATCCTAGGGCTTGGGCAGTGTGTGAACCTTGTGGAAATGATGAGCAATACTAAATAAGAACTAGACAAAGATATCCTTGGACATAGGCAGCAAAATGTAGAAAGAAATATAGGGTTCAGTTTGAGATTCTCTGAAGGTTACTTGGATGGGCATTCACATCTGGAACTTTGTGATAACAACAATAAAGGTGGCAAGAATAGTCTGCAGGTAAATAATTATTGGTAAATATAATTGTTGTAACCTAGGAAAGGTTACTGAATGAAGAATAACCAAAATGGAAGCTGGGAATGAAATGGTAATCTTTATAGAATCAACAAAATACAATACTCACCAGCAGCATGAAGTAGGTAAACCACTTCTAGTGGGGGACTACGTAGACAGCACATTACCCCCACTTACAATAGTGTCCAATGTATTTACGAGGATTGGGACATACCCATTAGTGTTCATAGGTACAGTATATAACAATAATGTTTAAGAAAATTTATGTGAGCTTATTGCCTTAGATTAAAGATGCAGTATATGGTGACTAAATTTAATGATTTCAAAGGCTATTTGCTGCTACATTGTGGTGATCATGTGTTTAAAAATGTTCCTTTGCTTAAGAATTTGCTGATGATATAACTCACAATATCACAAGCTGGATTATTAAACAAATATTTGAATGATTAGATTAATAGATGTGTGGATGGTGTTATGGATAGCAACTTGGACTGAGAAATAGGAGAGCTGAATTCAAATTCCAGTCAAGTTCATTACATTCACTTATATGCAATTACCCTTGGGGAAGATATGAATCTATTTCTTCTCCTCCTTGCTATGGGTTAAATAGTAAGACAGGTAGGGCTCTTTAGCTTTGGTTGGCAACCAGTCTGGTAGAACAACAACTCTAAATTAAAAACTGGTTTGACATGGAGCTAGCAACATCATCACATAAAATCCTACTTGCTCCAGGAACTGCAGCAGCAAGGTCAAGTGTTGTTGTGAGCTGTGACTCCAATACTCTCCAGTGGAGTCTATGGGGTTTGAGTGAGTGCAATGATTTACATATTTACTGACAACAAATACTTAATAAGCAGATGTGAAACTGACATTTACTGTGTACTGTTGATTTAAATTTTTTTTTTTTTTTTTTCAAACACATGCTCTTTGATATTAAGCACTCTTGCCCTATAAATATAGCAAATTATTAATATATAATCACTAATAAATAAATATATGTGTTCAAATTCATTATATAAGTTCACTACTTTTATAATGGTCTCTGAGATTAACTTGCTACTGTTCATTGTTTCATACTGAGTTGTTTTATCTTTGTTTCATCCAGCATAACACCACTAGTGGGAAACTAATCTCCTATACAAGCAAAATGACCTGCAAAATATGCTTGCTAACTATGCCATTGTAACCACTTAATTTAAATGAGTGCATGTTGGCCATAATTTTATTTTTGAATAGAAAGTTTTTTTGTTTTTTTTTTGTTTTGTTTTTCATCACTTGTCATATTGACTTAGTAAACTATTTTTTTTTCTTATTCTCTCCATTCAGGCGAACCACAGGGGATATTTTGGAGCTGGTGGAGCAGTCTTTGGATTATAATCTTGTTGGCTCCCATGTACGGTACAGATTTCAGGACACTCCCCTCTTGGGAGGCACGAGTGTTCATGAACACCAAGGCAAAGTTATCATCCTTGTCACCACTGTTGCCAGTGTTCATCGTCTTGTTTTTCCACATCCAAATAAAATTCACAGACCAGTAAGTATCCAATTTTTTTCTCCTGCTTGTGGCAGATGTTTGATGTCTTTTGACAGCTTTTTGTCAGTTCAGATGTAAATTCATCCTCTTTGTTTTTGCACACATCTTGATTGTATTCAAATTTATCTACTCCACCTATATTTAGTCTTCCTTCCATTAAGGAATGGCTGATCATTCTGTTTGTTTTTTTTTTTTCCTCTTAGAATTGGACACAGAAATTCTTGCCTATATCTTTAGGAATAACTACCAATGTAGTAGCAGCAATTCTATACACATCTATGGGACTTGCTTTGGATTTATTTTTGAATAATAAAACGATTTTGCTGTTGATGTATATGGGACTAAGAACGGGCAGCAGGTCTAATTATTTGTTATTGGATAGCTCAGTGTTGATGAATTTTGATCTTTTTCTCAAAAGCCATACTTAATTTGTCAGAACATTAGGAATAAGCTGTAAATCTCAATTGTGCCCAATGTGGATTCAATGTTAGGGAACATTGCTAGATGGAAGTATATTATAATATTAGACTTTATGAAAATGTTTTACCAGATTTCTTTAACCCTTTAATGTAAAATTTAGATATTAATTATAAAAATAGAAATAACAGCAAAGTTTTAGAAAAAAATGGAAACAAAAAGGGCACTTATACTTAATATCAGAAAGAGTCCAAATTTCTAGGGCACATAATGAGGAAAGAGGGCTTGAAAAATTTGATACTCACAGGACAGATGGCAAGCAAGAGAGATAGGAAAACAGCGCATAACCTACCTAGTGAGTATGATGATGGAATAGGGTTTAAGAGAGATGACAAAATTTATTAAGAACTACAAAGGACAGGAAATTGTGGAGAGCCATGATCGCCATTGTTCTGAAGGTACACAGCACATAGAAGATTAATTATAGATTTCTAAAGAAGTAAACATCCAGTATTATAGATTTGTTTGACCATAGATCGCCATTGAGTAAACACAGGTGATCCCATTATTAAATTAAGTAGACCACGTGACCATGGAGGAAACGCATATATGTAGGAAGTAGTTGATGACTAAGGATCTCTATTTCTATTCTATCCTCTAGAGACCACTATTCTCTACTCTATTCACTATACTACTTCTCTATTCGGGTCACTATATGGATTACTTTTTGAGCGAGTACTATTAGTTATTCAAAGATGTCTGACACCAGTATTGTTCAAAAGTGTCAAACGAGTGTTCATTGACATCACAAAATATAGATTTCTACTTGTCATCCATTAATTCTGACAATTGCAAAAATGAATTAAGGAAAAGTTTCAGGAAGCATTGCAGCATTTCTACTCCATTTCCTGAAATTTGAGTTCTTATTCTGTCAGTAATAGGGCTGCCAGGCAACAAGACAACACTTCAGTGGCTGATTTTCCATGTATTAGGTGATCTACTTCAAAACTGTAATTACTAAGCTCATGGGCAACTTAAACTGTGGTGGTGCTATGCCTGAGGAGCTTCTTAGAAATTGGCAACATGTGCTGCAAGTGCTGTATTTATGTAACCTTAAATTATCAGCTTCAAAAACTATTATTTGCTCAAAGACTACCATCTTCAGTAGGTTTTTTGTTTCAAGGATTGATATGTGCAATTCCTTATAATATATTGATGTTATCTACTTACTTGCATCTTTGTGTGGTTTATTTGCATGTAAGGCATAAGTTCATGTTATATGTTCATTTACTGTCATCACTGGAGTAAGTAGTGATGAGTATAGGCTCCCTTGAGGCTTTCTGGCTTACTCAAAATGCTCTATATTCTAAGATAAATGCATCACACTGCCCATCAGATCTGTTATGGATCAACACAGATGGTTCTGTAAAAATGGTCTGGCATCAATTTGACTTTATTACAAGAAATGGGCACATTTATCTTGCAGGAGTTTTATCATGCAAAGAAAAAGTAATTTCAAGTGCTCTCACTTCCATGTGCGATTGCAATTTTGTCAGCTATCATTTTTATGAAACCTTTTAACCATTACATTGTTCAGGTGACCACTTTATATGGGTTCTTCATTTGTTGTAATTGTTATCATTTATAGCATGGGGTCAAGGCAGAGGGTCAATCATTATCTTAATTTTATTTTTACTTTAATATTCAGAAACATATTAAACAAATAGGAAATCACTGAGCAATAGTTTCTAATATTTTATAAATAAAATGTAATCACAAAATTACTTTAAAATAACTTTTTTTGACAGCAGATATAAACTAGTATGATATCTTTTAACCATGTAGTCAGTGATGTGTAGGGGTTTGTTGATGTCCAGGGCTAACTCCTTGATTGCATACCTGTAGGATTCAAGTACGGGGGGGCATATCGGGCCCAGTACTGAGAAATGTAAGAAAGGAAGGCATTTGAAATATGTAAAAACTGATGGAGCATGAAATAAACACTTTATTCAAATTAAATATAAACTAAATTTTTATTTCATTCTTTGATTGGATGCCATCTTGATATGGATCCCTGGGGGCCCTCTGACTGCATATAGTGCATTATCTTTGTAGTATTATCTTTATTATGACTATTCAGATCATCATCTTATGGCGATCAATAAACTGTATAAAAATTAAAATGAAAGAAATACTCTTTAAAATTAGTAATGGTCTATTTTGTCATAAATACACTTTTTAGGATTTAAAAAGTACTAGAAAAAATGTGTGGTTAGCAGCAGAATTTGAGTTAACATTTTGTACATTTCGTTTACAATATTTAAAAATATTGCATTAAATTTATGGAAGCATGACATCTTTCCATAACAATAAATGATTTTGCATTATAAAATATTATGTTTAGTTCTATTTTGTTTTTTAAAGGTAAACTAATCTAAAATTCAAGATCTTTTTTTTTTAAATACCTTTTAGAAAGGAAAACAAAATTATTCATAAGAATTAAATTTTATCAATAAATTTCTTATGAATAACAATTAAACTTATAGCATGTAACAAATAATATCAATTGAAGAAAAGTTTTTGGAAGAAAAGACTGTTAAAAATTAAACATAAAACATTAAAATTATCTTTTTTGGGAGAGACTTTGTAGCATTTGTAATAAGAAAGACTAGAAAAAAATCGCATTAATAAATAGTTTCTTTAAATCACATGAGATTAAAATGTTACATTTCAATATAAAAAGTGTGATCAAAATTCAACATGATTTTTTCATTTATTAGAAACAGGAATACATATTACACAAAAATAAAGTTGATAGTGTATTTGCTTTTATGATTAAAAAAAATTTCATAGAGAAGAATATTAACTTTAAGTGATAATGTTAAATTAACTCAAGACCAGTTTTCCTAAATTACATTTTCTTAGTGAATTTTACACAAAAATGTTTTTATAAAGAAAACAATATAGCAAATTTGAAGGAAATAAAATAAATATACTTACTTCAATTAAATAAAATAAAATTATTCCAGATGTAAAAAGCAGAAATTTCTTAAAACCAACAACAGCAGTAAGTTACCACAAACCAAAACTGAAAAAAAAAACTTTGTTCCCAGTGGAATAATTTGATTTGAAATAGGACTCCAGTTCTGGATGAGAGCTGCACTATGACATGATGTTAAATAAAGTTAGTCATGGATAAACATTATGTAGCAAAAATTTCAAAACAAAATTTGATTAATAAATATATCAAGCTACAAACTTGTTGATTCACTTTTGTGCGTATGCATCATTTTTCCATATAACGATCATCATAGCAGATTTTCTGAAGTAGAAATTGTCAGTTTATATCTTCTGTTAAATATTTTAATTTCTAATTTTGTTTCTATTATCTTTCAGGATACCACTTACTTCAGATATAGTGAGGAATCCAAAGCACTTTCAGTATTTACAGAAGCATCTTTGACCAGTGCACAGGACAGTAAAAACTTTCACATGGTCAATCCTGGGGGTAGTCTTACCTCTCAGCTTCATTGTGCAGCCACCTGTCTCAATTCTGAGGGCCAGGCAGTCTTTGCCTTTGCCACCGGACTTGGAACTATTCTCTTATTTTGTATGCCAGCACTTGATGAATCTGGTAAGATTTTGAGACTGTAACATTTAGTTTTTGTTCATCTCACTGTGATCTTGAATTTGGATAGCTTTAGGGTAGGTAACAAGGGTGGCAAATAAATGAAGCAATATTTTTTAAAATCATAATTGTTGGTGATAGGTTTGTTTTGTACCTACTTGTAATCAGTCTAAAGGTACATTAATACTTGTTTGTGAAGATCTATGCATTTTATAGGAAGTCAATCTAGAAACAAGTCAGCCATCTTGAATATCTTTAGAACCAGTTGAACAGTATTGATGTCATTTGGCAGCCAATCATATGACACCTTACTGCATACGCATGAAAATTTGGCTAGTCTACTTCTTACTGAACATGCTGCAAGATAGCAGTAGGATTTGAGATGAATGCTATTTAATGTCTGCTTATTAAATACGTTTTTTTTCTGTTTTTTAATGAGACAATTGGAATAAATTTCCTTAATTTAGTTTTTAATGAAAAAAAAATGTTTATCTCTTAGCTTTAATCATCAAACTTCTTCCATTTGTTTTTTCCTCTTCTTTATTTGGGCTGTACACAGTTTTTAATATTTCCAAGAACTTTTGGAATTTATCTTCAAATTAAAAGTACTTTTTTCACCAATATCCTGAGCTAAAAGTCATAGCTTACTTTATCTCACACTTAAGCATTAAAAAAACAATGCCACTCTGTTGGCATTAAAGGTGTCGCTGCCAAAATTGGGAACTTGGTAAGAATTTTATGAAAACTATTTTGTAGAACATATATTCCTCAAAAAGTACCTACAACCTGAAGATGGAAATTACTAAAAAATTTTTGGAAATATTAAAAACTTTAAAATCTCAAATAGAAAAGGGAAGAATGAGTTTGATGATTAAATGTAAGAGATAAGCATTTTTTCTGTTGAAAAAAATAAGTTTAGGAAATTTGATTCAATTTTTTTTTTTTTTTTGTTTTAAAAAGAAAACCTATAAGTGGATGATAAATAGCTGTCATCTTCAATCCTACTGCTTTTTTACTGCCACTTTGTATCATACCTGGTTAATGATAAACTAGCCTGAAATTCTCTCATGAAATTAATCATTTAGCAGTGAAACTATATTGAGCTTGGGTATTGTGTGATCACTGCATTCATGACATCTTGTACAATTTTTTTTTTTTTTATCCTGAATCATATCAGTCAAATCTGTCAACCTTTTCCTTGATTTGATTTATCTCATAGCTTCTTGTGTTCTGGCTTTTCTCACTAGTGAAATGGGAATATGGTAAGGAATAAGGAAGATCTTACAAAGCATTTGATGATGATTCTAAAAGGAAGGCTTTACAGGGTGTGTAAGGGCTAAAAGGAATATTTGAAGAGTGTTTTAAAAGACCAAAGTAGGCTATTTTTCATTAATGTAAATGACTGGATTCTTGTATTTCTAAAGTAACTGGTTTAATGAAGTGAAGGTAATTCCAATTGAATTCAAGGTATTTCTGCTTTCTGTTTTTAATACTGTGCTCAATGTTGTGAACGCAAAGCCACGCACACTTGTATTTTTACAAAAATCAACAATAACCTGAATTTAATTGAAATTACATTTCAGTTAAGAATGTGTGTGTGTGTGTGTGTGTGTATATATATATATATATATATATATATATATATATATATATATATATTTGTAAAAAAAATAGATCAAATGCAAAAAACAAATACATTAAAAAGAAATACTTACATACTCAAATTTACCATTTTGGGAAATTTAACTCTTTATATATCTGCTTTTTTCTTTTTATGAATAAAAGAGAAACACTTTAGCCTAACTTTGTTGGTGTGAATTTCAGAATGAATTGTTTGACAGATTTTTCCTAATTTTCAGCAAATATATTCATGGTGGTAATGTATGGAAAGAATTTTACAAATATTTTTTTTATTTTTGAACAAATGAATTTGGTGTTTTGCATAAATCAGCTTTAAAGTTACCACAGTTTCTTTAAAATGATGAAGCGACCTTATGTTTACATGGTTATTTTTGTGTTTTGTATTAAATATGTGTTGAACATTGAATTTAAATTTTTATCATTCCTTGGCTCATTTTACATCAAAAAAATTATGTACAAAATTATTATCATTATTACATTTGTATTTCGAAGTATCAAGTCATGTTCAAATCTTTTTTCTTTTTTTTCCTCTCTTGCCAGGTGAGGTAACTCGATTTGAATTGTGCCAGTCTTCAATGATGCAAAAGTTGTGGAGTGGATGGGTTCCAAACATTATAAAGTAATTTTATGTTTTATTTTTCATCATCAAACAAATTAGCTTTCACTCCTTTTTAGATATTCTTCAGCAACATTCCATTATTAAAAATTAAAGAGGCACAAAAGCAGAAATAGGATAAACTGGACTTTGAAGGTGTGTCTGAAATTCTTGAGTCATTGTAACAATTTTAAGAGGTATTCTCACTTGTATTCTCATCTTTGCTATTGTTTTCACTATATTTTGGATGATCTGTTCTTGGGCTTTCTCAAGGGTACAATTCATCAATTTATCTAATGTTCTTGATGTCATCAACGATTTCTGTAGCCAACTGTAATTCTTGAGTGAAAAAAAAAAATCCAGCCACTTCTAAGTATCTTAATATATGTGCTAATTTCTTCTTTCATATTTTGGATAATAATTACATTTTTGTCCAATAAAAAAATTCAGTCTTCTAGTTTAGTCATTATTTGACCTTGAGGTTATATCTGTGGTGTAGTGGATAGCGACTTGGAGTGAGAAATCAGAACTCGGTTCAAATTCCAGTCAGGTTTGCTACCTTCACTTATGCACAAATACTCTTTGGAAAATGTTGTAACCTAGGGAAGATTACTGAATAGAATAATTGCATGAAGGTTGGTAATAAATGATAATACTTAGGACAAGAACAACACATGTAAGATTCGCCAGCATTGTGTAGAAGTCAACTACTAGAAGTGAGTCAAGAGAATTCCACAATAAATCTCCAACTACAGACCAACATACAGTATTTACTACTGTATTTATGTGAATGGGGATTTACCCATTATCATCTGTAGGTATGAATCCATCTCATCCAGCTCTAGGTTGAATAGTAGAACTTGTATCTGGAAAAATCATTGTTATCTCCAAGAAATTGTTAATGCAATATTCACTAACAAAAAAAGTAAGATTCTTAAATCAGATTTAAATAACCCACTAAGGGTTGATAAGCCATAAAAAAAAAAAATCAATCAATCCACCTGTTCTTTCAGATACTGTTTCATGTCACATTTCTTTTATATAATCAATGTCAGCCATTTGTCCAAAACTAACCTAAAAGTTTAAGACTATGATTGTTCAGTTGTAGAACAAAGATGTTTAGAAAATCAGAAAAAGGTATAAAATATCTAGAGATTTTTTTTTTCACTTAAATCATCAAAATGCCTATGACTGAAGTGGTTACAGTTATTTCCATTAAAGACACTCTGTAATTGTTAGAATTTCTTTCTTTATTGGCAACTTTTTTCCCTGTTTGCTCTTGGGGCCAGTCAGTGTATTAGCCTCCTGTGTTGTGGCTTAAATAAAATTAATCAAATGAAATAAAACTAGGAATAAAATAATAGTAGCAATAAAGTGTTATAAATGTCATGTTAAAAAAAAACAAGATGATGATGGAATAAGACTAGTAATAAAATAACTCAAATATCAATTAGGAAATGGTTCTTCATGTTGACTTATTTCTGTTTAATTTCATAGGGGAAATGTGGAAGCTGCAGAAAAGACATTGGGCATGGCAATGGTCACTTTGGATGATGAAGTGTTTATCTTCTGTGTATGTAAGGACCACAAGTTAAGATGGTGGTCAACCAAGGTAAGTTTTTTTTCTTTCTGTGTCAGTGATTCTCAAGGTTACACAGTTCTTTTTTTTGGTTTCAGATATTATCAATTCCTCCTATTTTGAACTGTCATCAAGTAATTTATTTTTTCACTATTATGCCTATGACATAAATATTTGGTGGAAATTCCTCCCATATGAGTCAATTGCCCCCAATTTGAGAATAACTACTGAGTAAATGACTTCATTTTCATGACATTATTGCATTGATACAAAAACCTTTAATATGTGTCTACCGTTAAATTTCTTTTTACATTTTATGAAAATTGTATTATATTTTAATTTTTTGTATACTGTTATAACAAATGCTTGTAGATAAGTCAGTGGGCCTTTACATTCTGTTCATTTAGATTAAAAGAAAATAACACTATGGCCATTAATTTTACAGAAAGTTATTCTGCTGGTCAGTTTAATGATTTAATATCTTAAGTATTCTTTATATAATTTTGGGAAATCCTTATTTCAAGAGTGGTTTTGTTATCAGTGTTTCAAACCATTCTACAACCTTTTTCATGTGTGTGGAAATAATATGAAAGAGAAGCTAGCTGACACTTGAAAGTCATTTTGAAAGCCAATGCTATATTCAAAGGTGAAGTTGAAAAGCCTGATATGGCAGACTAAAACTGGATTACACTGTCTGGGATGAGGTCCAAATTACAAATGAGTATCACAATAGAATGAGAAAATTTAAGAAAGCAATATACAGTTTAGTTGTGCCAGTGTGGATTTCTTTGCTTCCCAAGAAAAGATATTGAGAACAGACCCAATGCATGGAAAATATGGAATCACCTGTCTTTAATCTCTTGATGAGGAGTTATCATTATTTATATGTGGACTATTACCCTCATTTTTGTTATGAAAGCCAGAGGTTACAATGTGTGAAACATTGTGATAACCACAACAAAGATGAGGACAATGGTCTGCATGTAAATAGTGTAAATAATTGAATCACTGTTTGCTGCTATTTATTGGAAGAGAGGTAAATCCATATTTTTATGGATTATACCACTGAAGAAAATTGTAGAAAGGATTGGCTGAAATGATTTGGCAGCAAAAAAAGTATGTTGAATAAACTGAACCCTTGAAATCTCTGAAGTTTTGTTAACTGGCTTGATTTTCAATTAAATACGGAATTAATGTGTGGGTTTGTCAGTGTTTCTGAAGGAAAGGTTTACTTGCTTAATTGTATACTTAATTAGAAAGGATATGCAGTGTTGCATGGGCCAAGTCCCTTTCTTTTGCTATGCAAGTGTTTCTTTGTCTATTCTTTAAAATGGTCTTTGTGAAACTTATAATTAAAGCAGTTAAAGATAGCTTTAAATATTTGGTAGTTTTAAAATATCATTGCTTGCTTCCCTTTACTTTTAAGCCAGTCATGAACAAAGTGCAGCCTGTTTGGCTTTCTGAATGAGGAAAATAATGTTTTTTAAAATTTTATTTTTGTTTCATTCTCATGTGTCTCTCAGACATAACCATATCTATAGACAATGATTAAGTACAATGTCTCTTGAATTTTCTAAACTTTTGTTGAAGGTAATGTTTTTTGTTATTTTAAACCATTGTTGATTTTCACTAAGAAAGATCATCTTTTTCTTTAGAAACTGGAAACATTCATAACTCTGAAGAAACCTTTTTTTTTTTTTTAAATAATTTCTTAAAATTTTCAAATGAATAAATTAGAAACAAATGACCCACAGCGGCATATGTAAATTACTCCGGCAACAGTGGTGCCAAGATTTCAATTTTATTTAAAAAAAAAACATCTTTCCTCCAAAAAAAAATAAAATAAAAGTCAAGTTTTCCCCATTTCTAAGGTAGATGCTTACATATATGGTCTTTTTTTCAACAAAAAATTACCTTGAATCTTTTTAGTAGTGCAGCCCACCTCATGATGAACCATATCTCATGTGGCCCACTGCTCAATAAAGGTTGCCTGTGCCTGTTCTAAGTTGTGCCCTAAATATTAATGTGGTTATTTTTAGAGCAGAAAATGACTGTATTAGAATAACTAAATTATAAAAGCTATCAACAAAATCTAGTTATAATGATCACAAGAGACCTGATTTGAAATGAAGAACAAAACCCAGTTATTTTTAAAAATGTATTTTATATTTTGAGCTGAATTTATGAAATAGTTAACACCAAAAAAAAAAAATTTAAGCTAGCCAGATTATAAGACACAAAAGGTGGTAGACGTAAATGATAAAACTGCATCGTATTGCCATTACAATTTTACATGCACACATACACATGCACAACCAACTTTATATATTTAATAAATTTTCAGTTTAAAGCACATGTGAGTGCACACACAAACTCTCTTGAAAAAACTCTATTTCTCTGCCTCTAAATGGATTGGCATTTCATTCTACTTGAATGATATGATTCCATTGACAGATGACTATAAATGGTCTGTATTTACTAAAACAACTACCTTTTCAAATAGCTTCAACTTTATTTTATCTATTTATTTGATGAAAATTTTTCTTTTAGGTTTATGTCATTTTGAAAGATCATTTAAGTTCTGACCATTCAGTTTTTGTTTATTTTAGACTCATGAATGTGTGATGGTTTGTAATCTGTTGGACTTCACACCTGACAGGGTTCAACCTCAACCACCCTCAGTTGGCGGTAAGCTTTGTTGTTGTTATTGCATCATCAAAACATCCTGTATTCCCAGTTTATATCCTAATTAATATTAAAGAAATAATAAAAGAAGCAGTCCATTTGAGCTATGTTCAGCTAGTGATAAGTCTTTATTGGTTTAATGCTATGGTATATCCTTGTATTTCATGGCACCAGGTAAGCTTTCTTCACTTTGAAGGTTAGTAGAATATAACTTTAGTCTTCTCAGTCAAACAAGCTAAACAAGACAAGGGTGGTACCAACTAATACCAGTCCCAAACTGGGATGATTAATGCTGAATCATCCCTCACCACTTCATTGATTAGAATACTCCACCTATACGCAACCATTAATACCATTAGTATGTAGGTGACCATCTTTTCTCTGCTCTTAGTATTTGAACATCAGAAAATCAAAGAGATTTAATTTATGGTGACTTCTTTTAGATGACAGCCAAAGTCTCCCTGAAATGTTTTAACTAGTTATATTAATATCTTGTAACAGACTATAAAAAAAGGAAGATTTTTTTTTTATAATGTACACATGGAAGTAGCTTAGTTATCCATCTGGAAAATCAGCAAATTCTGTTCAAATTGTCAGAGAGGTTGCTTGTATTAATTTTTGATCTCATACTCTATATTATTTCGCCTATTTGCAAAGGTCTTGACACTAGTATGCCACACTAGTTGTTAAAGAAGAGACAACAAATCAGAGATTCGTCCATTCTGCTGTTGATAACATATAACCCAATACTACCTACCCTGTGATATAGAGGAAATGACTTTCACCAATTAACTATCCTTACCTGTTAAAATGCTGTAAAACACATAAGTAAAACATCATACCTCAACAACTTTTGGTAGATTTGTTTGGTCACAATCAGTGTGTGTTTTTTTTATTTATATATATATATATATATATATATATATATATATATATATATATATATATATATATATATATATAATATGGTGTGATGTATGAATTGTCATCTAAATTACACAAAAGTGAAAATAACACTGACATATTATTTTAATAGATATACTTACTAAAATTACGCAAAAATATCTTGATATTAAAGACTAAATTTATTCAATAAAACCCCCATAGGCTTCAACCATGGCCTCCAGATGAACTTGGAATCTCCTATAAGTCTTTTGGATGACCATCCTTGTTTAAGTTGGTGAATGCTGCCATAAACCTTGCCTTCAGTTCATCTTTGGTGTTACAAGGAATTTTGTTGGTCTCTCACTCAACTGCACCCCACACATAATAATCAAGGGGAGTGCAGTGTGGGGAATAAGTGGTCAGATGTACGGGGTAATGTGGTTGCAGAAATTGTTTGACAGCTATAACTGGGTTCTCCTGCTTGTTGCCAGACATAGGGTCTTCCAGCAACCACCTTCTTGACACCAGGCAGCACTACCTCCTCAAGGCACTTGATGTAGGCCTCAGTGTTGAGTCTGAGGCCCTCACCAACAAATTCGGGTGTTCTTTTATCAGAATAATCAGATTTTCTGAGCTGCCATACCTTAACAAGCACCATTAGATGTATCCAACTCTTTCTGAATCCTCTGCACTATCCACAGATTGACACTCAAACACTTGAAATGCAGTACAACATGATGTTTCCATATTTCTGGTGGAGTGAATTGTGTCATGATACTTTCTTTTTTTTTTTTCTTTCTTTCCACAGTGCCCAACTAACCCTACCATACTGTGCAAAAATCAAAAACAAGCAACAGGCATGCATGAAATTAAAAATATAAAATGGTGATACTTTACCCATAAGTCAAAAGGAAAGCTTCTGTCCTCTGATGTACTTTATCAAGGCAAATTTGAATTTTTATAGATGTGTGTGAGTTTTAATACTTAATCAAATTTATTTTGAAATCTGTCCTTAAATTTTGGGGTTACTTTATTGTTGTCTTTAAATTTATCCCTTTAACTGTTTATTGTATTCATAATTAGTGTTTCATTTTATTTTATATGTAACTTTGGCTTTTCTGTATTATTTACCACAGCCCCTGGACACACGATCAAACAAGTCATAAGGGAAGGCAACTGCTATCCTCTGCTCTGTATTCATCTTTGCTTTTCAGATCGGAATCAGGTAAGTGTTTTAAATGTAGCTTAAAGCAAAATATTTTTGTTATATACATTGTTGGCAGAATATTGAAAATATTGGTAAAAAAATAAAATATACATAATTAGTTAATTTTTGAAAGTGTTATCTGTGTCTATTGCCTTTTTTGTAACAGAAACAATAAATTGTTTTATTGCACAAATTCCTATAAAAATAAGTACAAATGTAAAAGAAATTTTTTTTTTTTTTTGTGAATTCATTACTTTACATGATTTGCTGAAGCCTTTCTCTTAAAAAATGATGTATCTTGACATTTTTAAAATATCTTTTTAAAAGAATATAAATATATAAGGAAAATATTCCTAAAAAATTTTTATGGGTTGGCAATTTTTATCTAGGATTGGTGTAGTATTTGTGCATGGTGTGAATAGTCTTAGATTGAAACACTGCATTTTACATATGTGGATTACAAGCAAACACTTATTATACTCGGTAACTAAGCCCATTTGTTGCTGGAACTGTATTTTCTAATTTTGCTTAATTTTAGGACTTCTGTAATTTTATTAATTGGTTGATGCAAAACTATCTGGAATAATTAAGTCTTATTCATATTGGTTATTATGTAATCAAAGGATTTTCTCTGGCTTTAGTTCAGTAAGGGCTTGAGGTTTTTTCAATATCTTGAACTAGTTGGAACCATGGTCTTGACAGTGTTGTATGGATTGAAAAAAATTGATAGATGACATATTTGGGGAATACATGTGGAAGAATTTCCTATCCAAGCTCCATGATTGTTTATGGTTTTACATTGATGATCCTTGACATATAGCTGAATCACTATTAGATTTCTCTCAAACACAATATTTTCTCTTCCAATGTATGATTATTCAAACAAGCCAATTGCTCACTAGTATTATGCAGTCTATCCTGCAATTAAAGAATTCTCTCTAAATATTCTTACTCCAAACATAAAGAACTTTTTTTTTCCTTTTAATGCATTTCATTTTTCAGTATTTTGTAAATATGGTTAACTGATTGCACAAGCAATAAGATAAAGACAGATTTTCCTAGCATTATGCAAAAAAATGATGCTGGATATTTTTGCATCAAGTGTATAATTTGATTATTGATTGTTTCTGAAATTGTTGGTAGACATATAGAGAGGAAGTTTGTGACTTTTTACTAATTTATCAATTAAACTCTATCACTTTGTGTGGGGGCATTTAATGTAATTAAAGAATGTATTTTTTTTCTGTTTCAGTTTTGCTTCTTGGAACCTATAAACAATGATGGTAGATACCAAATACAAAATATAGGGTCCTTATTTGGTCCAGCAGTAAGTATACTCTTCAATTTGCAGTGCCCACATATGCTATGATTTTATAAGTGCTAAAAAAAAAAAATTGGTAAAATTATTTATTGATGAATCACCATTTCTCTATATGATCAGAATGTAGTATTTTTGTACTATATGTAACACACACACATGTGTGTGTGTGTATATATATATATATATATATATATATATATATATATATATATATATAATCTATAATTTTTTTCTGATAGGTTTTTAATGTGAGTGCCAGACACACACAGGTGGTGATTTGGGGAAATTCAATGGGTCCCAACTAAAGTTTCTTAAGAAATTTTAGTGTTAAACTGCAGGTCTACAGACTAATATTTTTTTTTCTTTTTACCATCCTTCCAAAAAAAGAATGTATTTATTTAAATTAAATTGATGTCATTGTTTACTTTATATTGACCAACAACAAATTCCTTTTACTATGTCATAACTGTTATGGGTTGGTTTTGTGTATTGTATCACTTTTCATGGGAAACTTTAGTTGTGATACTAGGATGCATAGATTGGAAAATTACTGTATCCTTTAAGATTTTTATGCGTTAGGGATGCAGGACACACATCTATCAGCATCTCTATATGTGTGTAATATATATATATATATAATGTATGTGTTTACCCATCCCATTGAAAATTACAATATCTTGAATATATTTATTATTGTACTCTTTTGCAGAGTTACCAACTTAATAAATATCTCAGAAAAGTTTGATCTTGTCATAGTCACCAGTGCGTAGAAGATAATTCTTGTACAGCAAAAAGTTAGACATTTGTCAAAACACACATACATAGTATATTGTAAAAGATATCTCTGCTCACATCAGTATATGTGTATATTTTTAGTCAGAAATTTAAAGATAAGCATTTAGAGGTGGTGATTTGTTTTTGTTGCAATTGGGTGGTAAATGTTTCTATTTTGGCAACTGTTTTTATCTGTTATACATTCTGTCTCAAATAACCAATTAATTATGCATATGTGGACTGTGTTTGTGTATGTCAAAGTAATTTTTAAGGAATCAATAGGTTCTCTATTCAGCATTATTTCCTACTACTCCAAACTTCCTTCTTTTTGGGTACCCATTTTTGAATAGAAGCCCTGTTTTTTTTTTTTTTTTTTTTTTTTTTAACGTTGTGAATTATGTCTACCAGCCTTTGCATTCAAGAAACTAAAAGAAAAATGTGCTCTTTGGCAAGGTTCGAATATGCATGATCCTTTATAGGAGAAACCACTGTCTGATCTGTGACCAAGTAGTCTAAAGCATAGCAGATGAGATGGTAGTTTCTCCTATGAAGGGAGAAGATGTGTTTGAACCCTGCTAGAGAGCACACTTGTTAAATTTCTTGAATGTGCAGACTGGTAGATGTAATTAACACTATTTTAAAACAAAACAGTTTTATTTCTCATGGGCAGTGTAAAAGACTAATTATGATAAATATTATCTATTGTGTAATATCAAACAATGTGGCTTTATATATTTACCAGCCACACTGTCTGACCTAAAAGCACACTTTTTTGTCATAAGATAATTCTGCTGTTATTGTAACAAGAAGCATTACTCTATGCCAATACATGTATATAACCAGTGTTGCAATAACAACAATTTTACTTATTAGTTAGTATAGGAAATCAGATTGTTAATACATTGCTTTTTATTTTATGTTAGCTTTCTTGGGATATTATTTTTTACTTATAATGCATTTGCAACAATAGTTAATTGTATAGATAAAAATTTTGGATTATTCTTGCACAAAATATAGCCAATACAACTACAAAACTATTTAGATATTGGCATAAATTTGTATCTATATTAAACATGACATATATCAGTTTATTTATATATATATTCAGTTTATTCTCCATCACTTAGGCCTGTTGGTATGCTTGCGTTGTATTGAAACAGTCTGGGTTCAAATCTCGGTAGTGGATGCACACTGCTGATGAGTCCCAAATAGGATAAAATGGCCATCCAGTGCTTCCTGCGTTCCGTTGAGCATTCTTCTAGATTTGATGAATTACTAATATATATATATATATATATATATATATGTATATGTATTTTTTTTCCACAGGGCTCAATGTGCAAACAGAGCAATGTTATACATAATCCAGTGATGAAAAGTTCTTGACCTGAAAAAATTCTGATATTTTCTCAGATTTTGCTAAATGGGTCAAGCCAAAACCTTTTCCATGCCTCTTCATATTTAGCCAATCTCAACTTGTAAATACTTAAAAGTAATTGGAAAGCAATTGTAGAGATTTACTTGTGGTCACTATTATTCTGTGAATTATTTTGGTTTGTATTACCATCTTTGTGTTTCCAACATATCATTTCAGCTTATGTACTCATTGATGGTTTTAGAATGTTGTCAAAAAGCTTAAATTTTGTTTAGCCACTTCAGTTAGAACAATTCTGTGTTGGACATTCATAAACCTGAGATCTGGAACTTGTCTTCTGTGAAGAGTTGAAATATGAAGGAAAGAAAAACAGAATTAGGTGACAAAGAGGGCTGGAGAGTACATAGTCCATGTTTAGGATGTTGGCCCAAATAATTCTTGGAATAATCACAATTTATCTTTATAAAAACTTCATATATATTGACCTTATTTTTTTTTTTTTTTTTGATAGTCCTTTCACCATTGTCAATATTCAAAGAATATCATTTTGCTTGCTTTTTAGGAAGACTTGACTGACTTCTGTGTAACATCAGAACATCTATGGACACTTTGGAGTAGTACATCAGGTGAACCTGTTGCAAGAATGGCTTTCTTTCCAAGGTGAACCATCTTCATATATGGATACTACGGTTGTTTTACGTGGATGTTATTGTTAATATCAGTAAACTTTTATCTTTTTGTTGTCAAATTTAAAAAAAAAATCATTTGGTGATTTAAAATTTTTTACTGAATCTCTTATGCTGTCTTAAGTTATTTACAGTTTTAATTAATGGTCAGAAGGTTTTTGATTTAAAAAGGTTTTGTTGTGGGCACCAATGAAAGACTGGCCAAAAATTAGTAATAAAATCTAAAACTATTAGTAAGCAATAAAAATAGTGTGAAGATTTGGTGTATAAAAGTGACGATATCATTGTAGCTTTGTGCCTTGGCAAACCACAGGCTTCTGTAGCTAAATGGATTAAGACCTCATCTCCTAAAAAAAAAAAAAAAAAAAAATCAACAACTTCTGTGATATAGAATGTAATTGCAAGTCTAATTGGAAGCTACTTCTTTATTTCTATTTAAAACTTATCCAAAGAGTTTATTATTCAACCAAGAAATTTGGGATAAAAAGCAGCAATATGATGAAGAAAAGACTTGCAAAAATTAATGTTTGTTCAGAATTTGGTGCTTTATTAATCAAATTTGTTTAATTTCTCTTAAGAATTTCATTTTAATCATTCAATCAGTTTGATAAGATCAAATTGGTAGTTGATCACAAAAGTGACCTAAAATCTGCTGTTAACTGAGGCAAAGGTTGGCTTGTTAATTGTAATGCCTCCAAAGCAAAACTGCTTTCTGTTAATCATCTGAGAGATTCCTTTGTACCTTCCATCAGCGTGACTGATGCTAACCTCTAGGAGAATGACTCATTGTGCGTTCTCTGCTGACATGATATGGAAAGATTATATTGAATCAGTTGCTAGGTCTGCTGCTAGGAAGGTTGGTTCACCGTGTCATGCTAGACGGTTTTTCTCTCTTACATATATATAAGTCTACCATTTGTCCATGCTTTGAATATCGCTGCCATATATGGCATGGGGCCCCTGTTATGTAGAGATTCTTGATAAAATACAAAGAAGAATCTGCAATGTTATTAGTTCTGATCTGGAATCTTGGCTTCAGTCACTTTCCCACTTGCACTTCTAACCTTTGAAACTCTCTCCTGGCTTCTTGATTTCCAGCCAACTTTAATTTTAAAAAATTTAAATGCGATGTCAGTTATCTACTGTTTTCTATTGTTCTCATTTCCTAATGTTTTTCTTTTTCTTATTTTCTACACTCAGTAACCCCTTGTGTCTTTATTACCTTGCTTAGTGTAAAATAATTTAAAAAAAAAAAATTTTTTTTTTTTTTAAAAAAAAATTAAAAATATCTATACACAGTTGACAAACACATGTACAAGGTTTGTATGGAAATTATCCAGCCATTAATAATATTAATGAAAAAAACATAGCTTACCTTGGGCTTTTGTTCTTGTTACTCTCTTGGGAGCTCACTTATTGCAACATCTATTCCACTTTTCAAAACTATCTCCAAAGTTTTTTTTTTTTTCTAAAGCATTTCACCCCTAGCAAGGCAGGAAGCCACTAGCATGCAAGTGGTTACAGAGGATTTGGAGTGAGAGCAGATAGGAATGATAGAGGAGAGGATGAGAAGAAGGATAGTGGATAGATCAAGGCAACTGGAGACGTCTATTGACATTACATTTGAATAGTTCGAGATTAAAGCTATCAGGGAAACAGGCATAGGGAAGGGAGTTCCACAGGTGAGAGGTGCGAGTTGTTTCAGGATCACTGTTTAAGAATTTCATCAGATTGAGACTTTCATATGGATGCTATACATGGTGTAAACTAGTTCAGAAATAACTAAACTGTCAGCTGTATGTAACCGCTTTCTCATATCAATGGTTAAAACGGCTTTGAGCAAATGAAACCTGTAGATCTTAGCAAGGACCATCCTTTTTTGAACCTTGTGAACTAGCACTAGGGAATTCAAAATAAAGAACTGTACCAGATGAGAAATCCTGAGGACTTTCAACAGCAGCAATAACTAAAATGGATAGCACATGTAACTTGAAAAGAAAATGACATAATCAAGATGATGACCTTCCATAATATTTCAGACAAAAGGTTAATTGTTTTAATAGAAAAATTTTATAAATTTCAACTGACAATAGCATTAGCTGCTTGGCCATTGAATCCTGAATGTTTCTTTATAAGGAAATAGCTAATATTTCTATTATGATTGGCTGCCATGTTTTGCTATCATTTATCTTGTCCAATCTGGAATTTCCTTTTCAAATTGATTTTGAGTATTGGAAAAATCCAGAATCATTGGGGAACCAGATCTGGATTGTTGAAAGGCTGACAGCAGATGATACATTTTTTCTTTTTTTTGGTTTGTTAATCATTTCACGCCAAGTAGGGCAATAATCTCACTAAGACGCAAGGGATTACTGGAAGTGAAAGAGAAGACTTTAGAAACAACTGGAAACCCAATCCTAAACAGGGGAAACAAAGGATAAACTTCTACTGTTCAAAAGAAGAGGAAGAAGTGTGAATTGGGTGATAGGCAAACTTATAAAAAAAAAAAAAAAAACTTTACAAGAGGATCTCCTTGTTCAGTTAATGTGAATGCACAAATACACAGTACACAAGTTGACTGGTATCTAACTGCTAACCCTATGAGAAAATATCTGTTTAGGTATGCACTCTAAGGTCTCCTGCAAAGTGGTTGTCAAGTTGCATTAAGGCTACACAACTGGTTGAAAATGGCTGAGTATACTCTAAATAAACCTAATTTTTATGCTAACAACTGTTTTTGAATAAATACTCATCACTGAGAAAAGAGGCAAATCATGTTTGTATGGTGTTTTTTATTTTTGTTTTTTTCCTCTCCACATCACTCTTTTAAAGTTTTGGTGTTAACTCTATGCATTGTGTTTGTTTCTGTTTGTAGTGACCAACTCCCTGGTAAAGAGTGGAAAGATGTTATTTTGAGACCACCAGAAACTGCTGATTTATGGATACCAAGCCATCGTGATCCTCGAGATGTTTACATGGAAAAAATCTTCTACCCTGGTTGTTTCAGTGTTCAGGACATCATTAGAGCCCTTAATGTAAGCAATGTGTGACAATGGTATCTTTGAGGTTTGTTTGTCTCTCTCTGTCAATATTCTGTTGTGATGAAATTGTTTTTAAAGTCGATTGTATTTTACTTGCTTTTAAAAAATCTGAGTAAGAGAAAGTAGTATTAAAATAGATATAAAATATATCCTGAAAATTTTACCGACATTGGCGGTTGCTTAATAACAATTTTTATAATGAAAAATATTGACTTGTATGATAAAATCTAATATAGGCTATTCTAGATTTTGTGTCTAATACTGAAAATATTTTATATCAAGACAAAAAAAAAATGGAGTATTTTGTTATTTTTGTATTTTGATTTTTAGTGTTTAACAGATATATTTTTGATTGTTCTCATACACATACTTGATTATTTAGAGAATTATATCAAATAACTAAATATTAACTTTGTTGCAGTGATGTATATTGCCATATTTAGGATGGTATGACTGAAAGAAAGTTCTATAATCCAAGCTAATTCAAAGATAGAAGTTATAACAGTTTTCTCTTAAACATGTTTTGTTGAATATGACTGAAAGGAAAATTTAATTAATTTTTTATTTAGTTTTTCCAATATTCTTAGTTTTTTCTATTTTGTGGGATTAAGGGAGTGCAAAAATTGTCCATATTATCCATTATTCCAAGCACTTTCAGTCACTCTAGCCATTTTCAAGGGGATTGTTTTTGAGTGTTATTAATCTCTATTCATGTTTGACTATATAAGATGTGTTTTTGTGTTGTGTTGTATACGAGTAAGAGCTTTTATTCTGAGCTTTGCATGTTGAGCGAAGCTGGAATTCAATTGGGTGTCTTTCTATTGTTTTTAAAAAAAAATTTTAACACCTCATTACCACTGCTAAAGAAGGTGAGGTTGATAGTAGGAGCGAGATGTTTTATATGCAGGTCCTCTTGCACAGTGAGATGTCTCTGATAATGTGATTTATATAGATTTTCTGTGTTTTTGACCAGATTTTTTCTTAAGGGATCTTGTAAATTGTGGGAGGTTAGATTTTTTTTATTGTGCTTCGATTCAATAAATAACATGTGAGGCATCTACTCAAGTAACTGGAGATATATATATATATATATATATATAAAATATGGTAAAAAATCAGTTGGCATATAATTCAAGTGGATCCTAGTAATATGGAAATATTAGAACTGACCCACAAAAAAGAGCTCAATTTATTTTGTTTATACAGAACAATATAATTAATATTCAGCCAAATTCCTTTATTTCGGCAGATGATGAAAGTGGTTGTTTGCCAAAATTTACTATTCCCCATATGAGGTAAAGGGATTTGTTTGAGATATATAAAATAAAGAGGATGCATATTAAACAAATAATTATGATAACTGGTATTCAGAGATTACTCTGTGTATAAAAACAAAATAGAGGGAGGGACAAATATTAAGCAGTTTCTGAAAACCCTTGGATGCAGTAGAGGCTAGGAAAAGGTTTGAAAGTTGCAGATATTTTTCTCTTAAACAAAAACAAAAAATGGTTTGCATTTTGTTTACTAGCTTATCTGTACTGTCAAAAAATGACTGATATTGAAGTTATTTTGCATTTGCATTGATTATGCTTTCTGCATGAGAGATCCAAGATTTTTATCTATAAAATCAACTCTCATCAAATAAGAATTCTACTTTTTGAATCATTTAAACTATGAAGATATCCAAAGAAATATGAAGCAACAAAATAAAAAGCAATATTTTAACAACCTGCAAGAAAAAAGACTAATCATCAACTGCAAGAAGACAGAAAATGTTGTCATCAGCATGAGAAAAAGCCCAAAATGCAAATTTGGAAATGTACAAAAGTTTAAATATCTGAATAGTGTTTTAACAGAGGATAGAAAATGCAATACTGAAATCTGAACATACATTGGACTAGTGAAAGAAGTATTCCAAAAGTTAAGTAAGGTGATGAAAAACATGAGAAACAAAAGAGTGCTGGATTACTAAGTGATATCCATCCTCTTATGTGGCAGTGAATGTTGGACACTCTCCCAACGATGAGGACAAAACTGGAGGCTGCAGAAATGTTCTGAAGAAGGATACTGAAAATTCCGTGGATGGTGCAAGTAAGCAACAGGGAAATCTTAAAGAAAATGACAGCAGAAAGAACACTTATACTCAGAAGAGGTGAAATTCCTTAGATATGTAATAAGGAAGGTGGACTTGAAAAACTTAACCCTCATGAGGCATATTGACGGCAAGAGAGATGGAGGAAAGCATTGAGCCACTTACATGATGAGCTTATGCAAATGGATGGCAGAACAGATGGTGGGAGCTTTAGAAAAAGGAAAGAAAACTGCTAAGGGCTACAAAGGATAGAAAGTTGTGGAGAATCATGATCACTTATGCCCTGAAGTGATGTGGCACATAGAAGAAAAAGATGTTACCTACTTATCAATGAGATATTCCATTGTTATAAGTTGTGCATATTTGGTTATTGGTTTTGAGTAACATTACATTAGTAACCTCCTCCCTTACAACAATCTCTCTCAGTAACCCTCTACCTTGAGTGGCCTTTGGGCTCTGTATTGGGTGAACTAAAGTTTAAAAAAAAAAAAAAAAAAAAGAGTTCAGTGTGACTGATAAATATATTGTCAATGTTTTTTTGTTCGTTTTTTTTATTTATGAAATAGATTATTTCTGTTTGTCTTTCAGGTTTACAGACGTTCAGTTCATTCACGACAAGAAAATATCAGCATGGGCAACCTTAAAGAAGAAGTAACTAATGCAGTTGAAGCTGAAGTAATTATTGCTTTCATTTTTTTCAACTTTTAATAAGCTACCAGGAATGATACAGAAAAGAACAATTGCTTTTTTTTTTTTTTTTTTTTTTTTTTTAAGTTTATAAAAAATTATAATCTTTTATTACTTGTTGGTACCATGATCTAGATCATTATCAATTTTTGCTGGGTCCCTCATAGCATTTTAAAATCAAGGAGTTCTTTTTCAGTACCTAATCCTTTTTCAAGTAACATGAGACAGATAGCAATGATTTACATGGGTGGTCTCATGGTATCAGATCATTGGGATGTTTTATTGTGTCCTTCATGTCCATCTGCGACCAGTAGTAGGAAAGAATCTCTGTGCACTGTCTCAAGATATCTGGTGCTTGGATACAGTGGGGCCATTTAATGCAACATAAACACAAATAACCTCAGCCACAATAAATCTTAAATATTCATTTGTGATGATTTGTAGGGGATGGAAATGAATACTCAAGTAAAATAGTTCAAAATTCTATTAACCATTTTGTGATTATTTTTTTTTTTTTTTTTTTTAGTTTAGTATATGCTCTTTGTATTTAATTCATATGCATTGCTTTTTATATAGAAAACAGAAATAATGTCTAAAAAAATTAGGTCCATATTAAAGAAAAATAAAGTATTAATCCACAAATTTGGGAAAAGAAGTCATTCTTTAATTATTGTCTCTGTTTTTACACTTACATGTGTGATGTTTTTGTTTTTTTACTAAAAATAGAAAAAAAAGTTAAATTCTCTACAATCTGACTACTTTTAATGATATTTACTTGTAAGAATCGAGAACATAAAATAAATCCCTAGCAGGAGTAGAGTAGTACGTGACTTTATAAATGTTTGTTTCCACATGTCCAAGTTTCAATTTTTGTTTTCTTTCTCATATATAAATATTGGCCAGTATCAAGAGCATGAAAACGAAGGTTTGCATTATGCATGGATGTGAATGACTGTTGACTTGTCTAGACAAATGTTTTCTACTTTGTTTTCTATGCAGATTCGTAATGCTGCCATGGACTATCAGCTTCATGAAGAGGAATATTGCCAGCTGCAACTGGAACATTGGGCAAAGTTTTACTCTTGTTGTGTACAATATCAAGAGGTAAAAATTTTTTTAAAATTAATCCGCATACATTGTAATATTATTATTATATAAAGATTAAAGAACACATGAAAGTTACATGTGGTTCACTGAAGGCAGAGTATGTAATCTGGTCATGTGCTTTATGTATAATCTTGATGTTAACCATTAAAAAGTATAAAAAAACAAGTAGCAGGAACTAAATGTGTTTGGGATGAGGAGGGATAAACACTTTCATCTATTGTCTAGTCTTTCATTCTCTTTTCAGTCAGCATTATTAAAAAGTAAGAACTCTACCTAAATCACAGAAGTTAGTTATATTCTGATGCCATATTACTAAGCTCACTGGCTGTTCACAAACCATTATTTAATGCATTACACAATTATTAAAAGGTGAAATTTAACTTTAGTCGATTCTTTTGACAGGATGTCAGCTGTAGTTTTTATCGACCATTAACTTTTCTTGGAGAAATTCATTTGTTCAAATATATCTTTAATGACAGAAAATGAAATAGGAAAGAACAAATAATTGTTTTATATAAATAGAAAGTTCTCTTTACTTAAATTTATTTATTTTTTAGTTAATTTTCACTTTATTTTACATCAAAGTATAATTAGCTATTAATTTATTGTTGGGATAATTTTCTCATTGTTTTCAAGAAAATAAATCAAGCAGTGTGTTTCCACTATCATTAACTTAAGATGTAAAAATTTCATAAAAATGACATAGTTGCTAAGCCATGTCATACAAAGAATACATATATACTTGGAGGTTTGGGTACCTCATTGTGGTATAATGATTAGCAAGTTTGTCTTGCTAGAGCCATTACAACTGAGGAGTGTGTTTGATCCTCACTGGGTGCACCATACTTTTGGCCTTGTGCCACATCTAAGCAGCACTTAGAAAATTACCATATATCCTTGGAGGTATAAATTAATTTTATATATTTTAAAAATACAAAGAGACAATGTTGCATCTCTATCTATAAAAGGCAGTGTGTGTGTGTGTGTGTGTGTGTGAGTGAGAGACGAATGCACGGCCGCAATTTTCGACGGATTTGCACCAAAATTTACATGCACATGCTCCAAGTTAGCAGGAAGGTCAAAACCAACTTTGCATTTCCCAACTCCCATCAATAGTGGAAATAATCAATTTTTTTCATGCTTCTATGGCAGTTTTCATGTAGTTTGCAGCCATTTTGTACTGGCCAGAGTGAGAGCCAATAGCTGGCTGCCACGAATAGGCAGGAAGATTCTATTGGCCAGCGTGAGAGCCAACAGCTGACTGACACAAATGTTAACTAGCATGCTAGCATGCAAAAATAATCGATAGCTGCATTGATCACAAGTGGGAAAAATTTATTGGCTCATTCGCTTGCTTAAACTTAATGTTGATTCTGATTCCACAGAACTGGGTTGGGTGTGAAAAAGTATTTGTTGTTAACATTCTTTTTTCATTCGGTTTTTCCAGTTATGAGTCCTTTTTTAAAGCTGATCGTTTTGTGTTCATTTTTTGTAACAGATTTAATGTTAGTATAGAGCTTAGAAAAAATTTGCAGTGTGAGATAGGCAAGAAGTAAGGCATGTAGCAACATCAGCACGGCAAAGGGTACTCCTTTAAAGGCAAGGAAGAGCAAAAATATTTTAAGTCAAGTGATAGCGATTGCTGTATGAGTCGTACGATTTTTGAATCAAGCACGGGCAATGCCGGGCCATGCTGCTAGTTTGTAATAATTCTCAGAATTTATAAAAAAAACTTTTTTTTTTTTTTTTTTTTTTAAATGGTCCCTGTATAGTATGTGCTTTTTTTTTTTAGATTGTTGTCTTTGTTAGTGTAATAGATGTGACAGTGACTTACCAGGAGCAAAACGTGTGTTGAACCATTCTCTGAGAGTCAGTCGCGTATGCGTACGCCTACTGCCATTCATAAAGGACGAGACAGCAGAGAGGGAACCAGTCGTCGCTGCGGTGCAGCCCTCCCAGACTCCTCGATCTTCCCCAGACATGGGCCCACTTGTCACATGCTATGAATGTAATGGGCCCAATCACTTCGCGAGGGACTGCGTGAAGAGGCGAAGGGCAACTAATGTGCATTGCTATCAATGCAACAAGACCGGTAACCTGGCCAAAAATTGTCCGGGAAACGGAGGCAGGGACGAGACTTCAGCGCCGGTCCACTCCCCAAACAGCAAGTAAACTCAGTGCTACCCATCATTACTGTGTGTGTTGACGGCACACCATGCTTGGCTCTCCTTGACTCTGGGTGCTCACGGTCAATCTTGAGCGCGAGTTTGTCGGTCTTGGTCGAAGCAGGGTATGGCAGTATCTACATTAATCGGAGCTACGCAGGCTTGCTGTGGAAGGGGCACCGTCAGAATTTGAACAGCAACCGGTAATACTGCTACAAACGATGTGCTGGTTATGCGAGGGAAGCCCCTGGATTTTGACCTGTTGCTTGGCATTGACGCCATTAAGGCACTCGGTGGAGTTCACATCACGCAACATGGAAGCGTGGAGTTTGAAAAACCACGGTCCGTCTGTGCAGCGATTCGTATCAGCGAAGCCGATTTCAGTGCAAAATTCAATGAACGGCGGGGAGTTTGGGTCGCAGCCTGGAAGTGGTCGGCAGGTCATGCACCAGGGAAACTTCAGAATCGGATCTCTGAATATCCAGTATCCAGCAAGATGAGAGAAGAGCATGAATTGCAAACATGGATGGACAATGGTTGGTTGATGCTGTACAGTAACAAGGAGTTTGGCCCGCCTAAGGGACTGATACCACTGATGGCCGTGCTGCAGACCAACAAGCATAAGGTGCGTTCTGTGATGGACTATCAGGAACTGAATACCTACGTTGAAACATTCACAGGTGCCACGGATGTTTGCACAGAAAAACTGCAAGACTGGAGACAGCAGGGTGCGAATGTGTCCATTCTGGACCTCAGGAAAGCATATCTACAGATTCATGTTGAAAAATCCCTGTGGCCATATCAAACAGTTATGTTTAAAAGGAAGCGATATTGTTTGACCAGGCTGGGGTTCGGCCTGAATGTGGCACCCCTGATAATGTGAGCTGTGCTCAAGGCTGTGTTAGCACAGAATGAAACTATAAATAGAGCAACGTCAGCATATATTGACAATATATATATCAACGAGGATGTGGCGTTGGCGGAATCTGTGAGGAAACATCTCGAGCTCTACGGACTGACGAGCAAGGATCGACTGTGATGGCGGCGAGAGAGTAGAATGGTAAACGGCCCTATGACTATGACATGGAGAGGTATTTTCTCCATGTGTGGCCAGCTGGTGGAACACTTCCCTGTGTGTGGATGGCTGCGAGTGGCGACAGGCTTCATCAAACGTCGAGCCACTGCCGTAATGCAAAACTGGGACGACAAAATTTGTGATGCTCCCCTGGAACGTATGATAACAGACACCCTCGCCCGGGCTCAGCAACTGGATCCCGCACAGGGAGAATGGTGTGTGAATATGAAGGAGCTAGATGTATGGGCGTACGCGAGTTCGCTGGCTGTAGGAGTAGTGCTCGAGGCTAAGGGAGCCATCATCGAGGATGCATGCTGGTTACGGCCGATAAAAACACCCAGCATATCAATGTGGCTGAACTGGATGCCTCTGCGTGTACCATTGGGTGACTAATGCCCTTACGGGAGAGTCTTGGCTGAACACCAAGGCTGCTCGCGAGATGCTCATAAGGCGGCGACTTGAAACTCTAACTTCTCTTGTGAAAGAGTGTAAACTTTCGGTTGACATAGCGCTAGTTAGATCCAACCAGAACCGAGCTGACTTGCTGACTAGAGTTCCCCAGAGGTGGTTCAACAATGTGAAGGAACTCGAACCTGTTCAATCAGTATGTGCTTTTGCCGTAGGAAACCCAAGCCCTGCTCAGTTAACTGAGATTCATCGACACAGCGGGCACCCTGGAGTTAAACGGACACTATATTTCGCACATAGGATCAACCCGTCCGTGTCGAAAGCAGCAGTGAGATCGGTCGTTTGGAGTTGTGAACAGTGTTAGTCAATAGATCCAGCTTCTGTGCGATGGCAGAAGGGAGAGCTCAGTGTGTGTGTGTGTGAAACTTGGAGCCGTCTAGGAATGGACATCGCACACTATAAAGGTCGCCATTTTTTGACTCTGATTGATTGTGGCCCCACACGGTTTTCGATCTGGTGGCCGCTAGTTCGGCAAGACGCTGCACACGTAATCTAGCAATTGGAGTCGGTGTTTTTTTAACGTGGTGCCCCAGTGGAGATCCTGGCTGATAATGACACAGCATTCCGCAGTCAGCAATTCAAACAATTCACAGAAGAATGGGGCGTCCGATTCCGACCGTGCTGCGCGTACAAACCATCTGGAAATGGTATCGTAGAGAGGTGTCATCGGACAATCAAACGGATTGCTGCACGAAAGAGCTGCTCTATTATGGAGGCCATGTATTGGTATAACATCACACCCAAGGATGACGATTCTGCCTCTTCTGCGCCCGCCAATCTGCTGCATTTGTACAAAATTCGAATAAAATGAATTGACGTTGTGCCCTCGCCTAACCAGGCGACTTCGACTCGGTATAAAGGAGACGCAATTTGGGTAAAAAATCCGCACGGACGCTGCACGTCAAAGTTTGTGAAAGGTTGTGTCACGGGGATAAACAGTCCACAGTCGGTAGTCATCGATGGGATACCGCGGCACATGGGAGATGTACATCCACGACTCACTTCATTGTTACCAGCGGATGATGGCGGTGACACAACATCAGGGAGTCATGAATGGCAAGAACCAAGTTCCAGTGCAAGCAGCAGCGACACCCCATCTGAAAGCGAGAAAGAAGTAGACTTGATCCTTATTGATCCCCCGGAATATGATTCAGACCAGGACACATCTGACGATTCAGCTGGGGAGGAAGACATGGTTATACCACCGCAAAGGAGTGCAAGGGTGAAACGACCAGCCCCTCACTGTCACTTATGTGATCATACGATCAGGGGGGAGTGTAATAGATGTGACAGTGACTTACCAGGAGCAAAACGAATTTGCTGCCTCGCGTGTCAAACTATTCTCTGAGAGTCGGTCGCGCGTGCGTACGCCTACTGCCATTTTTATGCAGCAGACTTATTTGCATAAGAGAACAACGCTACCTATTAAAAACCAGGCGAGTAGACATGGGGGAGCACGGCTCTTCTAGGCTTCGGTGAGACTAGACGTATTGCTGAAAGAAAGCGACATCAATTTCTGGACATCTGACAGTTTCAAATGCCTCAACAGAAATAATATTTAATGATTCCAGCATTCCAGATGTTTCTAATCTTTTGGTTACCTGTTTCAGCCAGTATATACTCTATGCTTCCTCAGGTTTGATCTGACGGTCTTTAGAAGTGAGTTAGTATTTTCCTTTAATGGAAGATCACTGTCTATTTCTTATTAAGGTATTGGTGTTTTGTTGACTTCTATTCTTGGCAGTATTTAACTAATTCAGTGCCAGTGCTACAGTCATGAAACCATAATGGAAAGTCTTAAAGAGAAGGAAGCTGAATTATTTGTTTAACAGTTAAAGACCTCCCCAAAATATCAGAGGTTAACACTAGGCCATTTGGAACACTTTGATTAAAGAAAGACCTTTCAGTTCACAATCTCAGAAAAACACTGGTCCAAGTATTTAAAATTTTACGATTATAGGTTCTGTCATCATACATATCATAATTTTATTTTGTCAGCAATATTAGCCAAAATACCTAACAACAATAATGGATTTTTATAATATCATTTACAAAGATTTTCTATGATAAAATTATTTTCAATGCTTTATTATACGTACAATAGTTGTATTCTGTCAGTAAAACTTGCATCAATTCCTGGCCACTGGCAATCCTTTTTCTGATTTTTCAGTATGCATATTGAATGTTAAAAATTAATAAACAAATTTTATGTTAAAAAATTGGAAATATTTGGTGCTAAAGTAAGACCTTTTTTTTGTTTTGCCTTATTTTGTTAGTACAGAAAATGCATAAAACTAATTGAATGATTGATGGAGTAACAGTAAAGTCAGTGGATAATGATTAGTAAAAGTAAAACCTTGTTTACATATATTAGATTCCAATTAAACCAGCATTACACATCAACTATAACTATTGTTTATTTTCCAACTACCAGAATTGGCTATACTTATAGGCATAAGTAAATGAAGGTTTTAACACATTTGTTCATAAATCTTACTCATAATATCACAAGTTATATAAGCAGGAAGTTTACTTGAGGGGGATATTCACTATTGTGATGAAATGGATTCAATGTTGTAAAATTCTGTACTCCTTTTGGCAATAATAGTATATCTGTACTACCAAGTTAGTAGTTTTATAATTTCGGTCTTTAAAAAAAACAAAACATGGTAGACTTGTATTAATGTGTTTTTTTTTTATTTTTTCCCTCAGGTCGATTCAAAATGTCTTGGGTTGTTTGCTGATAACCAGTCTGGCTTAGTTTGTTGCATCCGAAAGGTAAGTTCAATAAGCATTGTTTTTTTTTTTTTTAGCCAGATCATTTGGGAATTGGTAAATAGATATTTTTTTAAAATAAAATTATACCATGCATCTTTCATGCAATAAGGTATATAGTTTTGTTAGATTCAAATGACCAGCTCTGTCTGTTTTTTAAAATTTTTCTAATTTTCGAATAAGATGTACATTGGGATTAAAATTGTTAATGAACTGTCTTAAGTTCATGTTTTACTCTCTTCAAGCATTTTTGACCATCTCAGTCATTATTCAGAACTGTCTGTCATCAGTCAGTGAGGTAACAGAATTTTATAAGCTACATCCTGGAATTTGAAACCGTCCAAAGCGATGTCATATGTAATTGTTGAAGCAAGCTAGACCACAGTGGAAAAGCATATATCAAATATTTATATGTATTATTATTTTATACACACACAATCATTTTTTTTTTTTTTTTTTTTAATAGAAAATAAAGGTATTATATTTCCGAGATGTTATTAATTTATGCAGCAATTACTATATATTAAATTTATTTTTCCTCTTTCAATGTCGACATGCTTTTCTTTTCTGCTTTTTGTAACAAACAAAAACCAAATCATTAATAATGGGGTGAGTGTGAACAAAAACCCCTCATTATCAAGTTACAAATGGAACTTGAACTGCTTCCTTTTTTAAGTTAGACCATTTTTAAAAAATTTTTTGTGTTAATAAAAATCCTGCTACAATGTTTTGTTTTAGCTGTTTTACAGTAACAAAAATGCTTACAGATTGAATCAAAAGAAAAAAAATACTTGTTTATCTATTAGCTGTCTGCAAAAGTTTTCAATGCTAAATGAGGTTGTCTTTTGTTTGTTTTTCTTTTTCCTTTTTTAATTGCTTGGAACTTTTGCATCTCTTAATATTTTGACAAATTAGTGGCAGGTAAGAATTATAAAAGAGTTTTCTACATAGACATTTATAGGTTCTTTAGTTCATGTAACAAAATACTAATTTATGATATTTCATCCTTTTTTCTATTTACAGAGCCATTTGACTTACTTTTGTCCCTGTGACCTTATAGATGAGTTGTATTTAACTGATGGCAGCCCTGCTGCAGCTACTACCCTCCTTGAGTCAATTGGTGACTCTGCTGGTAATGTAACCATTTTGTTGCAATGATCCCCAAATTCACAATTTTAATAAGCCACTCTTGTATTCCATTGTGATAATTCTTTAAAAACATTAATTTATCCTATTTTTTTTTCAATAGGAATAGATAGGTTTGCCTATCATCTGGTTCACACTGCTCCATGGTCTTTTGAACAGGAATTTATTCTTTTGTTTCTTGTTTCGTATTGGGCTTCCGATTCCGTCTCAAGTTTTATTCTCTTTCACTCCCAGTAACCTCTTGCATCTTAGTAGCATTATTGCTTTGCTTGGGGTGAAGTGATTAAAAAAAAGAAAATATATAAAAAATGCTTGATTAGTATTTTGCCCTACTCTTTTTCTTCCTTATTATTTAATTTAAAACTTTGTCAATTTTGTTTGAGCATTTTTGCCAATTACACTACAAAAAAATTTTAGTCAAGATTAATATCAGTTTGGATGATACTAATAAAAACAAAACCTGGTAATGATGTATTTCTCACTTGTTATTTTTAAAGGTTTGTCTTTTTAAGGAAACTCTATTTGTTTCTGGATTTCTTTTATGGATTGTTTCATTTCTGGGTTTACTTTGCTTTTCAGAAGGTCATAATGTAACTGATTTGCTTGCTGTATGTCAGTGCCTTCGCCTGATCGCAGATCACATCAGTGAGGATCTTGGAAGCCAGTTAGAACACAAAGCTACTGTTTCTCAGGATCTTGAAGAGGCAGCAGGCAGTTTAGTGGATTCTTGGTAAGAACAGGTTTAAAGATCAGCTTCAGTTATTGATATATAGATAATAATTATTTGGTTTTGTATAGTTTGTTTATTTAATGCATATTTTGACTAATTTTCATTTTTTTAAAAAAAATTTTTTTTTATTACAACATATTTTATCTGATCCACTTCTCAGAGATTAAACTGCAGAATTTCTGCAGTAAACAATTATTTCTTCCTTCTTATCTAATTTGTGCATATATACACATGGAAAAACATTTGTGTCTCTGTGTCGGCCAAAGACATACATTTCCTTATATAACGAGTCACAGGAAGTGATGAAATATTCTAAGTTGGTTTTGTTAGATGCCCCATGAAGTAGCAATAGATATTAAAACACTGAAATAGAGATTTAAATTTTTTTCTCCTATCAAATTTTATCTTGTGTTTCTTTCAGTCTAGCTCTGGATGACCTCCTGATGGATGACCTGAATATGTACCTTGAAAGCATTCATGATTTGGTCAAGGTTGTTGATGTTATTGCTGCACATTTGAACCTCAGCTCATTACACATTGATAATATCAGTTTGAATGAATCAGCAGGTGAGCCTGATTAATTTCCACCTTTTCTTCATATATAATGTAGACACAGTGTCTAAAATATCTATAGATTGTCTTTAACAGCATATATTTATATTGCTTGAAAATGAATGCTATAATAAATTTTATAAAACCCATTAAAAATGTATGCTTAATGTTTTATTTTAAAGATTAAAGAAAAAATATTAAATTGTAAGCTAATAAACTCTGTGTATTTATGTGCTTATAATTACTTATTTTTCAACTAATAAGCTGAATATCTGTCCTACAGGCAGAGAAAAATAAATTGTGAAGAAGTTCTTACCTCGAAATTTCTGTTTCAATAACATTTTTGGCAAGACATCTATTTTTTAAAGTTCTTTTTGACATTATGCTAAGTTCTTTTGAATTTCCTACTCTAGACATAACTGCATAGAGCTGACCATGAGAAAACTGTTTGAATAATTTTCTGTTCTTATTAGATTTTTTTTTCTTTTTTAATCATTTCACCCCAAACCTTTCACCTAAGATGCAACGGATTACTGAGAGTCAAAGAGAATGAGAAGATTTTACCAGAATTAATTTAGCAAACCTACTATTTTTTTCACTTGTTTAAATAATTCAATAAAGTTTTAAGAAAATCTAATGAAACATTATTTTGATTTTAGATAATTCCTTTAACTTTTTTCAGTTCTGCTTGATTTATTTCTAGTAATGTTGAACGTTAGATGATAATATGAATGCTGCAATAATTACAATCTTATGATTGTAATTAATGTTGCCAGACCTAAAATCATAGAATCCTATAAATAATTTTAATATTTTTAAAAATTATTTACTGGATGTCTGCTTCTTTAAAAAAAAAAAAAAAAATAATAATAAGCTGTTTTTAGAAACAAAGATTACATTTATTTAATGCTTTCTTTAAACATAATATTTCTTCTAACCTAAACTAATTTTTTTGTAAGACATATAAATTCTCTCTGTACAAGCATGAATTTAAAAATAACTTTGACATAAATATTGCTTATATATATATATATATATATATATAGCAAATTTAAAAATAGAAACTAAATTCCAACCACTATTTTTGTATGCTTTCTAGAGGAAAGATCTAAAACCAAACACTGATTTTCCGGCACAAGCTGGTGGTATATTTTTGCTGCCATAAAAGCTGGAAATAAATATTTTTATTTAAATTTGTTTTAAAAAGCATCTCCTGCCCCTGATCCTTCATTAGACAACTTGGCATGTTGGCACATATTGAATATGTACACATTTTTTGTATTAAATGTTATAATCTTTTTTTTTCTCAAGTAATGGTGGCTCAGTTTGACTGGGCTCACTTGTTTGCCGGTAGTTGTGGGACGTCAGTGATTATTGCCCACATGGAACATTTTGTCAACACCCGTTTCAATGCATCTCGAGACCTCCTCCTCCTCCTGCTTGTTGCTGTTCGATTTGGGGAACAGGCTCGTTACAGTGGAGGTGGTTGCTGGCTCCTGCAGACAAAGCTCATTCCACAGGTGATCCTTAATTACCGATGTTACTTGGTCCTGAAGTGGATCATGTCTACTGTTGCCATGCCTAATCCAGCCAATGCACTGTAAGTTAAGTCATGACCTGAAAAAAAATCCTTTATATTTTTTGAATTGATAAGTTTTATAATAGCAGAAATAACACAAAAAATGAATTTAACAAATTAGAAAAAAAATGGTGGCCATATAAAAGAAATAACTGAAGATACTGTGCTAATGACTCACTAGGCTTTTCATTTGTTTTGAAAATGTTCACAGAATGTAAGAAAAACATCAACACTTAAATAAAAAAAAAAAAAAAAGACATTTTTCAGCATCCAACTGGTTTTCATATATTCTATTTTCACATTGTTGAATATTTCACAACCATTTATCATGAGTATGTGATATAGTTTCAAATTAGTGTTTGAAGTTTTTTTAATTTTGATTTTAGGCACATCTCTTAAAATGAGAAACTTATATATCCATTCTACTGAAAGATTTTTATTTTAGCCATAAAAATAGTTAAATTAATCTTGCAAGCCTTTGTTCATGTGTTTGATTCTCTCTTTGCATCCCTTTTTGTAACTTTGTGCCCGACAAAAGCTTTGTGTCTGTTTGAGATACAATTTGTAAAGTTTTATAAATGGGGGTCTATAAAATTTCTGTTTGAATTTCTGGGATAAAGAATTATCATTATTTAGATAATTTACAGTTGAACTAATATCTTGTTTTGATATTATCTTGATTGCTGTGTCATCCAGCCTTCTTTAGGTGTCTGTTGATCTGACTAAACTTCAGGAGATTTTGTACTGAATCCTTTATTTAATCTAGGTGTGGGTAGATTGTTTTCATTTTGTTGCCCATTTCTCATTTTGTTCTCTTTTTAGTACTGCTCTGTTATTAAATATTAAAAGTTACAAAGATTCTTGGAGCTTACTTCTATTATTTACAATCAGATTAATGTTCTAATTTTTTTTTTTGATTTGTTAATCACAAATGTTGTTTCATTTTGTTTTTCTCCAGGGAATATAATCTTACTCAACTTGCTGCATTAGATATATCTGAAGCTGCCACCCAGACAACAATAACTCTGCCCCATTCCACTTCAGGTTAGCAACTCCTATACCTTTATTTGTCTAATTATGAAAAAATGCTGACTTTTTTTTATTTTGACTAAACTTGCAAAACAGTTGTCTTGTATAATCAATTTTGCCATGCATAACATGCTGTGTGTGTTCTTTTTGTTTGTTTATTTTTTTATATATATATAGAATGAATGAAAATCCTCCCTTGCCTTTTTATGCTTCTTTTTGAGTTGTTTCAATTGAGGTTGTCAGATCTTGGCAAAAAGAAAAAGAATTCTTAAAAATTCAGCAACCTGAAATGAAATGTAACAGAATAAAATTTACCAATTTAAATAAAAAAAAAAATAACCCAATGATAAATTAGTAGATAAAATGTCCAGACACATTACTGGAAACTTATTTGCCTAGTCCATTATTTATATGAACATTCATCCTGACTGATATTAATTATAATTTTCTAACCAGTGTATTTTTTAATTTTCCTCATAAATATTGTTTTATTTGATAATATTCTGAGGAGTATTGAAAAGATTTTTTTCATTTTTTTACTTTCACCTCTTCGACTTGTATGTAGAAGAAAGGGCTTCCTACCTCATAAATAAGGATAGCTTAAAAAGATTATAACAAAATAATAAAGGCACTGTTTATATAATAAACAGAATCAATGAGATATTTGGCTCAGAAAATTGTCTATAATTTTGAGAATTCTGTATTATCTTGATTATTAAACTTCTGTTGTTTTTTTGTTGTGAGCAAAATGTCTTGGCTGATCTATTCAGTTACATAATCCATATTGAATCAGATGGCTAATATCCCAACTGGTTTACTTCAATCCCAGCAATGTGAGCCACACAATACCAATTTTCCCTTTGTGTAATATAGGTGATTCTGTATTGTATACAGCAGATAAATGAAATTTGTTGAACATTAATTGTTCTCTTCTTATATATTGCAGTAGTTCCTTGGTGTCTGGAATCAAACATTTCCATTAACCTTCTTTCATTTTGTTTTAACTCAGGTTTGCCATCAATGACACTGGCACAGCTGTTTTTTCAAGGCACTGGTGGAATGCATGTACGTACAACTTTAATGCAAGGCAAACTACTTGATGAAGATCTTCCTACCATTTGGACAAATGCTTTAATTCCGATCATTAAAATTCTGGCCCGTTTAATGTATCCTTTTTATTTTAAACTGCAAGTAAATACCATGTAAGATTGGCACAAAGACTTAGGTATTTTATAGATTGAATTAATGTTATGGTTGATATTAGTATCTGACTAAAAAGTAAAACTTCAAACTTGTTTTGGTATATAATTGTGATAGAGAACAAGCTGCATTTAGATGTGCTTTTCAGACTGTATTAAAGTGATAGTAGTGTTTCTTATATTGAGATACATGATAATGCTATAGAAGGGATTGGATTGATTTAATATGATATATTATAGAAGACTCATAGCAAGCAACTTAGTGCATGATACTGCTAGAGAAGAGATAAATTTCAAAGATATACAAGTTTTTACCTTAAAGAATGACACTATAGAAAAAAACAAGTCGTCTCCCATCATTTTTTTTTTTTTTTTATCCTTTCATGGGAGTGTTGACTTTAAATGTTTTTGCTGACTTATCTGGAAATCATTGAGATTATCTTCTCTATTCTGGAAAGACATTTTATTTCTGAATTTTTACAGTCTAGTTTTAATGTAGGGCTTTTTTTCTCATTTAAGAACTAATATTACTTTTAAAAAGAAATGAAAAATGAAAATGTATGAAATTATAGTGAATTTGAGGTTTGTCATCTTAATGAAGAAAAAGAATTCTTGCACTGTCATTTTTGGGGATTAAAATGTGAAGTTGCTTCTTGACATAGTTTAAAAAGTTTTTTTTACAACTTATCAACCTTCTGTGATTTGGTTTATTTAAAATCAAACATTTTGAATTGGAAGAAATTTTTAATAATAAAAATGATTTTTTCCTAGATACAAATTCTACTATTTAACCTATAGCTTGGTGGTAAGAGATAGATTCATACCTTTCCCAAGGGTATAAGAAACTTGACTGAAATTTGGATTCTGCTGTGGGATTTCTCATTCCGGGTGACTATCGATTACACCACCTGCACAACCAACTTACAAATAAAACAATCATCTGTGATGATTAATCTCTGTTGTATAATACTACCACTTGATGTTTAATACATATTTTGTGTCTTGTAAGCAAACTGGTAAATTTAGTCAACTACATAAAATGTTTTCTTTTGACAAATTGGAGAATACTTTGAAGTTTTTAAAGCGACAACAGAATGACATTCTTTCCTTTTATCAAATACTTGCTTACTATTTTGTTGTTATTAACGTGACCTTTGCACTTTGCCAGATTACATGAGTAAATGATCCTCTCAAGCATTAAATCTGTTCTTCATTGAGGAGTTCTTACAAGTGAATCCATGTCAAAAATACATACTTGACTTCATTAATTTTTAAGTAGCTATGAATATATATATTGTTGCAGGTGTTTGCTGGTATGTGTTTAAGTTGGAAAACACATGTCTCCTGATATGTTTATCCCACAACAAAAATGGTGGACTCAGTATATGAGTCCAGGTAATAAAATGAGAAGTAACAAGAAAACTATAACAAACAATAAGCATGTATTAGCTAGACAAGGGTATATATAGATAGTAGAATATTGTTGAGTGTTATAAAACAATGAACATGAATGAAGAAAATATTTAAACTAGTGAATGGTTTGTGTGTGTGAAGTTTGTAGGAGTCCTAGAGAATAGTAATGGAAAGTGAAGAATAAGGTGCTTGTGTGTGTCTGTGTGTGCACGTGCATACCCAGATGTGGGCCGTATTTCTCTATGTGGTGACCTACATCTTATTGTTCCTGGGTGAAATAGGAAAAAGAGGATGATAGAGAATGTCTGGTTATTTATAGGTTTAGGAGAGTCCCCTAGCAACAGTTTTTTAGGAAATTAAGTGGGATAACTGCACTATATATTGAAAAATCCTAGAACTTTCTAAATTGGGCTGCCCATGCATCCCTTTATTCAATTCATGAAAGTCAAAAATGCCAAATCTCAAATCTGGCTTTTTACAAGCTAAAATTTTTCTTTTTAAGAAAAAAAAATTTTGTTTTTTAGTCATCAGTAATATTTGACAATTATTGTGAACAGTAGTTTGTTTTCTTGATTAGAATGAGTTGACGACCTAATGGTTACTTCTGTATTTTCTCGTCTAGTTGACAAGAATGAAAGGGAGAAAGAATCTGAAAGCATGTCTTCTAGCTGCTACCCTCACTCAACAAGAGCAGAGGAAAAGCAAAGATAAAAGTTGTCTAAGACAAGTAAACATCTCCATCAAAGATAAATTAATTTACACTTATTGAATTTGTAGTTGAAAGGAAAGTAAATTATTTTACAGTAATAAAATACATTTTAGTAGAATCTCGATAAATTTATCCGTGTTTTTAAAATTTGAACATTTGAAGAAATTTTATTCACATGTCAATTTCAAAAGTAAAATGTCCATTTGATTTCTAGTCAGCTGTGGGTGAGTTCATGTTGAAAAAAATAGATACTTTACGTATTGTGTGTCAATGTGTATCTATGTATACACTATGTTTGTCTAAATTGTTGCCAAAAGTAACAAGTTTGAGAATCAAATTTGACTCAAAGAAAATGTAGATGGGAAAGATGATAGAATAGAAAATGTGCCTTTGATGTGTCTTAGGGTAGAAAATGCATCTTTGAAAAAATAAGAATGTTATTTTTAAAGTTTGCAGGCTAATAATAACCCGTATCTCTAGCTTTTGTTGCAAGTGTGAAAAAATGATGAAATATATTAAAACTTATTTTATTGGTTTTTACTACTTTTACTGCTTTTTATATTAAAAATTCAATCGTTCAACACTGGCTCTTTACTTTTGTATTACTGCCATAGATGGCTAGAAAATATACAGACATGTGAATGGCTACTAGATGTCATCAAATTTGAAACAGAAAAATGTCTCCAGTCCTTTTCTGCAGTGCTATCAAATGTAAATGATGTTTTATATCAAGTGAAACTGCAGATTTTTGTGTCTGTTTGAAAGACATTGAACAGTTTCTGATAAAATATCATTGAAATAAATTGTTGCTTCATTTTCTTGCAGATGATCTTTTTAGCCTGATCATAAAACTGTTAAGATTTGTTAAGGAAGAGAACACTAAAAAGATAATTTCATTTTCTTCAACTGAATGAATGTGTAGACCTTCCATCTAACGTCACAGAGGGCATATGAGTAGAAGTCACAGCCAGATATTTGTGGTATTAGGATAACTGCTCCTGCCAATTGCCCGAAAGAATAATTACCCCTGGACATTATTTAAAAATCTAAAATATTTATTCAACTATAATAAGCTATAGACCTCAGAAAGTCCAAGAATTCAGAAGGCATTTATCTGGGTACAATTGTCAAAGAACCAACATCTATGCACAAGGGGGGGGGGTGTAGAGGAGAATGTAAAGTTTAATAGACTTTGGCATAAATGGAAATTTAAAATTACATAAATATCAATGAAGATTTTTATTAAATACAAACAAAGTCTGTTTAATGTTTTTTATTATTCAAAAATTATGGATAAGCTTCTGTATTTATTTCTGTGCTAGAGCTACTAAGGAGGCTCTCATAGCCTAGCATATGCGCTGATTCTTTCAAATGTCTGGCTCTCCAGTTTTTAGTTCATTCCACAGGGGTTAGTGATTGCCCTTTTCCTCCCATACATGATCAGCCATGTATGATTTCCTTGTTTTACCCCTAATTATGGCTTCTCGATGTTTGACCAGTTTGACTTAAGGGATGACTGATTTCACCATTTTATTCTTTGCAAGGGATGGAATACACACAGTTCTTTATCATGTTCTCCTCTGTGTTAGGCTTAACCTGACATAATTTCTCCATAAGGTTGAGTTACTTAATATTGTCTTGATTTTGTATGGACCATAGGTTTTCTGAATCTTTTTCCAATAAGCCCTTGATAGAATGAGAACAACATGCTCTGTAGATTAAATAAAGGGTTCAGTTTGTAATTCCCTGAAGGTTACCCAGATTAACAAACAATTGATGAAAGCTGGAGGGTACAACATTGTGATAATAAAAATATGATGAGGACAGTTGCCTGAGAGTAAATAATGTATCATAGCATTAGGTAAATATGAAAGTGTAAACGTCAAACTTAAGCCACAAATTATGAATTTATAAAATTACATATTTCCTATCAGAAACGAAGTGGGAAAGTAATCTTTGGCTGTCAATATTTTTCTTTTGCAGATGTCATCTTTACTAACTGCTGTTTGTTTCCACAATGGAAAAAAACTTTTACAATCTAATCTGTCACGGTTGAAATTTGAATCTTTGGTGAAATGAGCTTGTTTATCAATGTCGTAAATTCCTTATCTGTCATTCAGGTGGCCTGTCAACAGCAGTTTTCTCTTTTCTGAATTTCTAATGGGACACTGCCAATACTTGCATCTACAAGAATATGTTCGCTTATTGGCATCCTGGTGCACCACAAATGAATTGTCTCGAAAATTCCTACTTGGGCAGTGTTATCTCCATTTTAAGTAAGTTTGTTATTACAAAATATTCTACATTACAAATGTTTTTCTTCACTATAAAGGTTCAAGATATTGCTAAGAAAATGTCCAATTATTTGTTCAGGTAAGTTGATGTGAAATTAGTCCTTCCTGATTGTAAACAGGCAAAGTGATTTTCCTTTCTTAATACTATTATGAAAACTTCTATTACCAAATGACACCTTGTCACTATTTACAAAAGGATAAGAAACGTATGCAACTACACCAAATACCATGCACAATCTCCTATAACTCTCTGCATTTACTTGGGAAGATCATAGAACTAAAGAGAAGTCATGTATGAAGAAAATACCATCTTTTTTGGTGCAGGTTTATAGTGGCAAGCATGAAGCTACAGGGAGAAAAAAATCAACAAAACATATCATAATACCATTATATAACCAGTAACTATCAGGTCATCCCATAAGTTCTGTCCAAATTTTAACTTTTTGTTAAAATGAATGAAATTTAAAGAGTATTTTATAATGTCTAATGGAGCTGAACATTATGTTTAGATGCATTTAAACTGATCAAATTTTATTTCAGAGAACAATAAAATTAAATTTTGTTTGATTAAAACCCTGCTAACATGGAAGTACCCAAGAATCATTTGAGGCACATAATGCTTTATGAGTTCAAGAAAGGAAACTCAGCAGCCAAAGCGGCTAGAAACATTCACTCAGTTTATGGAGAGGAATGTGTGAATGAAAGAACTTGCAGAAGATGGTTTACAAAATTCAGAGGTGGAGATTTCACCCTTGAAGATGAAGATCAAACCGGACGTCCAGTTGAGTTTGCTGAAAAGCTTCTTGAAGCAACCCTTGAAGAAAATCCTGCTTTATCAGTTGAGGAATTGGCAGTGGTTCTCAGTTCAAACCATACAACTGTTCATTGTCATCTTCAACAACTTGGAAAAGTTCCTAAACTTGGAAAATGGGTGCCTCATGAATTGTCTGAAAACAACCTCAAATCCCGAAGTTGACATCTGCTCTTCTCTCCATTCTCGCCAACTTGTTTCACCTTTTTGGATAGACTTGTGACTGGCTATAAAAATGGATCTTTTATCGAAATGTTAAGTGTCGAGACAGTGGCTTGTAAAGGGGAAGGACCCCAGCCACAGCTGAGAAGGGAACTTCATGGGCAAAAGGTTCTTCTTTCAATCTGGTTGGATCGCCAAGGAATAATCCACTTTGAATCCTTATCACCTAATGTAACAATTAATGCTCAAATATACTGTCAGCAATTAGAACGTTTGAACCAAGCTTTGAGGAAAAAAAGACCTGCTCTAGTGAATCGAAAAGAGGTGATGTTTCATCAGGACAATGCGCGACCACACACAGCAAGAATGCCGTCACAAAAGATCGAAGAACTTGGTTAGGAGAAAATTCCTCATCCATCTTATTCTCCCGATCTTGCTCCTTCAAACTATCATTTGTTTCGTAGCTTAAAGAATCATTTGGAAGAAACAGCTTTTGTAACACAGGAAGAGGTTAAAACTGACATTTGTGAGTTCTTCGAATCAAAGCCAAAAGAATTTTACAGTAATGGAATTAGTAAGCTTGTTAATAGATGGAAGGAAGTCATAGATAATACATTGTAGTCATACATTGTTGATTGAATCTGTAATTAAATGTAACATTTGGTCACTTGTTTTCTTTATTCAAAATTCGGACAGAACTTATGGGATGACCTGATAGATTGTAAACAAAAAAACTGTACCAGATAAACTGATCTGCAGATGACTTGAAAAATGAGCCAGCCAGAACAGAAAAAAAAAAAATTGTAATGATGCTTAAAAAAAAAAAAAAATTTTTCACTGTATCTGATAACCTCCAAGTTGCTGATACACTTTAAAAGGCGGGGGAACACTTTAGTCTAAACTTTTTTTATTTTTCAATTTTGATATAATTGCTCCAATTTTTAATTTTTGTTTTGTCTCATTTTTTGTAGTGAGCCTTACAAAGCTGCACAGTTATTTGTTGAAGCAACTGAAGGCCTGTCAACAGGTGAACCATTTCTCATTCATAAACTCCTGCAGGTCAGGGAAGAAACTGCTATTCCATTGATGGAAGTGAATTATTACCTCAAGGCAAGTGTATCTATAAATATTCTCTCTTGAATATTTGATGTAAACTAAAATTCTTCAGTTCTCAATTTTAATCATTTGTAAATTGGTAGCATTCTACAGTGCCAAATTATTTTTACCACTTCAGGCTTACTGTATTTGAACTGTGCCAGAACTTTTTTTTTCCCAATATTTAGTGTATTATTTTAAAGATACAAGTAGTTTTGCTCAGAATCCTAAAGTTGATGGAAAAGCTAAATACTTTGTGTGATACAAGTTGCTTTGAAAAGGCTGGAAACAAAAAGCTAGACAACTGATAGTAATTATTCATGGAGATATTGAGGAAAAGAAAATAACAGGATTTAGTAGAAAATATTGATGTATTCTTTTATTCTTTTTGCACTTGAAATGAATATATGTGTGCATGACATCATGGATGGCCAACAGAAGAGAAAGGAGAGAAAAGCAGAGGCATGAACATACATTGACTTTCCACTTGTACAGTTAAAGGTTTATGTGTTATCAATAGCAATTTATAATATTTGTTACATATTTGCAGGTGATTAATCAGTTTGAACAGTTCCAACATCCACATTTGGTAATCACATTAGCTGAGCGAGCCATTTGTGTTGCAAATAAATCAGATCCAAATGTTGTAAGTATTCTTGGAATTTTCTCTTTTTTTTTTTTTTTCCTCCTTACTCTTTTTTTTTATGTTCACAGATATGTATCACCCAAAATAAATATTAAATTTTGAGTGTGTACATCCATTCTCTATCTCTCTTTCTCTAAAATATATATATATATATATATATATATATATATATATATATATAAATATTCAAATTTTCAAACATTCAAATTTTGCACATTTGGATCAAAATTGTCATAAACTTGACATCACCAGATGACAAATATATTAAATATTTTACACACTTTTTAAAATATAGTGAAAGTATTAGAATAAAAAGAACAGCAAAACATGAACTTTAGACAGTTTATCCATAATTTTTTTTATTAATAAAGAATATTAAACAGGCCATAAAATTTGTTTGATTTTCTGTATATGTATAGATTTATTGAAGTGCTTCTTCATTGATATTTATGTAATTTTAAATTTCCATTTATGCCAAAGTCTATTAAACTTTACATTCTTTTTCCCTCCTTTGTGCATAGATGTTCTTTGACAATTGTACCCAGATAAATGCCTCCTGAACTTTTAGACTTTCTGAGATCTGTAGCTTGCAAATTCTCTTAGAAGTTTAAAAAATGTTTTAGATTTTTAAGTATTGTCCAGGAGTAATTATTCTTCAAGGCAAATGGTGGGAGCAGTTATCTTAATACTACAAACCTCTTTTGGTTTTAATTGCTACTCACATGTCCTCTGTGACCTTAGATGGCAATGTAGTGTGAAGAAAAGATTTTGTTTCATTGATTTGTTTTCTATGGCTTATCAACCATTTGCAGGTTATTCAAAGCAAAAAAATATTTTTAGATTCTGATGATTTTTTTTTCTAAGATAATAATGGTTTAGTGATATGTCTTACTAATTAACCCACAGCTGGTTGGAAAAAGAGGTGGATTCATACCTTTCCCTTGGGTATTTGTGTTTAATGAATATAACGAACCCAACAGGAAGTGGAACTTGGCTCCCTGATTGACAATTCCAAGCCATTATCCACTGCACCATCTGCATATCCAAGCTTATAGCACCTGGTATTCCCAAGCAAAGATTTTGTAACCTTCATTGAAATGTTTTGATATTAGGCTTAGGTTAGTGCCTCCAAATGTGGAAAGAAAATTGTGATCTTTATTTTGTGCAAATTTGATTACACTGATCTCTGGAGAAATGGTTTTACTTTTTGAGTTTCTATCTTAGACAAGTTGTCTCTCTTGTTACAGGCAACTCTCTATTTAAAAGCATTCAAATATCACTTGGAATTGGGTCATTATGAGGAAGCCTACAATGCAATGGTTACAAATCCTGACCCATCAAGGTAATTATTGGTTTCATTTTGATTTCTTGCCATTTTATTGTTCTGTATATGTATCTGAATAACAGTTTAATTGTTAAGCTAAATTTTTTTTTGTTTCTATTTCACACTGAGGACTAAAAATTGATGTGCGCAAAATAATTTCAGAAACACAAAAATTATTAGAAAATTACTTAGTAATGAGGACATGTCATAGTCTAAATCAGGGGTCAGTAACCCCCAGTCCCCAGGCCTCATCTGGCCCACAAAGGATTTTTGTCTGGCCTGCTAGCTTAATACTCAGACACCAATTATGTAATTTGTGTGCAAGTTAGAGAAAAATTATCATTTGGAGTTAATTGACTTACAATGTGACGAAATTTTTAAATTGAAATTTCATTCCGAATCCACTGCTGACTTCTATAAGAAATATGTTTTGACAAACAGAAAATAGAAAAGCCTATTAAATAATGTGAAAATGATGTTATCATTGTTTGGAAGTACATATGCTTGTGAACAACTTTTTGAAAATGAAATATAGTAAAAGTTGTTTAAGAACAAGATTGGGTGATGACCACCTGGATGAAGTTTTGCTCCTGTCATTGACAAATATTTCACCTGATGTGAAGAAGTCATCAAACAATAAGTAGAACCAAGTGTCTCATTAAATAATTTGCCATTTCTAACTGTATTTCGTTTGTAGTAAGGAATTTGCATTTTTTTGTTGATTATGCTAATTGTTATCCTGTAGTAAAATAAGGAACCTTGTTTAAATAATATAGCATTAACTTCATTGTTTTTTTTTTTTTTTTTTTTTTTTCTTAAACTTCCAGACCAAGGCAGCTTTCTGGACAAAGCAGTCTGAGATTGAGATAATTTGTTATAATACATTTGATATCATGGCCTTCCTCCAAGACAATGCATAGCTTTCTGGCCTGCTCTCTCCAAAAGGTTGCTGACCTCTGGTCTAAATTAATAAAATATCATCCTAAAATACCCAGGCTTTATGGTCAACCTAAAATGCCTAAACAAGGCATTCCAGTGTGATCTATCATATCTGAAATTGAAAATGCTCTCCATAAACCTATGAAAGTATAACAAAAAAAATTAACATTGTGTGTGTGTGTGTGTGTTACTGGCATCAAACATGAGAAAAATTGGGGCAGAAATTTTTGAGTTTGTGCTGGACATGTGACTAACTTTCCTACTTTATATAAATATTTGTGTATTTTGTAATTTTTATTTTGTTTATATATTTTTATTTTTCAGCCGAAAAGATTGCTTAAGGCAATTATTAAATGTTTTATGTGATCGGAAACAGTTGCAAACTTTAATACAGTTTCCTTACATTGATCTTCAAGAAGAGGTAAGTAGAAAGAAACTCTTCAATTCTTGTAATTATTTTGAAAGGCTTCAGGCATTTCACAGAAATCTAACTAAAAAATATTGTACCAAGAATATTCAGTGTATTATAAAAAAAATTCTGTTTACTAAAATTTAAATGTGGTATTTGTTTTTAGTTAAAGTGTTAATTCTACTTTTCAAATTTAGTTCATAGTATTAAATAAAGAATTTAAAGCTCTTAAAATGTCTCCGTTATCAATGTTTCTTATAACCACTTCTAAATTTTGTGTAAATGTTTGATTAGAATGATAGAACATGTTTGTACTTGCATAAACTGTATAGTTTTAATCATAGTCACTATCAGAGAAATTTAATAGGTATGGAGAACTTAAAATACAAAAGGCATGAATTCACTGCCAGATACACTGTCAAAAATGTCACAACAGTTGACGAGATAGGGAGTGGGGTAGTAAATGGATAAACCGCTCTCCTATAACTGTTACCTGCCCAGACTATAATAGTAAGAATTACCTTGTCATATGTACACATAGATGTATTAATAATTCTAAAGCTTAATGATGAAAATGACATTTTCCATAGCAAATATTTCCTTTTCAACACATTCTTGTCAGTGCAGTTAACTGACTAGTGATTATTAATCACAGAGATCGCGCATTATACAATGACAATTTAAGATCAAAATTTTGCTAAATAAGTATGTGATAGGCTATAGACACATTACTACCCTCATAAAAAACTGATTCACAAATGATAATGATTTAATATCACTCACCATAGAAGAATACTTATATGAAAATATATTTTTTTTCTACTCCTGTTGAGGGCTGTGGGTCAAGGAACAAAATTGTTAACTTTCCTACTGTGGCTCTGTTATTGCAAGATGTTTCCTGTATTTGTATATATTTAATATTGTGATTCTTGTGCATTACAGATGGTATCCATCCTAGAGAACCGAGCCAGATCTGCAGACCTTTCAGCACACAACTATTATGACCTTTTGTATTCCATACATGTATCAAGAAATAATTTCCGAAGAGGCAAGTTTATTATTTAACTTTATAATGTACTTGCATTTTAATAGTTTTCCTTTCTAAAAACAAGTTTTTACCCTAATCTTTCTTGTATCTGTTTCCTTCTTTGATATAGCTCTGATGAACCCTTTTTATAATTTAAGATTATGAAAATAGGCAAAAACATTATAAAAACAGGTACTAAAGCAATTGTCTCTAATGTAACAATAATAAAAAAATAAAACAAAGCCGTTTTTACTGTTGGAAACAAAAAAACATCAAATTGTTCTTGTAATCTTTCATAATTTTAGAAAGTGTAGTGAAATCTTAAGAAATTTTCATCACAAGGAATACATATTTGGTGAGATTTTGAAGGAATTCTTTATGACTCTTGAACAAGCTGTTACTGCTTATCCCTAAAATGGGCTGATTTGAACGATGCATTAGAAGAGAAAATAACTTTCTGTGTGAGGAAGTTATTGATTTTGCTGCATGACAACACCTATTCACTTATGTTGCAAAAATAGTGCCACAAACTGTCCACTTTCATATTATCACTTTTTTCACTCCATTCAACACTTTTTTGTCCAATAGTAGTTTCAATAAAAGATAAAATTCTTTAAAGGATTTTATACTTTTTCAAATATTTGAAAAATATTCTATACTTTTTTTAAATGTTTAAAAAATATACTATTTTTTTTTTTTTTTTTTTTTTTTTAAATATTTAAAAAAATATTGTTATAATAGAAAATATTTTAATAATACCCAATTAAATATATAATATAGCAGTTCTTGTGTTTTGCATGTGTCAATATTTTGTATTCAGCTCTTAAGTGGGGAATGATAAAAAGTTGGATTGTAGGGATGAAGAGAAGAAGGAACTTCATTCCATGGCACACTTCGTTTAAAAAATTATTATTGTTGTTGTTCATGTTCTAGCATATATCAGTGCAATTTGTTAGGAAAATCAGTGTTTTCAGTTTTTGTGGGAAGACATTGTTTTGCTGCTGGAAAATGTCTGAAGAAATTAGGATTTTCTTTAAATTAAAAGGTCTTGGGAAATCATGAAATTTTCCAAAGGTAATCTGCTCCACACTTTGTCTCTGGTGAAATCATAACAACTGAATATAGATTCCCTTTTTCTTTCTTGGTTGGCTTAGTAACCTCTAATTTTTTTTTTTTTTTTTTAATATTTGTGTTACAGTATTTATAAAAAGAGCCTGTCATATAGCATCATTGTATTACAGTGATATTATTTATAATTTTTGGTTTGAATATATTTCTTTTGCATTTTCTGATTCTCTTTCCATTCTATTTCAGCGGGTAATGTGATGTATGAACATGGTTTGCGCCTTGGTCAAGAGTTACCAGGAATTCGAGGTCTCCAGCGACAAGTGCAGTGTTACCTTGCTGCCATGCATGCTCTACGTTTGGTGAAGCCTGAGTATGCCTGGGTGGTCAAGCCCATTCCCAGGCCACACCATATGGTTTGTTATCTTCTTATACTCATTTCACTAAACATTTGATTGTACCTTGAATACATGGGCAAAAAGATGTTATTTATTTTAATGAGACAAATTTGTCATTTACAGAATAACATTTAAAAATGTCATCTACAGAATTTAGGACTAAATATTAGTTGAAGAAAGAGCCAGGTTTTCATTAGTAGACAGGATGTATGTGTTTTCTGCACATTTGCCTGGGATTAGAGTGTCTTTGTATTCTGCTGAGAATCAAAATTAATTCCCTAATCATGTGCTTAGGATCTGTGTATCACTTTCTGATCCTCTGCCTCACTTTATATTTGCAAGTTAATTTTATTTCGCTGTTCAGGCAGCAGAACATTGGTATAGTAGATACATCAGTTGCCTGCTTGTTGTATGTTCAAATCTGGCCAGCGTTTACTTTTTTAATTTTATATTCGTGTTCACTTTAATGTAACCTGATTGATAGATTTGTTTTCTATGACTTATCAATCCCATTGTAGGTTAGTTAAACCCATAAAATATTTTTAGAGTGTAAGCATTTTTTAAAATTTTTTTAGGAGATAATAGTTTAATGATATCTGCCTTGCTAATTAACCCATAGTTGGAGGGAGAAGACATAAATTCATACCTTTCCCAAGGGTATTTGAATACAATGAATAATGGGAATTGGAACACAGATCGCCGATTGACAATTCCAGACCATTGTCTATTACACCACCCGCAAATCCAAGCTTACAGCACCTGGTATTTCCAAGCAGTCACCCCCTCTAGGTGCTGACCAGGCTCGATGTTGCTTAACTTTAGTGATTGTACGGGGACCTGTATTTCAACATGATGTGGCCATTAGCCTTAATGTAACATAAGTTATGGAGAGAAACAAAGAAACAGAAAAGGTCATGCATTTTGTTATTAGATATGATTAATGATCTGTTGGATAATGTATAAGATACATGGGCCCAAAATTCATTTAGTTTTTTTTTTTTTTTTCCCTATCCCCCAGATTCGAGGTGAAGCAAGTGCAACGTCACCCAAACATTATTTGGATGGAGAAGAAAAGTTGGATTCAGTTGGTGAGTTTTCATTTTCCTTTAAATTGTTGTCTCTTTAATAAGCAGATAAAATTAGGCTTCAAAAGTTAGGCTTCATGCTCCAAAATGAAAATCTTTTCCAATTTAAATTGGAAAAGATTTTCATTTTGGAGCATGAAGCCTAACTACCTGTTTTCTCTTTTTCTATTTTCATGCTCTCTTTCTCTATCTCCATGAGGTGTTAGTGCCTGGACAAGACATGTTGCATGAATCTCTTATGTTTAGTAAATGTGCTGCTGTTTTTAACCACTTGGGCCCTGGATATTTTATAATGTCATTTTGTTTCTTTCAAAGTTCCTATATAATATCAATGAATGAGAGCATATCAGCAACTCCAGTTGAAATATTGTTTTCACTGCCTTCATCAATTTCTACAAATTGTTTTTAGTCAGTCTCTGACTCACTGCTAGAATAAGACCCAGAACTTTTACAAATATGGCAAGGCTCCTCATATGTATTCACTTTATGGTGGCTGACATTTTAACTTCCAGCATGTTGTTCACCAAGTGCTGTCTAAAATCACTTTTGCCAACAATAATAATGCCACCTTGTGGAAATATATAGAACTAGAATTTATTACTAAGACAAGAAAAATTAAATTTCCTTATTTTCAGCCCAGCATAAATAGTTAAAATCAATATGTGACATCATATCAAAATATATTGGCCACTTCAGAGTAAAGAAATTTCTTGTGAAATAGCTGGTTCCAAATGATTAATCACTTTATTTTTTAATATTTGTTTTCTCGAGACCTGGCATGCTCCATTTTCATTAGTACATGTTCAGCCAATGGATGTAAATGCTTATAGTGTCACTTGATGGGAATTGGAGAGAAAATATTAAAATCAATATGATTGTATGACCTCCTAAAAAGATAAATGGTATTAATATTTATTAAACTTAGCTTAGTCTGGTTTAAGGCCATAACCAAGTGAAGATTGCCCGGCTAGACTAATCTGCTAACTGCTCTACAGCAAACATTCTAAAGTAGATCTTTACTTGACTTCATCTGAAACAAGGTCAAGGTGGTGGGAGTACCAAGTGAGGATTGAACTTGCTATATTAGCAATGATCTTCAAGATCACTTTGCTAACCATTAATCTATGACAAGTACCTCTTTAAGGTGGTACATTGTTGTTTGTAGCTGTTGGCTTTGGTTAAAAAAAAGCATTCCTTTCACAGTGCAGGCTTGCTGGTGGTTGATAAAGCCAGTATGAGGAAACCATATTCCAGCCGCAGTGTTTACAGGGAAAGATTTTACTACTCTCTCATTTCTCTTCAGTATTGATTCTGAGAGTTTGTTTTCATCAAACATAAAGATATCCTGAGGAAGACTATCACCTGCTTTGGTACTCTTCCATGGCATTTCTTTGCTACATAGATCTCTTGATAGTTCACTGAACAATAAAACCTATGAATGACAAAATTCTTCCATTCTCAACCTGCCAAGTATTCATTTAGCTTTATAGAGCATAACTGTTGATAAACTTTCCAAATTAGTATTGTTAGAATAATGAAGTGCTGCTGAAAAGAAACCCTTTCAATAAAAAAAAAAAGAAAATGCTTAATCATTGTGTTAGATTTTGCAAAGTGAGTTGAGCCAAGAACTTCTTGAAATAGGAGTTGACATGCCGTTAAATCCAACATCCATCCATCCAAGAACTTCTTGGCACTTCCATGTAAATCAATTAATGAGGAGTAGTAACACTAATCTGTGACTATTTTCTATGACATGATACCAAACTTACTTTGTACTAAAGAGAGTGGAATTCTTTCATTCAGCCTTGTATAGAATAAGGTCTCAGATGAAATTGAAAAGATCAACATAAGGGTTCTTTTTTTTTTTTTAATCTTGTCCATTAAAATTTCTATAAAAAATAAATATCCTATTGAATTTTTACTTTAAAAAATGTCTACAAAGTAATGTGGATTCATTTTTTGTTATATGCCTAAACCTAATTGAATACTGTATAATTTGTATAAATGTCTATATGCCAGAAAGCCTTTTCTCAAGTGAAACCAATGTAAAGTTATGGATATATTTTTCTATATAATGATAGTAAATGATGCATGACCAAAGTAGATGTTGATGTGTCATATCTTGGTTGTATAATAGTTATTTACTTATGAATTCATTCATTTTCTTTCTTGTGCAGTTCCTAAACGCTGCTTGGAAATTGTTGAATTGGCTGATTTGGAGAAAGAATACCTGTTGGTAGATGCTCGTTTACGTCTTATCAAGAAAGATGCTGACCTTCTCATGGCTTCAGGTAGCTATTATATGGATTTCATTGTTGTGCCACAGAAGTTTCCCAGTAAGGCTATGTGCCCAAAATCTGATAAATTCAATTTGAAATTAGGCTCTTGGGTCAAATAATTTGTAAGATGAGATCTAAGGGAGTTAAATAGTCACTTATTTTTGCAGTCCTTACTGTTTTTACATTATTTTACATTCCTTCTTAAAGTAAGTTAATAAAAAGCAACATCATTCTTTAGATTTTAATGGATAAAAATGTTTCTTGATAATTTTCAATAGCTTCTAACTTGTTCTGAAAATGGATTATTTGAATTTTGATATGAAGTATTTTTGTTATTAATTTTGTATTAGTCTTTTCTTTGTCTTATTATTTCTTATTTCAACTGTTAAAATAAGCAATGTGAAGTGAGAATAAAAACTCTAGCTTGAATAAATGAGATGTCAATTAAGTGTTGTTGGAAGATGCCACTTCATTCTGATTTAATTTCGTATAATTGGGGGAGTTTAAAAGTGTTTTCAAGGGCAGACAGGAATTGGGGGCTACAGATACTAGGGGCTCTTAAATAATCATAGGTTTTTATTTAAGAGCCCTTAGGATCTATAGCTCACAATTCCTGCCCAAAGAAGAGAAATACATTGAAAACACTTAATATCTGATTTCTTTTCCTGTACAATGCCAAATGCAAAAACCTACAAACGTTACGGAAGAAAAATACAAAAATCCACAAATTATAATCTCAACATCTATAACAAAAATAGACACATAATCCTACCTACTGATTCATAAGTCACCATAAAAAATAACTTATTCAATCATCATCACTATCTCTAAAGCAATAAGATATATTTTTAGTGCCAAACGAGATAGCAACAATAATGAAACAGAAGCAGGAATATACAATATCAATTGTATAAAATGGCCAATGGTGTGTGTTTGTAAAACATCCAGAAATGTCAAAAGTCTACATGAACATTGCAGAGATATGCCGCATAACAACACTTTAAACACACTGGTAGTTTACTGTAATACATCTTAGGACAATTTCAACTGATCAGGAAAGAAAAGGATTCACTAAGAAGAAAATGCATTGCCTTATACATAATAAATAAATCAAAGACCAGAACTATACATAATATCACTGATCATTGCAAAAGCAATAATAGCACAATGTGGTATACAAGCTAGTAGAGAAAAAACAAACACTCTCTGTTTTTTGGATCTGATAAGATACTTTAATTTATTGCCTCTCATATCCTTAAAAATCCCAACACATTTTCTTTCCACATAGTTTTGTCTTTTATTCCAACCTGAAGATCTGAACCTAACATGTCATGGTGAAATGCATTGTGTATAAATTTTTTTCACTTTCTCATTTCCACTTTTATTTTGGATACTGTTATACAGCCTACAAACACACACACCATTTATTTGGACCTTTTTGTAATTTGGCTGTAAATTAACTGTCAGAAACAAGTTTATAGAGATTATTTTTCATGTGGAATTTATCTGGTTAAATTGGCACTTGTATCAAGTTTTTCTTTTTACTTTTTTAGGATATTCTGAAAAAATCATTTCAGTTTCCTCACTCATATAGTAAACCTTTAGTGTAGTGAGTGTGATTCTCACAAGCGCATCATTACTGCAGTAATATGCCATGCTAAGCTTATTAAATATATAAGATTTTACAAATAACTTCTTTTTTTTTAACTTTAATTCCATTAATATTCTGTTTAGAAAATGTAATTACTAGTTGTCCTGTTATATGAGAATGCCATAAGATTGTTGACCATGAGCCTGCAGATGACAACTCTTGTAATTTTTCAGGACCTGTCATGCGACCAGATGAAATGGTTGGTATGCTGGTCAGTGCTGGTATGTTTGACCGAGCCATAATAATCTGCAAAGCTTTTAATCTCAAGTTGAACACAGTCTTTGAAAATCTTGCACTGAGGTAAGACATTTTTATTTTTAAAATCTTTCAAGACTCTTTCAGGGATTTAAACAGATATTTTTCAAATCTTGAATTTGGTTAGCTATGCACAGTCATTGTGTATGCTTGATTTGTTTTTCTTGTAAGAGGCAGGTGTTTTTTTTGTTAGAATGATACTTAGATTTAACAGCCTTAAATGTTCTTTTACAATATTTTCTGCATTGTAATGTATACCTTTGGTTTGGTTTGCAATATTTATAGGGAATTTATTTTCCTTTTAATTTTTTAACCTCTACCCCATCCACATGATTTTCCTAACAAAATGTCAAATAACTTTTCAAAAATCTATGTAATCCAACAAAAATTAGAAATAACAATTTTTGGCATGAAATGAGCCATTGGGGATGATATGCCATATAACAGAAACAAACAATCCTAACAAAATATAGGTACATGTCATTTATGACTAAAATAATATTGTCTTAATTTATAAGGCAATTTTATGCTAATTTCTTGAATTTCTAAGATGAGGAGTTCTTATTATTTACACTCTTTACATGTGAACTATTGTTTATGGTGTTATGTTTCCAATGTTATGCCATCCAGCCTTCATCAGGTGTATGTCAATCTAGGTAACCTGTAGGGAATTTCATTATTTAATCTTGAGGGATAGACTCTCCTGATTCCACTGCCCAAGTGATATCCCATCTAGTTGTTATTTTTAGTACTGCACAGTTATTGCTTGCCCTGTTTTCACCAAGTTCAAGTACATACTGTCTGGCCCAAGGATTGAACTCGCAATTACTATATCACCAAATTCACAAACCAATGCTGCCATTATACATTGGTTCATTCAAATCCAACATATGTCAATCATTATCTTCTGTCTTCTTAATTCCTGTTCTTTTATTGTTCTCTCTCCTTAATAATGTTTTTCTTTTTCTCATATTCTTTCAAACTCGGTAATCCTTGGAGGCTTAGTGGCTTTGTCTTGCTTGGGGTGAAATGATTAATTAAAAAAAAAAAAAAAATTATCCCATTTAAGTACTATGAGACATTAATGTTTTTTCCTGCTTATCTGTATTAGTAACAAACAATATATTAAGATTTCCCATTTTGATATTTATACCTTGTCTTCATTTTGTCCTCCACATAACTGTTTCAATTAATACCTACATTCCAATGATACTATTTAGTCTCTGGGAAATCGTTGTTGTGCCATTCTAGTTCTATACATGTCAACCTTAAAAATGATGTTGTTGAAAGTGTTAAAATTTTTGGTTAACATTTTCAGAGGGTTACTAAATCCAACATGTACCTATGGGTGCAGTGGTCAAAACATAAAAGCAACAAAAATGAGAAAATTGGCCAAAAAAATTGTATAAAAATAACAATTCCTCATCTAGAAAACAAAATTCTAATGAAAATATTGGATTGGATCCTCACTAAATCTGCTGCTCGTGTAATGAGTTTAATTTTCACTGAGCCCCCATTGTTGTGACAAAATTAATACTAGGCATATACAGTGCTGTTCGATAAAAGTGACTCACCTGATTTATTTACTAAATGTTCTCTTCTTCGATGAAACGAAAGTTGAGCTAAATTCAAAGGATAAGCGATCTAAAATCCGAAGAAGAAGCTTTGAAAGTTCTTTGAATTTAGCAGTAAGTACTGTCAAGCATCCGTTCAGTATAATGTTCTGGGGATGCTTTTCTTTTCATGGAACTGGTTTCTTGAAACCTATTGAAAAGACCCTCAGGAGTAAGCAGTACAAGAGAATTTTAGTCTTGTCTGCTCCCTTCTGCTGAAAGGGTGCAAATCGACCCCACCAAGCTCATTTTTATGCAGGATAATGCTCCCTGTCACAAATCAAAATTGATGAAGGAATACGTTGATGAAAAGCAGGTGAGTGTTATGACGTGGTTGCCCCAATCTCCTGATCTCAACCCCAAAGAAAACTTATGGAGCATTATAAAGCACAGGCTCTCGAGAAAGCAGTTGAGCAACAAAGGATTTGATTGTGAATTTCATATCTGAATGGAATTCAATGCTTGGAGATGAGATTTGCCAGAACCTAATCAAGTCAATGCCAAAAAGGGTTGAAAAGGTTATTCAAAATAAAGGAGGACCCATAGATTATTAAATATTTCAAACTTTACCTATTATAAATAAATTATATATTATTCTTTATTTAAAGCTGTTCGGTTATCAGAGTTTATTCTATATTTTAAAAGCTGTTATGTTATGTTTTTTATTTTGGACTATTGTCCTTATCTAGTTGCAGGAATGCGCTCCGGCCTTCTTCAGGTGGTTGGAATTTGAACTGACTTTTTTTTTGAATTAGCTGGGGTAAAGAGTTTTCTCCATGTTTGAAGAAGGGAAAAAATCTCATTTATATCCAAAATGAATCATAAGTTTTCCCTAAATCTCATTTATATCCAAAATTTAATTTAAATGGAATACCTTTTAAACTTTTTTTTACTAGGTGGTCGGGGAGGGTCTTTATATTAGTAAAATTAAAAATTAGTTTGACATCAAAAACTAAGAAAGAAAAAGATATTTTTTTTTAGTAAAAAAAAAAATCAGGTGAGTCACTTTTATTGAACAGCACTGTATGTTGATTCTTATCAGTTTCCTCATTTTTGGCTTCTGTACTCTGTTGTATTCAATAAACTTCCAGAAATGTTGAACAAAACCCTTTATCTGATCCACTGTGGAATGTTATTTTCATTACTTTACCTAATGCATCAGATGAAGACACATCTGCTTAATAGTCTCAGAAGATTGACTTATTTTTAAACAGTGCATCTTACATACCAAATATGGTAAATATAAATAAAACCTATATATAAACAGCTTATATATATATATATATATATATATGCATGCATCTGCAGGTTTGTATGTGTGGATATTTGTGCAAATTAGTACTCACATATGTGTACATTTTGCACAATTTGTTAGTTTGTCTTACATAGGGTGTTTCACATTTGAACATCAGAGTTTACCTAAGACCATCTTCAAAGCACCTGACTTTAACAGATCCATGCATGCACACACACTCTCACTCTGCCAGAAAATAAAATTGCAACACCTTAAAGAACTACAGCAGTAGCAGTGGGCAGTAGATATTCCAATGAAATTTTCAAGGTTTTTGACTATCTTTATGATCTAGTAACACTGAAACCAATGCACCAGTTGTGTTTGAGCTTTATATTCATGCATATTAGGGCACTTCAATGTCATGTAATGGTTAACAAGCCTGTTTTACTGGAGCAATTATGACTGAGTAGTGAGTCCAATCATCATTGAATGCTACATACTTTTGGCTTTGTGCCACATCTAAACTATGCTTAATAAATCACTATAATGATGACTGCTAAGGTTCAAAGTGATGAAAAAGTCCAGTGCAAGAAAGTGCAAAATCATGAAGATGCACATATGAACCATTTAGAGGTGTCAAATTAAAATAAATACCAGTAGATGTTTATAGACACAAATATTAGTAACCAGTATTTACCTATCCTCAAACCAACTACCTTCTTGACATGACTATCTTGATATGCCAACTACTTTCCCTGCAGAAGGGTAACTCTCATCACTAAAGAGGCCGCCTACAAAGTAAATGCTTACAGAATCCAGCATGAATAACCAATGTTTATCTATTCCCAAAGCAAGTAGATGCTTATAGACTTCTATAATAGAATCTCCCACTGATTTTTATGTACGAGTGTCCGACAAAAATTTGAGTTTGGGTGTTCATGGCTGGTGTGACATTTTAAGTCTTGCCAATGATTTACATACAAATTCACAAGTTGTGCAAGTGTGTGGATTACAAGACATGGTTGCTGGTATGGCTGATGATTCCTTAGTCATGGTTCTTTCTTCTTTAGCCAGTCAGTCCAACTTGTTTCTTAGATCTTGATGCCATTTTGAATGCTATGTTGACAATTGCAAGATTGCTTTTGAAGTTGTCTTTATATCTCATTCATAGTCTGCTGACATTCTGCTTTCTAGTATTGAATTGGCTGTACATAAGGACTTTGGGTATCCTGTCCACATTCATTCAGAAATGACCAGCCCATTAGAGTTGTGACTGCATAAGAAAAGTTTCAATACCTTCAAACTTGTACCTGGTAAATAGTTCAGCATTGGAGGCTTTATCTTCAAGGCTGTATGAGGCAATCTTTATGGAATATATATAGTTGATTTATAAGCAATCTGTATAGAGTCCACAATTCAGAGGCATTAAAAATAAGTTGTCAGATTGACAGCTTCGTACACCTGAATTTTTGTATCATGTTTATACTCCACTCCTTCAAGTCAGTGATGGTGTTTACCAAATACATTCGTAGCTTTTGAAATTCTGTTGACTATATGCTCTAGAGTTGACCTTACTCCCAAGATATGTGAACAATTTCAAGTACATAAGGCTCTTGCCATCAACTTAACAACAGATTTTGACATTAAATAACTCAACAAGATTTGAGATGTCATAAAATCACCCAACCTAACGTATTTTGTGGTATAATTTCAGAAATGGAAAATTAAATATTAAATTTGACACAAACTCCTTTCCCAACTGATTTATTCCAAATTCTTGTAGATTATTTTAACAATTAAAAACAAAAATATAATGTGCCATTCAGTCTTCAGAAGACCCTCTTGTAATGCCACTGGAGTTGTGTATTACTGTATTGAGGTCTAAGTAGAAATCTGGCTAGAGGTATATGTACCTATCTTCCTACTGCAAGTAAATTATTCATAATGATTTGTGTTGACACTTTTGGGATGATATTTACTCTACTCTGTACTATGGATATCATGCAATCTGCTACTGGTGAGAGTTTGAACCATGTAGCTGTCCAGAACCTGGTTTACAGGTGTAGATGTGTCAAGTTGGTCACTGTTGCTAAGATTGAAGCACCACTGACACATCATGTCCAAAATGCACAGCAATTCTCTGAAATGATTCTCAAAGGCTCATAATCCATCCATTCCATAGCATAGTACTTCCGTCCTGGGTATGACGGTAAACTACATCTCCCTCTTGGATAAGATGATAAATTACATCCAACAGCAAGGCCTCTGATCAGGAGGTTTTGAGGAGCGTGAAACCACCTCTTAATTGCTGATGTTCCCAGGGTGGTAGCAGCTGTTAGGGTCCCAACTATGGGCAAATAGTTGACACCCAAACTGGGGTCAAAACACTATGAAAGTGTAAAAATAGGTTTTAATACATACCAGAAATACTTTGTAAAAAAAAAAAAAAAAAAATTACCAGCAGTACATTTTTAGAAAAAAAAGATATTACCAACTATAGTTTATTTTGAAAGAAAATATTACCAGCAATAAAAAAAAAATTGTTGGCATTAAATAACCCATTGAGGTTGATATGCCATAAAACAAACCAAATCAACCAAACCAAACATGGTACTTGCTTGCACTGAACTCTTTTACCACTCTGAACCATAGAATGCATCATTATAAAGCTCAGATGGTGCATTGTTATGAGTGTTACTATCTATTACCCACTAGTAGTAGTCTTTCATATGTTGCAGTTTTATTTTGTGTGTGTTTGTGTAACTGTCAAAATCAGGCATTTTAAAGATGGTCTTCCTTAAACTCTGATGCTCAAATGTGAAACACCTTGTGTAAGGAACTATTACACATAAAATACACATAATACATATGTGTATTAATTTGCACAAATATGCACACATATAAATCTGAAGATGTAGGTCTGGACTACATTATATCTATATGACATTAATATTTGGTATGTAAAATGCACTGTTTAAATATTTTCTATTTTTGTATTTCATATCTTGAAAATCTGAATTGTTTGACATTTGTTGCAACTTTGATATCTTTTTCACTTCTCATTGTGTTTTTTTTTTCTTCCTGAGCAGGTGTGTTACTTTGGCACAGTATAACATGGAGGACATGAATGCAGAGAATAGAATTGAAGCTGCCTGGGATTGGCTGGAAGAAAATGAACTTCCTCGATTTCCTGTTGCTAAAGAATACAGGTATTCCTTTTTTATAGATAGAATTAATTAAACATATGTGAGGGTGCTAAATGGTTATCTACTTGACTGAGGAATACTTTAAAAAAATATTTGGTCATTTGATCAGATTTTGAGAAAGTAAGTCAGGCCAAGAACTTTTCATCACCCTCTCAAACAATTATTATTATTGTGTGTGTATTCATGTATGATGATTGTGTATAGACACATGATAGTGGTTGGTGAGTATGTGTACAATGTGCTATGTGAAAGTACAGGAAATTTAATCATGAAAAAGTTGCTTATATTCTCCCCTCGGTTTTCTCTTAATTACTTCAAAATTATTCACTAAGGGTAGCAGAAAAAGTCCTTTGTATATATCCTTATTATACATTATACAAATTCCCCAAAATTTTGGATTGCACCTCATGAATACAAACTTATACTTATACATGTATGTATTATTTTCGTATAACAGACTTGTGTATGTTAATGCTTGAAGCCATCTATGATGAGTTCTTAAAGTATGAGAAATGAACTGAAGTCTTTCCTAAAGCTACCTCTTCTGAATTTCCACCATTTTAATTAAATGGTGAAATAATTCAACAGAAATAAAGACTAATAAAAAGTAACATGAAAAATGATGGAAAATTATTTTTCCAGGCTTGGGGGAATCATAAAAATTTTTAATCCTGCAAACAATATTGTATTTGAAGACTTGAGTCTACTAAGTAGAGTGACCACTGCAATAATACTAGTACAATTTAAAGAATTTAAAAAAATGTTGTTATAGTGGATACTTTGTATTTGAAATAGACCTTCATTTTTATTTATTAAACAGTGTAAATTATGTCTATCAGCCTGTATTTCCAGAACTCTTAGTAAAGGAAATGCATTCCCAGGCAGGATCAAATATGTATCCTCCTTTGTAGGGGTGTAGTGGACCCCTGGAAGAGGGCACAATATAATATAGCCTGTGTGCCCAAATAAAGAGTCACAGGAGGCCCACTAACACTTTTAAAAATAAAAGATGTTAATCTGACAGATCAACAAGAGGACAACAAAATGACAAACTAAAATTAATACAAAATTTATTTACATCATATACAAAAATAAAAGTAGAGTTTTGATTAAAGGAAAATGAACAATGAATCAAATAATGGAGGAAGAATTAAGTAAATTGAGAGATATTGACCAGCTAGAAGATCATAGAAAAAATTAAAAGTAATAAGTTAAAAGTAGAGAGCAGGTAGGTAAAGTTGGCATGAAAAACCACAGTTTGAAAGTTTAGTTTAAATGTCTGGTGAAAGCATTGAATAGTTGCTGGTTAAGTCCAATGATGAACCATCCATAGTATTTATCCAAAGTGTATGGAAATAGTTTGCTTGAGTCTGGACGATATAGCCAAAAAGGAAGTAAGTTCAATTTAAATGTCCAGTGCTGGCATTGAGTAGTTGCTGGTTAAGTTCAAGGGTGAACCTTCCATAGTGTATGGAAATAGGTTGTTGCAGTCTGGACAATAAAAATGCCACTTCCTAAACCAGGTGAGTTAGGTTGATAGGAAACACTGGAAGTTGATAGTTGAAGCTAGGCCAAAATAGCTGTACTGACAGTGCAGGCATTGATGAAATCCATGATGAAGCACCGAGGAAGTATTAGCCAATGTTGCATTAATGTCCCACTAGTTTGCTGGTTAAGTCCAACGATGAACCTTCTTTAATATTTAACCAAAGTGTATGGAATAGGTTGTTTGAAATCTGGACGATATGCATGCAACAACTTCCTAAACCAGGTGAGTTAGGTTGACAGGAAAGACAGAAGTAGGGGCCTATGCATAGCTGGAAGTTCAGGGCTGTTGTAAGCTGATCAATGAGGTGAGTTAGGTTGAGAGAGATGCCAGAAGTAGGGACCAATGTGTAGCCAGAAGTAATAAAGGTCAGGAATGCCAAAAAATAAGAATCCATGATAGCCAGAAGTAATAAAGGGCAAAAGTGCTGGAAGTAAAAGTGAACAGCAAAGTCCAACTAGCATCCAGTTGGCAGACAAAAATAAATGGGCATGTAACTCCAAGCACCCTGGCCACAGTGGCCAGGGGCCTGCATTTCTCATCTCTCTTCCTCCTATTGGTGAAAAGTCACCAGGTTATATAACAAGGGAGTATAATAACAACTCCAGGGCTTGCTAAGCACTTAAAATCTAAAGAAAATGAATCCTGAGTTGCTATGAAATATAAAAGGTATTATATGTTTCCTAAGAGTACCTATATTATGTTAGTGATAATCAAATGACTGAAAAGAAGTTAGGTTGATTATAAATCTAAATAAATTTGTAATATTGAATTGCAGGGTGTGGGCTAATGCAATGAAGGCTAAGGTCTAGACGAAAATATTGTGTTGGCCATGATTATGTGATCGAAGTAGCAAAAGGCTATGTTAGAGGAAACCACCATTTGATCTGGCGTGCTTTACTGCTCAATCACGAAGAATGTCACTGCAACCAAGGTTCTATTTTCCCTTTATGCATAAGCATTAATAGCTGGCATTACATACGCCAATTCCTTTTCTTTTATACTGCTGTGCTGTGAAAAATTTGTGTAAGCTTTACAATGGCATTAGAGAAATTGTAATTAAAGCAGTTTGATAACTTTTAAACATTATTTACTTTATATAGAGCATGGTAATATAATTTATATTTTCAAAATATTGAAGATATTAAAATTGCTTATTTATGTTTGTTACCAGTTTCAAGACAGGAAATGGATTACATTATTTGAATAACAAGGCAGTTATAAAAGCTATCAACAAAACACTCAGAAAGATCGCAAAAGACCAGATTGAAAATGAATAAATGCTAAGGTCATTATTGCTTTCAAAGCAGAAAATGGCTTTATTTGAAAAATAATGTGCTCTGTTACAGTCAGTTTATGTTAAGAATTAATTATGAGTACAGCAATAATGTTTTAAAATGTTTATAAAAGCAATTTTTTGGCATGCTTAAATTGGAAAAAATTAAAATAAATTTTCTAAAGAATTGCAGGTTGAATATTTTTAAGATTACAGATTGAATCTCCAGACTGCCAAGGATTACTCAGACCTTCCAAAGTTTACACAAAAAATATTGTATTTTGGGAACTTTTGCAGTAATGTAACATTTATGAGGATAAAATTTCCTGAGGTGTTTATAAATGGTACACCATTCAATTATTAACAATAAACTATTTTAAATTACATAATTGTACTTGGATTAATTTAAAATTACTTACAATATAATACATATTACTTATAATACATTCTTGCTGTCAATTTTGACAGCACATGTACACTAGTTAGTAAAAAATTTAAACTAAGTTATCTCCCTTACATATTCTTAATAGTGGAGTGTGTTTCATGCACATTTACAAAAAAATTCACAACTATCAATTACACTATTTTTTGGATGAGATTGAAGTTCTTGGGAAAATAAAAAAAATTACCAAAACTACAGCGTCTTTCTTACTCAGTTTTTTAACAGCACTAAGAAATTGATCTGTGAATTTGAGAGGATTAAAATAAAGGTAAATAGATATAATATGTATAGATTATTCAACCAAACATGCTTGAATGAAGATATGCTGTCTAAATATGCATACATACAGACACATGCACACACACATGGTGTCTCTAAAATCTGGACACATAGGTAAAAATGTATATTTTCATGAAATTAATTTTCAACATTTTATTGAACTGGAATATTAACAAATAACATCTTCAATATGATTTCTGATGCAAAGGTTGATGCGTTTTGCAAAATTCACATGAACTTTATGCAATAAATCCACATTGCCATCAATTTTAGCAGAGTCACTCTTTATGTGTTCAATCAAGTTGTATAATAAATTTTTAGTGATTTGAGTGAATACATTCATAAATTTTCAGCTCATTCTATTAAGAACACACACACAAAATAGTGCTGAAAAGTTTGGTAACAAAAATGACAATAACCAAACAGAACGCTTTTGGTACCCCTTTGTGTGTGGGTGGGGTAGATAATATATACTGGGGTGTTGCTGATCATATGATGCATTAATTTTGGAACAAGTTTTGTCATTTTTGTTCAGCCATACTTCAGACTGTCTTATGAGATGCTGGTAAATTTATTACATGTGAAAGTGAAGAATAAAATACGACATGTTTTGTGCTTTATAAACCAACAGACACTGGCTTTTACACATACAGATAATTTTGCAAAAATATACATATGGATCTTTTGTTGCAGTGCTTCTGACCAGGCTTGGTTATTACTGAAGACATACCTAGACAAATATGAAGAGCCAAATGGATGCTATCATAGGGTGACTGGAATCAAACTACTCTCTCATGATTTCCCCTTACCGACCTGGTTTGTGAACCCCTACAAGGTAAGTAAAGTTAAAATTCACTTAATTTACATATTAAAAGCTTGTCTGTAGATCACACATGATTTGCTGACAGCAGGTTTCTTTTATATACACCATAACAATTTTAATAACTGTAAAATGTTATTTCTTATTTGTTTTAGGTTGGTTTAGAACAGATTTGTATAGGAAGTTGTTTTGGCAAGAACTGCTTGTCTACCTTGAAAATCAGCATTTAAACTTGTTTTCACCTGGACTTAAACATTGATGCCAGTTGGAAATGCAAAACTCCTATATCTAACCAACAAGTTTTTTGTGTGTGTCTGTGTGTAACCTAGACAAAGTACAAAAACCATAACTATAAGTATTCACTTGCAACTTGGTTAGAAAAATAACCTGCTAAATATTATGTTACACAAAGCATCTGTTTTGTTTGTCTTAGCATCATTTCTATTTCATGATCAGTTTTCTCTGCTCTTGCTAACAGTTTCACATTTTCTCCAGTAAAAAGAAAAAAATATATAGACTGGGGTCAGTTCAGTGCATCAAACCATCCAGTACTCTGACATTTTGTCACTATGTACTCTAACACTAAGGTATTTAGATTTGGTGATAGCCTATGTTTTTTTTTTTTGCTTTGTTTCTTTTTATTATCATTTCTTATAAATTGGAGTTTTATATTTTAATGGTAATTTCTATTTTATCCATGTTTATCTGTTCTTTGTTATAAAGTAATAATAGATGTTTAGTTTTCAAAGTGATGGACATATTTTTAAAGTTGTTTTGTTTTTCTTTACTAGATTTTCTAATCTATATTTTTTCTTACCACTTTTATTAAGATTTGAATATTAAGCTGTGAAAATTAGAATGATAAATTGTTTCATATAATTTATATTAGTAATAATATTACAATTCAAATGCACCTCTTAAAAATATCTGAAAATTACAAGAATTTAACATTTTTAAATCAGCAGAACTGCCAAAAAGCATTCAGTAGATAACTAGAGCTATAATATTCAGTAAATCAATAATGTTAAAGTCCATTGAACATTTATTGGTTTATTGAGTGTAATTTATATTAGAAATATTATTTTCAGTTTCTTGTAACTATTTTTCACTAAAATATTTCCCTTTTTATGTGTAACTTATTTGGGGTTTTTTATTTTAATTTTTTCTGTTATTTTTTTATTTTTATTTTACTTTAAAATTAACAAAGATTCTTACATTTAATTTGAATTACTCATAGGGTAATCAAAGGTGGACAGAGTCTGTCTTGCCTAGCTTTCTTAGTCTTGAAATGATATATCAGTACTGGTTAACCTGGTGCTGAAATTGGGATCTTTGTCCAGTAATTTATCAATCAGTCAACAAATCAATACTTGTGCAAAAATGACAGTGATTAATGTAGACTTCTTGTTTTCTTGGTTATTGTTCTTAAACAATCGGTGACAGTTGCTTAAGGTGGCCTGAGTTTTGTAATTTTTCATATTGTAAATCTTGTTTTAGCAACTTCCTTTAATGATATATTTCTAGAAGATTTCTCCTATCTAGTTTTTTCAGCACATCTCAATTATTCTTAAATAGGTGAGCTTTATACCATTAAACCGGTTTAGATTGGCACACATGCACTCTGAATTTTTTTCTGTATCTGAAAAATCAGGTTATTGTGAAGTGATAGAGCTGTAATAGAAACATGACATTTAAATATAGATTTCAATGCCTAAAACAATCTTGTAAATTTTGTTGATTTGCAGGCCTTGGATTTTGCAGAATTATTGCGTTTGTATATAGGTTTTGACAAACTTGGAGAAGCTGTAAGTCTTGCACTTGAATATATCGAGGCAGTTGTGGGTGTATTGCAAGGGCAAGGTAATCAACTTTACAACCTCAAGGTAAGTAAAAACTGATCCCAAAACATGACCTAGAGATTTTTTTTTCCTGTAGGTTTTGTAAATGGACTCATCTGTCAGTAGTTGTTCAATTTTTTTTTTTTATTACCACCTTTCACCCAATCCATTCACTGGCCACTATTGTGGTAACAATAAAAGCAACACAGTGAGTTAAATAGTTTGAACAATTATTTGAATGATAATGTTTAAACATTGAACAAGTATCATATAATACTTTTGTTTCTTGCAGTAAAATTTTTAGCAAATTTGTGATTCTGAAAAAGAAATTTTATTGCAATTTTATTTTTTTTCTTGATTACTAAGTTTAAAAACCAAATCACAATGATCAGAACATTGTATAACGTCAATCATCCAAGTGGATAGATACTGCTTGCGTGAATTTAATAACAATAAAACTTGTGAGATTAGTGATGCTTTTAACATTAAGATGACAACAGCTGCTAAAAGTCCATGGTATAATGGAGTATGTGAGCAGTTAAATGCTGTGATCCAAAACAGTGTAATGGTAGATTGTAAATGTGATGAAGAAGTTACTCTAGTTTGGACAATAGCTGCAATAAATTCCATTACTAATAACATTTGATTTTCTCCTAATAAACTTGTGTTGGAATACAATCCTACTTTACCAAATGGATTTGAAAATGACCCCCCCCCCTTCCCTCTGCACTGGTACTAATGATAGCATTGTTTTCAAAACTTGTGAAGGACAACTTGCAAGCAATTAACTCAGAGAGACAAGAATTAATTCGAGTTCTGTAAATGACTTAAACAGGCCCTCTACCACAATGTCCGGGTCAGCTAAGGGAGCAATATTCAAGGAGGAGATGCAGTATTTTAAAAAGGAAGTCATCCACATGTACACTCACAATGCTATCAACTGTGTCACTGATATGACATGAGAAAAGTGCTGAATATTGATATTGTAAGATCTAATTTCAATAACTCATTCCTCACATGCAAGTACCACTTTCAAACAACATCACAAAGTCTGTGTACAATTTTCCTTAACTTCCATGTTTTACCATTGTCATATTCTGGAGGTAGTTTCAAAAAGACATGTTTTATATCTTTACTTTGGAGATTGGCTGATTTCACATCAATTGTGTAAACAGTGCCATTGTTTAGAGGATGCAACAGAAAGAAGTAATCTAACAGCTTTCCTAGAGTATGTAAATGGATCCTTGTGAAGACCCTCTGTTATATTCCGTGCTAATAGGAATATATACTCAACAAACATGGTGGATAAATAAGTAAAGGTTTGACAAGGTTGTTGTCAATCCAGTAGTGAGGGCTACTATTGGAAGGTCGGTAGTTCTTATGTAAGTCTGAGTCGTACTGAACAGATCCCAGCTAGTATATTTAGCTACCCCAACATGAGGGTTGCATGCGGCACAAGGCCGGTTTAACGTGGGTTCCCTTTCAAACCTGTATAAACAGGTTCAGGGGCAGTCTACCTCCCCGAACAAGACTCTGCCCTTCAGTGGAGCCTTGTCCGGATTCCTCTCTGCTCAGAGGCAGAGAGTTCAACTGTTTAGCTGGAACAGGTCACAGCTAGACTTATAGGTAGTTACTACCTATTATGTAGTTACTCATGGGGGTGATAGCTTATTCCATTACATCACCCTCAAAATGTTCTTCAAAACCTTGGGCTATGCACTGCTTTTAAAACAGGCTTCCCATCTTTAATTTTTTTCAGTTAGATGTAGTGGAAGCATGTTGGGCTCATTATCCAGAGGTCATTAGATTGGAATTATGCTTTCTTACTAAGTGTAAGAGCAGATACAAAATCCAAGAGAAAGAAATAACAACAATTTCTTGTTCAAAATGAAAAGGCTTCACCCAGACACCCTATACAAAAATTGACAAAAGAGAAATACACTTCCAGGATTGAAACACTTTTTAACCAGCCAGGGTATCAAAAAACTACTTTAAAAATCCTAACTTTAACTGTACTTGAACTCTGGTCTCTAGCACTTGTAGGAAACATGAAGCAGGTTAGGATTCAACTCATCTTTTTTTATACCATGAAAAAGATGAAATGATTTAATCATTGTATTATTCAGAATATTTTATAAGTTTGTTGGTATATGATTGTTTTATGATTTCATTTGAATGTCTTATTTTAATTGCATTTTATGTTGATTATACCTTATTGTTTGCAACTTCCAATATTGATGCAAGATAAATATTGCCTGACTTAATTTTGAGAAGTCATTTACATCCTAAATTTTGTCTTAACAACTTCGTTCTTTATGTTCAGACTTTTGTCAGGTGTGTAATTCATAAAAGAGAAAAATGTGTTAACAGTAATAATAAAAAAAAATACAGTAGTTCAGTTGTCAAAACAAAATTTGGTATATTTTGTGGAATAGACGTGACATAAATATTTATAACATTGACTTGCATATTGATTGAAAATTGAATCTTTTTCCTCCCCCACTCCTACAGGGTCAACTGAAGCATGATCCTCTTACAATATGGATGCCTATAACAAGTTTAGATCAAATGAGGAAAGCCTTAACAGAACACAAAGATAATGGTAAATATAAAGAGGTAAGTCCTTTCTGGTTTTCTCACTTCTCTCTGAGATGTGTGCATGGTATGCTGGATTTCTCATTCTAAAACACTATCCTGTGGTAGAGGGTCATTGATTAATTTGTTTTTATGGCTTATCAACCACTTGCAGGTTATTTAAAGCCAAAAAATATTTTTAGAGTAACAAATTTTTTGAGATAATGAGTTATTGATACACGTCCTACTAATTAACCGATAGCTGGGTGGGCAGAAGAGGTGGATTCATAGCTTTCCCAAGGGTATTTGCATGACTCCAATCTCTACTTCCGAGCTGTTATCCATTACACTACCCACACATCAAAGGAGTAGAGTTGAAAAATAATCCTAACCTGTATCAAAGCTGACACTGGTATTCCTGACCAGTCACTCATCTAGGTACTGACGATTTTGAAAATTTCTGGTCGACCAGAAATTTTCAAAATGGTATGCTGTACTGCTTGGCATTTGGACCAGAAGCTCCAATACAAACATTGGAAAGTGTTTGGGTGTCAAACTGAGGACAGTGCAGAGGATTCAGAGTTGGATGAATCTAATGTTGAAGATACGACAGCTCGGAAAACAATTTCTGCACCCTCATCACCCCCTTACATCCAGCTACCTAACTCCCCAAACTACAACCCCCTTTGATTATTACATGAGGGGTGCAGTTGAGTGAGAGACAAACAAAACTCCTAGTAACACCAAAAATGAACTGAAGGCAAGAATTATGGCAGTATTCATCAACTTAAACAAGGAGACCATTTAGAAGAGTTGCAGGAGATTCTGAAGTCTTCCAGATGCCATGGTTCCACTTGGAAGATTACGTGCAAATGATTACCATAATTTACCCCAAATATCATTTTCAGCTGTTGGCAGTCCTCTGGATTCTATTTTTAAAATTGAAAATGCAGATACCCTTAGTTGTGACTAAAGACTCCTTTATGAATATACAGTGGGTATTTGTAGAGGTAAGGTGGACTTTAGATTTGCATCATGGAAAATTGGTCCATTAAACCAGTCAAGGTGGTTAACTTTAGGCATCAGTCTGATGTGCTTATGGACTCATGGTGCATACCCACGAAATATTTCAACCAAACTCCACAGTTTAATAAATTTTATTGTGAATGTGTATGCCATTTGCCAGTTCCAAAATAAAAAGAAATAACAAGTTCCACAATCAGCAAATGTATATTTTCAATATGATCCAAAGGATTAGGAAGCAACCATATGAAATCCAACAGATCACATTGAAAATATACAATACAATGCTTTCGCCTTACTGCCTGAAAAATATCTTATATTCAATGGTCAAATCTGATGAACGGGAAGTGAGGGAAGAAGCTATAAAAAGAATTTTGGCCATTAGGTTAGTAAATATTTATTCATATAAAATTGACTAAATTAGTTATACCGATTTATGGAATCATTTTAAGGATTTTATCTAATTTCAACATAAATATTAAAGCAGTACAGAGTGCAATTTTTAAAAAAATAAATCAAATTAATTTTTATATTCTTTCAAGAGTGGGGAACAAACCAAGAAAAAATTAAAAAGAATCACAACTATCAATTTTAAAGCTATGCACTGGAGACAGTTAAAAGATCTGTCATTAAGTAGAATTTATGAACCACTACTCACAGAAGAATTTTCCGAAAATGAACTTCAGGAATAATTATTAAATGGTACGAAACTTGACTTGCCAGATTTGCCCTCCCATTCTCAAGGCATGGAACGGGCAGTCAAGTTAACAACAGAAGCTTCTCAATCTGTGTATGGCTTTGAAGCAAGGCACCAGCACATAATATCAAAAGCTTTGTCAGAAATTGTGACCATCAATTTCATCTGAGGGTTCTTATATGGAGCTATTTGACTCTATATATTAAGCCCTATTAAACTATACTGCTTAATTCATGAGGTAAAAACAGCATTTCAAAATCATCAGTGATAGGGGAGGGGCAAATTTTCAATTTGAAGTTTATTTATAATTTCTACATTTTATTTCATTTTGCTAAAACAAAATAACAACATTCCCTGATTTAAATAGTGAAATTGTTTGTTTTTTATCAATATTTAGTCTAAATCTTGCAAAATCGTGGATTTTTCAGTGCTTTTTGTCTACGATCTTTGATGCCAAATGCTCAAAAAAAACGTTGAAGTGACAAATCTAATTTTTTTGTATCAGTACTTAACTGGTCTATACACAACTTTCCGTACATTATTCTTTTTGATATTTTAAAAAAGACAAAAATCGACCTACCTAATATATATATATATATATATATATATATATATATATGTGTGCATAAGCAGACTTTATATTTAGTGTAACACCAGATTTTTTTTGCATGAATTTTAACCATAGAGAAAAAAAATATTTCCGTATAGTGCAACAAGTCACTGAAAATGCATGATTTTTTTTTTTACATGAAAACTATACCTATATATATATATATATATATATATATATATATATATATATATATATATATATATATATATATATGGTAATTCAAGTATAAATCTTAAAATGGTAAAATTTAGAAATAAATTAAATCTGGAAAAAGATTGAAAATGAAAACATGATTACTTTGCTTTTGTAGTAATAAGTTGTTTTATGTGATGATCTGAAATTGAAGTTTTTAAGTTCCAAGATCATTTGTTTGGTTTTGTTTCTCAGATGAAGCTTATTCTATCATGGTGAATAAAATAACCAACAATATTGCCTTCTGCTCATAAGATTTCCACAAATTCTATGTTGCTCAGTGACTAACTGGAGGTGAGAGGCATAGAGCTATGGTGAAATCATTGCTAATGTAGTAAATTTGATTTCCTCAGAGTTGTACAATATTGTCCTTGTGCCTGTATAAAGTTAGTAAATATCCTTGTAAAGCATTAGCTGTAGTGTAACCATTAAAAGGCTAGTTTAACTAGTGCAGTGAGTTTTTTCACTGGGTACCCTAATATTGTCAGATTAAAATTAATATGTACAGAATAATAATAATAATAATAATAATACAATGATTATTGTGGGCCTTGTTCTTTGACTTGAGCACTTTCTCATGAAGGAAATTATAGCACTTTATTAGAAATGAGAATTTTATTAGAAATAATTTTTTGAAAAAATCTCTGGCAATCAATTTCAAAAAGGTAAACATTTTTTCTTGTATTTTTTCTTTAATTTACCTTCCTTTCTTTGCTGCTAAATGCTTCCTATTATCAACATTTCCTTTGTACTTACCCATTAAAAATATTCTTTTTCCAGCTTTACAATCAGTTAGACAATAGCATCAAGAATTATCAATGGAAAGTGGAAGAATTATCTCAAATGGGCAATAACAGTTTACGAATGAATGAATGAGTGAGCTTCAACCTTCACAACTGCATCCATGGCCTGTAGAAGGGTCTCAAGACACACGTAAATACCTATGCCATTCCAGCCATTGTTTATAGAAGGGTTCATATCATCAATTTTTTTTTTTGTCTATCATGTGATTATTTTATTTTTATTTTTATTTTTTTTTTTTGAAATTAAAAAAGAAAAAATAAAGAGACTGATTTTAATGTTTTGTTTTTATTTTACTCTCCTTTTTCTAAAGCTGAAATTGTTAAAGTTTATATTATTTGGATTGTAACTCACCTAAAATTTATCCTTCTTTCAACAGAATTGCTACAATTATATCTTTGTAAAAAGGAAAAAAGGGTTGGAAAATATTCTCAAGTGCCCTTTACTTCTCCAGAGGAGAATAATTTTTTTTAAATGAGTTAATCCAGATTTAAAATTGTAAGCCTGTTAAAGAGATTGTATGATTATTTTAGTTTTTCTTCTCTTTCATGGGTTTTGGGTTTAAATTTTGAAACATTTCTCCTAATTTTTCAGTGAGATTTCAGTGGTGGGCTGATGAGGTGCAGAATTCATTCAATAGATTCCTGAGAAATAATGTACTCACCTTTTCATTGTCTTGAAGTTCTTAGGGAAGTAAATTTTTCTTGAGATATCTAATCAGCCATTCTTAGATAGTTAAGTCAATGTTGTAAATTGGATCCATAATGTATAAAGCAAACCATATTGGCTTAAATTTTGCAAATTTATTTGCTATTAAATCACTGAGTATTTATATTTGTGTCAGATGGAAACTGCATTAATATTGGACAGATCAAGAAGAAAATTGTGTACTGATTTTAAATTATTAATGTTATTTGCTATAGAATAATTAAGGCACTTTCTATAATTGTGGTTGAAAAATTACTTAAAATGTCTGAAATATTACTGAAGTCTTTTTGATATTTCCAAAGCCTGGTTTAGTCTGGCACAAGGCTAAGAAGATTGTGTTGAACTAATTCTCCAAGTGATAATTACCTGTTTTAAAAATTAGCATTTAAAATACTAACCACTGATACCAGTATGAAATATTCAACTATCTGAGCTACAAAGTTTGTTTACAGAAACTGATGATTTACTAAGCTGAGATTGTCACAAGGTTACAGAAGAAAATAGGAAGATCTTCTAAATAGCATCCAGTGAGATTCAGATTTACTACAATAGTAATGATTTAAAACACTAGTTGATAAAGAATTACTTCCTGACATTGTTGGAGAAAGATTCCTTGGGTCACTCTTTGAATAAAAGAATGAGAGAAAAGACTATTGTGGGTTCAAATAAAATATTTATTTAAATGTAGGATGCACAAATTTTAACTGTAATTACTTATGAAAGTTAGAAAGTTTGATGAAATATCATTCTGAACCATAATATTCTAAAAATAACCTTGTCATCAGTGATGATAGAAAAGGATATTTCATCATCCTACCCTCATCATTATAAAAAATGACCTTTCCACCATGTGGCAGGACCAGTAGACAAGTAGTAGTCAGTAGAAACACACATTTGTCAGCACTACAGAAGATTGAAAACAGATGATTTCAAACGCATCCTCAGAAACGAAATTTTCAGAACCAAACCAAGTAAGCACTGACTTTTAAACAAGACACTGAGAACATTTTTACACGCGCCATACCAATATTCTGTAATTCACATCACAAAAAGAAAATACAAATTCTTGTCAACACATGTCTCAAGTTTGTTTTTTTTTTTGTTTATATTCTATATTTTAATTCATTTCGTTTTCAATATAAAAGAAAAGGATTTCTCCTGCACTATAAATACATATAGCAACAGGGTAATTACGTTAACAACACTCAAATAATATCAAGTCAGGATTATTACTACATCAACATTTACTATTACCTACCCTGTTGCAAGTTCTTCTCTTTCACTGTAGGGAAATGAACATGAATGGTTTTTCAGTGAGGAAGATAGTGGAGTTGGGAGACAAGACCAAAGGGAGTCTGCTGTTGCTTTGGTGTGAAAGACAAGATGCCGAGGTTGACTTGTCTCTCTTTACTGCTGTCAGTCTTCCTGTCAGAGTGGAAGGAAGGTTTGTTTTTTTATGATTTTGTGTAGGCTCCAGAATCCTGAGTTTATTTACTGGTAGGACTTGATTTTATTGGCTATTTATTTTTATTAAATTGAAAATTTGAAGTATGTTTGAAACCTGGAAAGCTGAGAGCCCTTGTGCGGTGTATTTAATTTTGTCATTTGCTCCTTTGATTTGATGTTGTTCACTTCCGCCTATTCCACAACATAATGCCCAATAGATTGCTTCATATGTCACAAATTTGGGGCGCTCGGTGAGGCTCGAACTCAATGGTATACGAGACTCTTGCTAACAATAAACGCATCGTGATTGATTTATGGGGCCCAAAATTGAGAAATGACTGAATTCAACAGATAATACATTTTCGGTAAAGAATATTATTTGTTTCTGAAAATTTTTTTCCAGATAACATTTTTCTGTGTGTTTCTGTTGTTTTCTGAGAAAATGAAAGTTTTAAAATAAATGAATGTGAAAGCGAGCGAAATGACTCTCTAGTAGGGCTTCGATTTTTACAATAATGTCAAAATTGTATGCATTCTGACTTTGTATTTGACATTATTGTTTTTTCGTATTTTAAAATCATGGGCTAAAACATAACGTCAACGAAAAAGATCAACTATTTTCATAAAAACGAAAACTAATGAATCCAGTTTAGCATTTTAAGCTTACATCAAGAACTATGCAAATTTAATTACCAAACAAAATTATAGTCATACTATTCATTCAAATTACATAAAAATACACGCTAAAAATATTTTTTTACTACAAAATTTTTACATAGTTTAAAATCTTTGTATGACCGAAAAGCAGCCAAAAAATGACCCTCTTCTATGGCGGTGTGTCCCCCCCCCTTTTTTTTTTTGCCAATGTCCAAACATTTTTACACAAGCTGCTTTCTTCTGTCCCGTGTTAAATTCTCCAAACACATGTGCATCAAAAATTTCAATTGTCTCGATCTGATTATTAAGTTTTAATTTTCTAGTCGTCAGTTGAAAGAAAACCTAAGAATGTCGTCTGTCGGTAAAGCCAATTCTTTCATAAAGAACTCAGTAGTAAATGGTCTGTACGACACATTTGCTCACCGCATTTGTGAAGACTGCTAAGCGACTCCTTGTGGTTTAATTTAAATACAAAGCATAAAAATCATAACTGTAGCAGACCAAAAAAACAAATTCCCTTCCTTAATGTTTGTTTGATTTTTCAATCTTCGTTCCCAAATCCATGTTGAAAACAAACATTTAAAACTCTTGTTCACGAAGTAACCTAAAGCGTCGAAAATCCCTTTTTATGTTCAAAGTTCACCTGGTGCAATATCAAACAAAAATGTATTTTAAATATTTCCTAATTAAAAAAACAAAAAAAAAACATCGAAAATAATCTTATTTTTTCCCCTGCTCTTGCAATATAAATTAAATACAATTTCCATTTAAAATTCTTTTAAACCTTCAGGTGCAAAAAAAGTATTAATTGAAGAAATGAAAAAAAAAAAGTTTCTTGCTGCACTAAAAGCCTTTAATTTATTTTCAGTGTTCCTACATTTGCAATACAAAAAAATGTTAAAAAAAAAATATAAACCCATAAACCCGAATTTACAATGTCGATTGCATATATATATTCTACTAAAAATAGAAATCTGCGTGAAGCAGTTCAGATAATGAAGACAAAAAAACTCTATTATTGACATTGTCAAAATCAAAATGAGCTCGTGCCAAGAGGGGTTTCCGTTTAATTAATATTTCAACAGATACTCCGTTACTGTATCATTGTGCCGGATTAAGCAACACTTAATGAATAAAAAGAAAGAGAGTCTCTACCGCATTGCAATGGTTAGCAAGCTTCTTTTTTTTTCTTTTTCTCCGACCGATTATTTCTCCAACAATATTTCTCAACCGGTGTTTCCCGGAACCCTAGGGATTCGTGATAAATAGGCTAAAAAAAAAAAAAAAATGCATTTTTGAGTATTTTTTTTTTTTTTTTATTTTGTTCGTAATTTTAACTGTACACATATTGTTAGGAAACCCTTGGTTGTTATTAAGGTTCCAACCAATTAGAGACTTATTATTTTAAAATTATTTAGTGATGTTATTGTTAACTAACAGAACTGTTTATGGCGCCCGTGTGAAACTACCTTCACTGGTTAGTGGATCGAAACTTGGCGGATTCTTGTCATTGAGTGACTCACTCGAATACAGGACGCGTTTTCATGTTTTTTTTTACTACATGAACTACGATAAAAGAGAATGCTATAATAATTTTTATGCTGGGATTCGCCGAGGTATGATAACTGTTTCAAAATCAAAAAGGGTCCCACAGGAAGAAGGGTAAAATTGAAACGCTCTAGAGAGCATTGCTTTCAATTGATGGGCCGCGACACTCTTAAGAAGTGCGCTCTTAGAGGGTATCGTAAGATTTTTAAAACTGGCAAAATTAATGTAAAAAAAAGTAAAAGGTAAGACCGTATTCAAGGAAAAAAATAGTTTAACAAGTGAGAAAACGCACAACATAGCATTTTTTCTTCGGTCGATTTCAACTGTAAAAACATATTTCTACTACTATTCCGTCTTTGGTTTTTGCTGGTAGTACGCCTGGGCGATCATGTCTCTCTTCGATTCGTAATTGATTTGGCGGTAGAATGGTTGCCAACCAAGGTAATAGGACCCAGTATGTCCTGTTAGTTATTTAATCCATAGCTGAGGAGAAGAGATGGGTTCATACCTTTCCTAGGGATATTTGCGCGTAAGTGGATGTAACGAACTCGACTGGAATTCGAACTCTGGTTTTCGATTTCTCATTCCGAGCTATTATCCATCACACCACCCGCACATCCAAGATTACAGCACTTATACTCAAGCGGTCACCCATTTTTACGTAGTGACCAGGCTCAACGTTGCTTAACTTCGTTGATTTGATGAGAATTGGTGTTTCAATGTGAAGCCTTATCAGATATAAGGCTGTAAAAAAGCTACTATATAAAAATTAAAAAGTCATTTTTTAATGTTATTGTTTGGAGAATAAAAATATTGATTCTGAAGAGAAAACACTATCCGAGTGTAGCATTTGTTTTTAAGTTAATGAAACGTACCACTGGCTTTCAATTAGGTTGACGAGGGGACAGAAAAGCACTACCCTAGGGCGTCTCTGCCATTAAAAAGCTCGGTTCGTTACATCGATTGTGTCCGCAAGCCTCACTAAGTACTTTTCTTTCTCTGTTGTGGTCTTATGCCAAGCTAGTAAATCATTGTTAAGCCGGAGTCTTCTACAGTAACCTGCTGGTCAGTAAAGAAAGCTCATCTTCTTGGCGGCAATTTGCCAGTTTAATGATTTTTAAAAGCATGACGGTGCACACAGCATTGATTGTCACAATGTCACTGCTAGTTTCGCATACCATTGCAAGTGGGGCGAGTTCGAATCTCACTGCACTTCTGAAGCCTTATACTAAAAAGTAAACTTATAATACTAATAATTGCTACATGCGCCACGGTTACCATACGAGGGAAATTAGCTCATCATCTAGCAGACAACTGTAGGAATAATTCGGTTCGATCCTTACAAGACAACGTCCATGTTCCAGACTAAGAAGGCAAATCTCTCTACTCTCTAGCTGCTAGCAGGTGTAAACATGAACTAAAATTAAAAATTGAATGATCTTAAAATAGAGTACTTAAATATGTTTAATGTAAGATTTTCTTATTAATTTTGTTTTTATTGTTAATAAATTTTATTTACATCTTATTTAAAATAAATAATGCAATATTGTGACGTCATCGACCCGGCGTCTGATCGGTCGATTTTAAATTTTAACAATTTTTTTTTTCATTTTTATGTTTTTTTTTTTTTTTTTTTGCTAAGCGTTCTCTTTGAGATTCATTTTTTTCTTTTAAAAATTCTTTTTAAATCCAGTTCAAATTTTATGATATATTGCGTATATTAAAGCCATTGTTTTCACTCACTTCACGCTTTGATGATACTCGTCAGTCACGGATAAAGAATTGTGCCGCCTTTTTATTTAAAATTTCTGGGAAAATGACATTAATTATGAAACAAGTACCTCATCCTCCGATCTACTGTCAATAAAAGAAAAAGAAAAAATAACTTCAATCCGACCATTTTCATAATTTTAAACTTAAAAAAAAACTAAAAAGTAACTTATTTTTACGAGAGAAAAAAAAAAACTCAAAAACTAGTTAATTAATTGATCTCTAACAATAACATGGAAGACCATGATGACGAGCAGTCTAAATCGATTCAACAAGACATGTCGGATAATATGACGCTGCTTCCGGAGAAAAACGGGCAAGATCAAACTTTTGAAAATGAAGGAAAACTTTTGGAAGTCGTCTCGAGACACATCCACTCGAGGGATGATGAAAATAATGCCAAGGACGACTTTCCGAGTCCTTCACCTTGTAAAATTGCTCGTCACGAGACACCAGGCTTGAGTTCTACGGGCAACAGACAATGTGATCCTACCGAGGATAAAACCCTCAGATGCGACCAGTCCGATTCCTCTCCTTGTCTAAATTTATCCCTGCCGACACCGAGCACTTCAGTTGTTGTTTCCAAAGAAGTTGGGAACAATTATGAAGAGAAAGTCCATCTTGCCAACAACGACAAAAATGGTTTAGACATCTCCAGTTACACTCTCATGTTTCCCAACACCACCAGACAAGGATCGATTTCAGCGGCTCCAATCACCAATAATGGCCAGGTTCAGAACATCCTCGTGCTTAATCTACCCCCTGGAGTGAATGCAGTCTTATCAGATCAACCGTCCGAGACAGAAGATAATATGTTAATGACTCCGGACATTGGTCAGGGACTTCAGGAGGTCACTAACATGTCGTCCTGTACGTCTTCCTCAACTCCCCAGGTTGCATGCGACACTACCACAAAGCATAATTATTCTGACGACAGTAAAGCACGAAAATGTCCCGGAATCGAGTCCGGTACAAGCAGGGTGAAGTTTCTCAGCCAAGTGACTCCCGATGGATATGTTTTCAACACCCCTGAACAGAATTTGGCTCATCCTAGCTCGAAAAACATCTTAAACGCTTCTTTCTCTTCCATTTCTTCTTCAACTTCGCTAAGAAACGATGAGTTGGGCCGAAGTCCTAATTCTTTAAATCATGTGGAGGTGGAAAACTGGCAAAAGTTCAGGGATCACAGCAAAGAAAAGTAGGATTTTTTATTTTTATTTTTTTTAATTCAATACTAACTTTATTTTTATTTTGCTGATAGGATGGTGTGCCTGTGTCTCATTTGTTGAGTAACTATCAGCTGGTTGATTCAGTCTTTCTATTTTGAAAAAAAGTACTATTCTCATTCTCTCTTCTTATCAGAAGCTTTATAGTTTTTTCTTTTACTATAAAAATTAAATAACTTAAAATTGTCATAATTTTAAGTTTTTTTTTTTTTAACATTTGAATGGATTTTTGGTATCTTTTTATTTATTAGTTCTTAATGATTGTTTTGCAAATACCAATGACAAAACGTGATAATAAAAATAATGACAACAGGCGCGTGTTCTAATCTAAGACGAGGAAAATCAGTCCAGCATTATTTTTTTTTCATCAAAACTTAAGTTACAAGTACAACTATTTTAGTTTTATACCTGACTTCAAGTATTAAGTAAGAAATAAGAATTTTTTATTCGTTTGACAATTTTGTTACGTTTTTTCATTGTGAGTAGTTTGCCTTTTCATTTAATTGAAATTATTGTTACAAAATAAATATAAAAAATAAAGCTACTGGTAAAAATAATGTTTGCAATAAGTCAAAAGAAAAGACAAAGATTTAAAAATTGGTTTCGGATTTTCGGACGCTGCCATTAAAAAAGAAAAACGGGATTATTTTTATTTTACTTCTTCAGATTCAGTTGAAATTAATTCGTTTTCCCCAGAAAACAATTAAATACAGCAGTTTTTCTCATGTTTACTGAAAAAATTCATAAGTAATAACACAAAACAAAATTATTTAAAAGAAAAAAAATTTTTTTCATTCAAATTTGTTTCTTTAAAAATATTCCAACTTAAGTTAAAAAAAAAAAATGCATCAGTGTCCTGTAAATAAAGAATGTTTAGAACATTTTATTGAAAACGAAAAAAGTAATTCAAAGATTTTATTTATTTTCTTGGACTCAATTGATTTCAATGTCAGTGTTACACGCCTCTTTTTTTCCCTTTTTTCTTTTAACTTAACATGCATTAAAAAAAGTACGTTTCTACTCTCCTTTTCTTAACGTACTGAAAAAGGAAAATAACGATCTTTAAAAAAATTAATTGAAATGTTTATTTTTGGACAATTTTTGCATGTGTGTATGTTTCAGGAGCAAACAAAGCATACCCAACTTTTGTCAATCACTCTCTCTTTGTGTACAAAGTTTTGAAATTGTCAAGAAAATATGTTAAAACCCTAGTTTATTCACGCCGAAAAGTAATCAACATTCCATTACAATAAATGTTTTTCAAAGTTTAGTAAAAGAAATATAAAATATTTATTTAGTAATTTAAAAAGCAAAATTCTAACAACCATGGTTGATACCAACTCTCCAGTACAAAATAGAAGTTTAAAGAAAGTAAAAGAAAAAAAGCATATTTTTTAAAAAATAATTTCTTAAACTGTTAAATTTTCATTAAATTGAGAACCTGGTGTAAAATAGGCTCTAAATGGCACTATGGTCAGAATAGGTCAGTGCTGAAAACATTGTGATAACAACAAAAAAGTAATAAAAAGCATGAAAACAGTAGTCAGAACAACTCATAATTACAGAAGGAATCTGAAATTCAAATAGGCAATTATCAGTAAGGAGTTATGTAGTATTTGGTGCTGAAAGTTTAATGATCTGACACACTTCCCCAAATCTAACCAAACATCAGAATTTTTTTTCTTTTTGAAATCCCTTCTTGGTCAGACCAAGAACTTTTCATCAACCTTATACATTAAATAGCTAAAGATTCTAGTTTTGCAATTTTATTTTTTAAAGTTGTTTTATATTCCCTGTATCAACTGATTAATTGAGCCAAAAAGGTTTTCTGATGTAACTGATTTTTTTTCTTGAAGCTCTCCTACAAGTATTTTGAATGGGATGCAAGGCTTTGGGCCATTAGCCAACCACATTCCAGTAAGCAGCTACATTCTTGATTCTAACCAAATGATGTCAGATTCACCACAGATCAACCATGATCCAACTGTACAAGCAACACATCAGGTCTGCACTTTGGCAACATCTCAAACTGGAAGCCAAATTCCAAGCACACCACATTCAAAGCATGGCCAGCTGACCTTTTGCCATAATGGCCTCATTCCACAGGTACAATTTGTCTGAGAATACAGCTAATTCTATCCAGATTGATATGCTTTCATGACCAGTGTATTAGCATACCAAATAAATCCAGTATGAAACTAAATCTTTTATTCCTTCCTAAAATAATTTGTTATTCTGTGCAAAAAGAATTATGATAAATCTGAATTGATCTTTTCCTATTTTCTAAAGATTTGTTACTGGAATTTCATTAAACTAAAATCTTAAGGTGCTAAGTTGTTTTTTACTTTATGATTTAATCTTCTGAGTTTACTTTGTTGAGTGTGGACTTGCATTGTCATTTTGAAGGCTATCATATTTTATGTTGAACAAATTAGGTCAATTTTTACATTAATCTTTACTCATTCATTTACTTATTACCTTGCTTTATTCTAACATTTCATAATAGACAAAACCTTCCATATCCATAGATTACTCACCAAGACGTTATCTGGGTAGGGTTTTGGTAAGGATGTTAAATTAACCTTAGAACCTTAGATTCTTTCAATAAGAAATAAAATTAGTTTCATAGCATGCTTTGCTATTGTTATAATGAAGTTTAATTTTTGTTTCATTTTATTTCCCATGTCAAAAATGTATTGTTTTCTAAACACCCTAGCACTTTAACGTCTATCATCTAATACCTACTATCTCTATCTGATTTTTTATATGTATTATACAATTATTATGTGTTTATTATGTAAAAGCCCTTTCAATTATTTGTCAGTGGTCATGCTAAAGCAAATATAAAATTAAATAAATTCTACCATAATTCAAATATCTGATTTGCAGATAGGCAGGCAAATGATGTATCTGTTTAAACATTTTGTTTGAATACTGAATAAAATTAATTTAGAAATACTAAAAATTAAGAGCTTGTGTAATTTTTTTTTTTTTTAATATTGATGTCTTTAAATTCATTTAAAACAAAGTAAATTTAATAGTTTCTTTAAATTTCTGTTACATTTTAACAAAAGTTGTTTTAATGTTTAAAATCAATCATAGCTTTCATCATTTTTTCAACAATTTAGTTAATTTTATTTGCAATATTATAAAAATATATATATAAATTCCTTAATAGCTAATTGTATATAACTTTGAGTAGAACAGGGTTTACAGCCAACCTGGAAATCAGCAAATTGAAAATAGTCAAATTTTTAAAGAAAATTCAGGGAATTATCAGGGAATTTTGGTTTAATGTCAGGAAAATTATGGAATTTTCTAATGTAACTTGGCATGCATCAAATGACTTGTTTGTCACATGTTTTTTTTAGATTGAAAATAAATGCTAAATGTTATTTAGTTTCTAGGATTACTAAAAATTTGAATAAAAATTTCTACTTCTTTCACTCCTAAATGGATGGACCAGAGTTTTAATCATGATTTTGCTTCATTGGTCCTGCCAATGAAAGATGAGTAATGTGGGAAGACAATCACTTGTTAGTCTCATGGAAAGTGAAAAACATAGAAAATGTTCCTTAGTTCCATCAGTTCAGGCCTTCACAACTAGAACCTGTCATGCCACATACACAGGGTTGACTCATCCTCATTCCCCTTATATTCCATTGATAAGGAATTTCCACTCAGACAGTTTCTTCCCCCAAGTTGTTACTTTGTGGAACAAGAAATGATAAGAAATATAGAGGATTGAGTGTGGTTGCTGAAAGGCTACAACAGAGTTAATACCTAAGCTTTATTCTCTGTTAAAAGAACTCCTCTTTATTATTAAATATCATTAATAAAGAGTACTACAGTTTGAGAAGGTTAAATCCATTGAAATACATTTCAACTGTAACATTCATTAGTTTAATGTCTGTAATATCTTCTAACATTACACAGGTGACTGTCAGCATTGCACAGATTTAAATTACAGCTATCTCCACATATTCCTGTAAAGGTCTTTTGATAAGAAGGAAATAAGTGTTCCTTGTAGCAGAGCAAAATTATGACAAAATTCGAAGTTATGAACAAATTTTTATTTTTTGTTTATTTATTTTTTTTTTTTTACAGTGAGGGTCACCCTTTACAAGGCCCTTTGAGGTAGAAGGTTACATTTGGAGGCAGTTTTGCGTGTATAGGAGTGGAAGATAATGGTTAACCCTAGCCTTGAACAGGTTAAGATTATAGTGATCAGAGAAACATCCTGTTAGGAGTTGGTTCCACAGGGCAGTGGTTTGCTGGAAGAAGCTGCTCAAGAGGAACTTCTCATTGATGGAATATGGAGAGAATGTTGGTAGTTTGCTACTATGTAAGTGGCATGGCATGTTTTTGCTGTGAAGGTTTGCCATGGCAGGACCAGGGAATCTAGTTTGTCCAAGCACTTTCCGTGGAAGTAGCAGTAGGGCAGTACATGAAACCTTGTACTGCCTCCTGATAAATGCCTTAAGGCAATCAAAACTCTGAAGTTCTGTTCATCAGCAGGTTTATTGAAAGCCAAAAGTGTGAAACTAGAAAAAATACAAACTAGAGACTAGTTTAATCAGAGTAACAAGATAAGTAAAAAGATGAAAAGGGAGGGAAAGAAGAAATATCACAAAGGGGCTCTGAAGACTGTACATAGCTGAGAGACTAGGGATCTAAATAAGAAAAAGTAGTAGTTTACTAACAGGAATTATATTTTAAAGTTTAAAATAACTGAGTTACATTATTATTAAAATATGACATGGCGTGAAGACAGTTAACATGTGAAAAGGGATTCACATGACAAGTACAGCTAGCAAAAATAAATGTGAACAAAGTGAAACAAATGTTCAAATAATAATGGGATATTAAGAGAGTTCAATACTTATGGAAAGAAAATAAACATTACATATTAGTGATGCCATCATTTGAATAGGTTAAAAAGTTATAAAAAGGTAACTAAATTGCAACTAAAAATATTAGTCACTGCATCATTCTTCTTTTATTCAAGATTGTCAAAAATCTAAAGTATTTAATTTATATTAGGCCAATGTATATTCCTTCTTGAAGGTAAGGTTTCTTTAACAATGAGTCTATTCACTTGTAAGCACATTCTAATTAATGTCATTGAAAAAAGTTGGTTTTAACCTGTCTATTACAACTCTTTATTGTTGATGAAAACTGAAGAAATTGTTTTCTTTTAATAACCTCTTGTGTCCTTTGTATGCTGACTGTATAGGATGCTTTAACACACTATATCTTTAACAAGTAGATGAGTACATTCTGTATAATGAAAATGTGGCAAATGTATCAATCATTCGTTCAGTTTGGATATGAATCAGTTGAGACATTTTAAACCCTAATTGGTCTACAAATGATGTAAGGTTAATATTTTTGGTAGGAATTTTGATGACAAGTTGACCTGGTAAATGTAATGTAATTTTATAAACAAGTTCTGCAGAAGAACAATTTAAGTCAATCTTAACTGTTGCATGCACCCCTAAAATTGCCAAAGGCAAATGATCCATCCAATGTATATTATCTAATATTGCTTTTAGAGCATTCATTATAGAATAGTGAATATGCTCTATTAGTCTTATTAGGTGATATGCAATAGATCCAAGTAAATTAGTTAATTGGTATAAAAACTGATTTGATAACTGAAGGGATCTAACAATCCAACTGTTAAGTACTGTATATGTTATTGACTCTGCTTGCTCATCTGTTATTGGTATTGTCTCTGCAAATAAGTATATACAAGTGACCATTACTAAATGGAAATAGTTCTCTAATATCAACATGTATAGTGGTTAAAACATTCATCAAGAAGTGGGGAAAAACCAGCTTCATATTTTATATATTTCTATTCAGATTGATTATATGCTACTTTATTATAATTGATCAATTAACTAGAAATATGTGGTAATTAACAATTAACCACATTAATGGTTCTAACACTTCTCACCAACAGAAATGTAGAACATAATGTGATAATATGTATTGAGGGTTTAAGGAAGATTGTTGAAAGATTACAGTTGGGACAGTTCTTTTAAACTCTCCATTTACTTAAGCAATACAAAAAAAAACTTACTCAATATCATAAATGTGTAGCTAAAATTTTATGCAGGGAATGTGGAAAATCAAGTCTAATGTAGTTTTATGTCATCGGCAAAAATTGTCTTCTTGAAAAGTTGCCTTATTGAAGAACAGAAGTGAGTAAGTGGAATGACTATGTTGCTCATCATTTATCTGTCATATGGACCTTGTAAGCACATTATTTAATACAACCTTTAATCAGTTATGTAAAACATTTGTGGCTCTTAAAATCATGTAGATTAAGCAACCTATAAATTTGAAATTTGATAGGAATTTGTCTTGTTCATATTAATGTAAGAATTTAAAAGTTTTTGGTTTCAGGATTAAAAAATTATAAAATATACTAAAATTGTAACTAAAAGTTGTCAACACCTGTGAAATTTGCACAAATCAGCTTGTATAAAATGAATGTATGTGTACAGAAGCAAATTATTTTGCTGATAATTAGCAAGAAAGAAAACTCATTATGCAGATATGTCAGTGATTAGTTTCAATCTTCATTAGTATTTCACTTGTTTAGCTAGTCAGGGTTATTTTTATCCTTGAGTTTGATGATGTCAATATTTCCTCTTTAGAAATCTTTACAATCTCTTTATTCAAACTTCTACAATAAAGAGATTTGAAAAATAAGTGGATTTCATCAGATACTAAGAAACAATGCAATATTTGTCAAATTTTTACTCTAAATCAAGAATTAATAAAATTATTCAAAAGTGTTTCGTACATTATTGTTCTTGCCACCTTTTAGGGATTACAAGTCATCTTGTATCCTTTATATTTCATTGTAAATTTAGAGTGAATCTTATAAGTCACAAAATACAGCACTATAAAATATTTGCTTTCTTTAATTATTTTATTATTGAATTTTTACTCTTTTTTTTTTTTTTTCCCCCTCTAATAAATTCTTTGTTATTTAACATTTTACTGGTGCTTATATTTTTAAATTGTTGCATGACACATTTTTGTCATCCTTTTTATTAGCTTTACTCCATCTTATTGCTGCTTTTTATCCCAGCATTCTGGATCAATACATTTTCCTTATTACTATTTATCACTAGTTTTGTTCAAAAACAAAATTAAGAATATGATTGTTTTTTTATACCAACATGTTTTCATATCAGAATCTAATCCATTATTTCCCAGACATGTGTCATAGTACATACAACACAGCTGAGCTATATTATAAGCTGAGATAGTAATTAGCCCAAAATAATGAATGTTATTTTTATAACATTTTAAAAGCTAAAATTACTTTTATTACTTCAGCCACCCATGATGAAAGAAGAAGAAAAACCTTGCCCTTTGAATTATTTACAGACTATGAATCCAAATTACAGTGCCAATGTTAGTCGAAAAACCAATTCTCTTTTATGCTTGAAATCAAATCTTGCAAATTCTAAGGAAAATGACCCAACAAGGCATTTACATAACCTAAATGAGAGGAAGAGAAGGTAAGTAAGAATAACAAAAATATCTTTCAAAATGCATTTTTAACATTTGCTTTCCTCTTTTCTAAATCATAAATTTTACTTGTGTATTGCCTAATTTTCAGTTGCCATTTAAATATACTGTAAATATTTATCAACTACTTACAGTCCTTTGCTTCTTATAGTAAATTGACTATGAATATTTATTACTATCTGTTTATATAACTCATGGTATTATAGGTAGGATTTATAAAACAGATATATCAATTTATTTGCACAAATAATGCCATATATAGTGACACAGCAAATACTACAAGCATGTATGGAAATGCCAAAATTTCCATTATACTCTTAGTTATAATCAGAGTATTTATTTTAATCAATTCACCCCAAGCAAGACAATAAGGCTACTAAGGCACAAGGGGCTACTGGGAGTGAGAGAGGATGAGAAGACTTTAGAAGGAACTGGAAACCCAATCCTAAGCAGAAGACAAGGGATAAACCTCTACTCCTGTCCAGAAGACCAGAGAGGAGTGTAAACTGGACAATAGGTGAACCTCTCTACTCCTATAGTTGGTATAGGATTTAACAATGTTCATCATTTAATAATTTTGTATTCTGCTAAATTTAGTCTAGAGGGTGGAAAGGTTTTAGTCATCCCTTGCAAAAGAATTTGTAATAGTCCACTCTTGGTTTGTATTGGTCTTAGTGCAAAAAAATGAAAGTTCTTCATAGTCTCTGACTGAATTAAAACTGAAATTTATGATTTGGCATTGGAATGTTGCAATTTTTTACCTAAATTTAATTTAAGCAAATGTTGACATTGACTTTACATATTGAGCATTAAAAATTAGGAATTTTCAATAGTTAGGAAATAATGCAAATATTACTGATAAAGTGATATCATGTGTATAATATAAATGCACAGCTAATTATTTTATGAAAGAAATACACTGTTAGATTCTATTATGTAAATCAATGTTTTCCCTATGAAACTGATATCAATCAATTGATTATATGAGCAATATATCATGTCTGCTTCTGTTATTGATATAAACCTTATTAAAAATATTGATAATAACTTGTTTTGTGTGTGTCATATTTTTTATAAAAAGAGCAACATGAATGTTTATTTATAAATAAATCCAAACAAGAGAGGCCACAGACACATATTTGATTAATACAATATCCTATATACCTGAATAAATTATTTTGCATGTTAATATGCACCCTTTGACATCATCATCAGTTATTGATTTTGCTAATTTTTCTATTGTTTTGACTTGAACATTTTTTGCAGCAGTTTTTATTATTTCCCTGATATCTCCTTTGCTGGAATATAGTTTCCCATTCTTATATACATCTCTCTTAATGATTAACCACAATTCTTCAGTTAGATTAATATTTGGAGAAGCTGGAGGCCTTTCCAATAATTTTTTTTTTTTTTTTTTAAACCATTTTTTGGATAAGTAATAGATGTGTGAGTAACAGAATGGTTCTCCGTGTAGATAGTGGAATTGATGAAGTGAATTAAAGTTTTGACCAAGTGTGTTGCATTCATTTAATACTAATGTTCTTGGAAAAGGTATGAATTTATCTCTTTTAACACCCTCCCTGTACACACACACACTCCAGGTATAGGTAGAGCAACAATGATTGTTAGTGGTCAAGAATTAAAAAATACATTACTGACAGAATAGAGCTATATGTATAATGTAAATGCATTGCTAATGATTTTTTCTATAGAAATGCGTTGAAAATAATTTTAATATAGAAATACAATGAAAATGATTTTACAATTGTATAGAAAATCGGGAATAAATGCAAACATTGATGACAGAACATGACTATTATAGATATAGTTTTAATAAATTGCTATGATATCTATATAGAAAATGAAGAAAAGTATTGTCAGTGGTCAGGAATTAATGCAAGCATTACTGACAGTATAGAACTATTATAGCTTTGATAAACATTTTATTCAGTTTCACTAAAAATTTCAAATTGATGCTTTGCCCAATTTTTGAACTGATCATTTTATTGCAAATCAGAAAAATATGTTTACTTCAAATCTTGCATAAGAGTTGAATGAAAACAAACCAACATCAAATTGAATCTTTCAGAGGCTGTTTACATTTGCCCATTGGGCAATATATACCATGTGATTTCACTTACAATCAATTTATTTAATTGACACAATTGATATGTAGCTGAACATTATCAAGGATCAAATGTTGGCATTGTTTCATACAGTTTTCTTTTATGCGCCTCCTCCATTTCTTGAGATTACCTTTGATATTACTTACTTGCCTTGGAAAATTATTTTTAAAATCCATTTGAAGAATATAACAAGAGTTAATGCTTGCATTCATTTCTGACCAATGACAATACCTTTCTTCCTGATTTTCAGTGAACAACATTCAGACTGAGTGTAAAAAATTGCAAGATTCGATGTTTAAATTCTTAAATTCTCCTGCTAACGTTACCATGATGATTTTCATTCATTCTGTATCTTGAGAACATCCTTCACCATTGCATCAAAACCAATACTTGCCAAAAGTTGATGATTAGAAATTCTTCTGGAAGAAGCAGAGATACAAAATACACCCTTTGTAACACGTGGACACATCTTTCAAGTGAATATATTGCATAAGAACATAAAATACTTTCTTCAGAATAAATGCTGAATACTTGTTTTGTTGTATTCTGGATGTTATCTTATTTTTCTATTTCCTTTTAAGATATTACAATATATCCACTGAAGCTTTTTAAAGTTAACAACAGGAAAGATGTATTGCTAAGTAAATCACACATACTTAGGTAGCCTTATGTGTTCTAGTAAGTAGTCTGGCAAAACCTTTGTTGAACATGAAAATTTTATATATAGGTTTTTGATTTGTATAGTTGAAAGTGTTCTCTTTCAGAAGCTGCAAGGTGAATTTTGTTCACCTTGAGAATTTGGAGAAACTAAAGATTGTGTCCAAGATGGTAGTCATTACATATTATTTGGTAAAAGTTCTTTATATCCAACTTAGAATGTAACTGATTGTATTGTAACAGAAACCTTTGCATATTTCTTTTTATTTGGTTACCAAACACATAATTACATGAGTGGTTGCCCTTAGTTGAGTTGGTTGAGTATTATTTGCATGTATCAAATAATCCCTTCTAATCCTCACTATATATATATATATATATATATATATGATTTATAATGTATCAAATTTTTTGTGCTTGCCATGACCCACTTTATTTTACCTGAAATTTGAAAGCATATTTTCTCACTTGAAAGATTGGTTATGGTTACCTGTTCAAATTTATTCTAAATTGAGATGAAATAATATGGGACAAACTTAAATACTGAAAAGAAAAACCTATATTCTGTCCAGAAATTATAAGAAGACTCTGAAAATACCTGGTTTCTTGTTGAATTATGTGTTCGTATTCAGATGATTATAGTGTAAATGAGTTGCAGATGAATTTCTAAAAGTGTTTTATTCTTTAATTGTCAAATGAATTAGATTTTGTAATTAAAATTAATTTCTCTGTGTCCAGCAACTATAATGCACTTTTCTTTCATTCTAATGCTGAAGAACTCTTTAAAAGATTCTCTGAAAATGATGAAAGGTTCTTTTGTTTTTGTCAGAAAAAAAGCATTCTTTTAGCAAAACTGAGTGTTGATGGTACTCCAAGCTCCCTCTAGATGTTGCAAAGCCTTTTCTGACAAAATTTAGGAAACTTTTTATCACCATGATCTGCAACTTTAAAAGGAATGCTGATGCTTATGGTGAATTAGAAAGGAGCTTGCATGTAGATGAAGATTTCTGAACAGACTAGGTGATGAATTGTAAGAGATACTATAGAAAGAATTGATCCTAAAAGGGCATCCTTATCTGCAGAAGGTGATCTGGATAGATGGAAAGTGTTACAATCTACAACATCTTTTTCTTTATTTTTTTGTATGACAAAAAAGGTAGCTCATAAGTTTTGCAGGTAAAAGAAGTATATAATAATGTTGTGTAGGAAACCTACCACCCCTCTTGAAGATGAACTTGTCTACAAACAAAGACGTTAAATAGTGGCATGTCAAAAGACAGACAGAGTCGGAGAAGTTCTTGGCTGAGCTAGTTATAGACTACTCAGGCGATTTCTGTACCTTCTTACCAACCTAATAAACCCCTTTTTATTGTTACGTGTTATTTGGCGTTTGTCTTTACTAACCCCAAATCAACATCATAACAGTAGCGATGAGAGATTCATTCATCACGCTGAGTGGAGAATTTTTCAACTCTAGGTGGACTATATAATTTTTTTTCTCGCACTGAAAGAAAAAAAAAAACAATGCGTCGAACTTTGTTCTTCACGATGAAATAGGATTTCAACGTGCCAAAAAGAAGTAAGACTTGTGCTTATGGTTGGATATATACATGTTTTTCCCTTTTTTGACTGTTTTCGAAAAGTGTTTTGTGTAATCTATTACGCATAATAGAAGATTTGATTGCATTAACGAAAACTCTAGTGCAAAGTCAAATTCAGGAACAAGAGCAACAAAAATTGTTTCGGGAACAACTATTGGATTTACAAGTTCAGCAGCAAAATGACACAAAGGCTTTATATGAAGCAATTTTACTTAAGAATCCAGTAAATTCGTCATTCACGGCCGAAGGTATTGCTAATTCTATTACTGAGTTTAAATTTAACCCAGAGGAGGGAATAACATTTCCTGCATATTTCAGAAGATTTGAAACAATATTTGAAAAAAAATGTGAAGGTTGGACTGATGAACAAAAAGTGAGTTTACTCTTACAAAAGTTGGGTACAGATGAAAATAATAAGTATACGAATTTTGTCCTTCCAAGAAAAACTAGTGACATTTCTTTCGAAGAAACTGTTAATACTTTATCTAGTATTTTTGGCGAGCGAGTTAGTTTGTTTCATACTCGTTTCTCGTGTTTGAATATGGTAAAGCGTGACGATGAGGATGTTGTTACGTATGCTGGAAATGTTAACAGAATGTATGAACGTCTTATGTTACAATTGATCGATTTAAATGTTTGATATTTGTTCAAGGGTTGACTTCTAGCAAAGATAAGGACATAAGGTCCCGAATATTGGCAAAACTCGAACAAAATTCCGAGATTACTTTGCAGAAGGTTACGGAAGAGTGTCAAAGAATTGAAAACTTAAAACATGACAATACGCAAATGGAAGAAAAAGACGTATCCTGTGTCCATGCTATTCGTCCAAAAAAGAGAATAGTTAATAAAAACGTTAAAAAACCAACGTGCTTTGGATGCGGTGGTGGTCATTTTAAAAGTGAATGTTTTTTTCACAATAAAAAGTGCTATTCGTGTGGCAATAAAGGCCATATAAGTACTCATTGTAAAAGCAAAAGAAAAAAATGTAAGTCGAAAAAAGATGTGAATATTGTATTGTCACGTCAGGAGATTAAGGTGGGGCAGAAAAGAAAATTCGTACAGGTAAAAATTAATGGAAAAAATGTTAAACTACAGCTAGATACTGGAAGTGATATTTCCATTATTAATACAGCAACATGGATTAAAAATAGGCAGACCTTTGCTTAAAAAAAGACTGAAAAAAGTGGCTCATGGGATTTCTGGAAGAAAAATTGCATTTTCAAGGTGAATTTTCTTGTAATATTTCATTTGTTGGTAAGACACTAAAGTCTAAAGTGTATGTGCTACAAAATGCTTCAAATTTGTTTGGAACAGATTGGATTATACTGTTTAATTTATGGGAACTCCTATAAATTCTTTTTGCAATAGAGTTAATGTTTCTTCTCAATGTAAAAATCGGGTTACAGAAAATTTGTTGAAAGATCTGAAAATAAAATTTCCACAAGTATTTTCAGAAGGTCTTGGATGTTGCAAAAGGCGAAGGCAAAATTTGAAGTGAAAGAAAATGTAAAACCTATTTTCAAGCGAAAAAAGAAATGTGCCATTTGGTGTTGTGGAACAGATTAACAAAAGAATTGGAACGGCTTGAAAATTTAGGAGTTATTTCATGCATTGAATTTTCAGAGTGGGCCTGCCCTGTTGTATATGTTAAGAAAAAAATAATAAAATTCGGATGTGTGCCAATTTCTTTACGGGTCTAAATGATTGCTTAAAAGACCACACATATTCTTTTGCCTTCACCAGAAGACATTTTTTGCAAGTTTAAATGAAGGAAAATATTCTCTAAATTGGATTTATCGGATGCCTATCCCAAGTGAAAGTGGATGAAGAATGTTCTAAATTGTTGACTATCAATACACACAAGGGTTTATACAAATTTAACCATTTGCCTTTTGGTTTGAAAGTATCCCTAGTATTTTCAGCAAATTATGGACACTGCGCTGGCAGGGTTGGACTTCGCCATTGCATATCTTGATGATGTTTTGATAAAAAGTAAAGATCGAAATGAACATTTGGAACATATTAATAAGGTTTTTGAAAAAAATTGAAGAATATGGATTCAAACTTGAAGCTGAAAAATGTGAATTTTTATGAGTGAAATTAAGTTTTTGGGGCAGATAATAGACTCTGATGGAAGAAGACCAGATCCGGCGAGGGGAGAAGCGATCAAAAGCATGCCAACTCCAAAAAATGTAGTAACGCTACAAGCGTTCTTAGGACTTACTAACTATTATGGGATATATATTCCTAATTTGTGCAGCCTTATGGCTCCATTAAATAAATTGCTAAAAAAGGAGCAAAGTGGGAATGGTCAGAAGTGTGTCAGAAGGCGTTTGACAAAATAAAGAATATTTTGATGTCGGAATTATCACTAACACATTATGACCCTAAACAGGAAATTATAGTGGCATCGGACGATAAGAAAGTATGGAATATGTGCGGTAATTTTGCATAAATTCAGAGATGGCAATGCAAGCCAGTGGCACATGCATCAAGGACATTATTACCCGCAGAAAAGAAGTCTCAAATTGAGAAAGAAAGCTTCAGCTATCATCTATGTAAAAAAATTCCATAAGTACATACATGGAAGAAGGTTTATATTGCAGACCGACCATCGCCGCTGCTTTCAATCTATGGTTCGAAGAAGGGTATACCTACTCATACGGCAAACCGTTTGCAACGATGGGGGAATCATTTTGTTGAATTATAATTTCAAAATGGAATTTTTATCGTCTAAAAATTAAGCCATGCTGATGGTTTATCTAGACTGATCCCAACGTCTTCGGAACCGCCAGAAGATACGGTGATAAGCGTCGTTACAAGCAGAAAATGAATTGGTGGAAGTAATGCATAACACACAAAAAAGAATTACGGTGACATTAGATGAAATAAAATTAAAATCAGAAAATGACATTTTTATTAAAAAAATGAAAGAAGTTGTAACTTCAGAAAAGTATAAAACTTCTTCACCAGCATATTGAATATGTGATGAAGTGCTGTTATATGCTGAAGGGTCGGATGCGGTTTGTACTACAAAAGCGGATGTTGAAGGAATTTCATCAGGGGCATCCTGGTATTGGACGTATGAAAGCCCTGATGAGGAGTTACGCTTATTGGCCAAATATGGACAAAGACATTGAACAGGTAGTTAAAACTTGTAGAGGGTGTCAAATGGCAGCTTAAAGCACCGCCAGTAAAATACACACCATGGCCAAAAACAGATGTTCCATGGACCAGACTCCACATAGATTATGCTGGACCTATGAATGGTAATTTTTACTTGATAGTTGTGGATAGCTATTCCAAGTGGCCTGAGGTTTTAAGTACAAAAAAAACCAACTGCTTCTGTAACAAAAGATTTTCTTACAGAACTGTTTGCATGGTTTGGAGTACCAGAAAAAATTGTCACAGACAATGGAACTCAATTCACAGGAAGTGAATTTAAGACGTTTTGTAAGACTCTGGGAATTGACCACATCACGACTTCACTGTACCATCCTAGGTCAAATGGACAGGCTGAACGGTTTGTTGATACGTTCAAGAGAGCCCTTAAAAAAAACAAATGGTACTAATACAGATGATGGTAATATACAGCAGTTTTAAGTATATACAGAATAACACCAAATCCAAACGCAATAAAGAAAAAAAGAGTTACCAGAACAAAACGCATCAGGAAAATATGAAATATTTCAGGCCGGGAGATAAAGTTTTTTTAAAAATTACAAAATGGGAAGGAATTTTGGCAAGATGGAGTGGTAACGCAAAGAATTGGTAAAATGTTGTACATGATAAGAAGTATAAAATGGACGCACAAAAGACATTTGAACCAATTAAGGAGAAGAAACATTGAAGAAATGAGTAAAGAAAAGAAAGAACCAATGGAGGTATTATATGATTTATTCGATATACCAACTCCACCATTGCCTGAAACAGTTGTCCAAAGAAGGACAAGCAAAAGAAAAAGAACGAGGGTGGAACGTTTAAGTCCAGATCCCAAAAGGGAAAGATATTAATTCCTCCAGAATTAATCACAAGGGGGAGGTGTTGTGTAGGAAACCTACCACCCCTCTTGAAGATGAACTTGTCTACAAACAAAGACGTTAAATAGTGGCATGTCAAAAGACAGACAGTCGGAGAAATTCTAGGCTGAGCTAGTTATTGACTACTCAGGCGATTTCTGTACCTACTTACCAACCTAATAAACCCCTTTTTATTGTTACGTGTTATTTAGCGTTTGTCTTTACTAACCCTAAATCAACATCATAACAAATAAGTATGAACTTTTTGCTAAATATTTTAATAAAAACTTGTACGCTTTTTATATTTACTGGACATGAGTTTTTTCATCCTTTTTATAAAAAGTGAAGAAGAAAAATTTACATTCATACTGAAAATACTTAAAAATGACTTGAGAATATTTTTATAAAAATTTTATCTCATTTTTAAATAAATTCCATTAAAATTTTTTTTTAAATTCAGTGTTTTCATGATTTCTGGACAGTTTGTTAGCAATCATTTGAATTCAAATTTGAATATGGAGTCCCATATCTTTATTAGAAAAAATCCGGGAAACGTAAGATTGGCAGAACAAACTTTTATAGTATTAATGCTATATCTTTGGTATTAAAACCCTGAGGTCTTGTATGATTCAATAAAAAATATGAAAACTGTCAAAGTGTAAGTATTCCTCTAACAAATACAAGAAAATAATTTTAGATTTTAGCTTCTTGCAATTCTTTATTATTTATTAAAATTATTTATTAGATAACAACCACATGAATCTTTTGTTTCATGCACTGAAAGCACCTTTGGAAATATAACAGGTACTCTGTATGTTGAAAGGTTCATTTTGACACTATTAGGTACTGAAAAAAATCATTTAATTTAAGGTATTGAGATTTGATTTCACAATAACATTTTTATCTATATTTCCCTCTTTAAAGAATTTATTTTGTTCTTTATCTCTTTCCACTTATTCTATACTGTGAATTAATTTTTCTTTTTTTAATATTAAATTATTGTAGGAGAAAAAAAAATGATGATGAGGGGGGCATCAAAAGTGCATTGTGTCGCTCGTCAGCAGGCCAGCTATTATTTTTTTCTTTCGGTTGCCTCAAGGAAATGAATTGCGTGACTCACTTTCTCAGCCGTTACATTGGGCAGTTGTGAAACAGACACCAACTCAGCTGCGCCTACTTTGACTTCCTCTTTGTCTGTCAATCCATACGTCCAACTCGCACACGCAGTCCGCCAAATGACTCCCTGACGCTTGGTGCTGCTGGCACCCAGCTTTTTATGCTATTTCAAGATGGCCAAAATTTGCACGTGTGCAAATATTGTCTTGTTTTGGATGAGATATGTGCGTATAAATTGTCTTCAATAGTGGCCATATTTCTTTTTGTCATCACTTTGCAGGCAAGACACGTTCGCGCTTGTTTCGAATCCTGAGGTAAGTCATGTTTGCGTCACAATTATAACCAATGCTGTTGTATTTCCCCTTTATATTTCAGAGCCCGCATTACAATAGCTTGTGATTTTATGAGAAAGCTGGTGCCAGGCCTTTCAGACAAGACAGACAAAGCCACAGTTTTTGAATATGCTGCCCGTTATATCCACTTCCTAAATGCCCAGGTTGGGAAAGAATATGATGCAGTAAGTATTATACTTATATTTATTTGTTTTTAATTTTAACATGTTTACAGTTGATACATTCTTCAGTCTTTCCCAAACATACTTTACTACTATTGATTCATTCCCATTCAGCTTTGCAATGATAGTAAATATAAAAATGCCAGAATCTTTAATTTTATGTAAAACAGTTCAAATGGAAGATAATATACAATATAGTTAGATCACTATTGCTACTTCAATGGTAAATGTTCAGGTGAGTTAGATTCATTAGTGCCACCAGTTCAGGTAAGACTCATTTTGTTATGTTCACAGGGTTAAATGACCTTCTTTCCCTAGATATTGCTTTGGTAAGATGAAGGATGTTCACTCTGAAAGCTTCTTCCCAAAGAATGCTACTTTGTGGAACAGACTCCTGTATGGATGCTTCCCCAAATACTACAATCTTCACCTCTTCAGTACTAGTGTCAACTGTTATCTGCCATATTCTTGTAATCCTCACTTCCTACTTCTTCCTCTTAGGTTCATATCACACTCCTAATTCAATAACCCTCTACCTTGAGAGGCTCTTGGACATTATATTGGGTGAACTTAAAAAAAAAAGAATTTTTTTCATCATGTTTTCATCTGTTATTCTGTAAATGAAATGCTGTTTTAGTTCTGACTTAATGTTGCTTTCTTTTTCAGAATTTTCTGGTGAAATACTGCAATTACTGATTGGTTGAAAATTCTCACTGCATTTCTATTTTGTCCAGTGCACATAACATCAGTTTCTTATGGAGAAAGTTTGGTTCTGGATTCACAACTATTAAAGATGTCTTTCTTTATAAACAATAGCAGGAAAAATTAGAAGCATCAGCAGCATGTCAAACTGAATGTTCAAAGTTCAATTGAAGAAAAAAATTTTAAATTATTTGTAGCTGTCTCTATGCTATGTTGATTATCTTTCTACAAGTTATTCAGTAATTTCATGTTATATCATCACTCATAAAAATATTGACAGAAAAGCCCATAGGAATTAAACAGGAAAATTCAACTTTTGACTGCAGTCTTTTATTAAAATTCTATGCATTATATATTGTAATAGCATAGTACCCATAAATAATGATAAATAATATGTATGCATGTATTAGCACCTTTTGATTTGGTTCAATATATCTGTGCACTCTTTCTAGGGTCAAAGTTTAGTATCTGTGCATTTTAAGAAAAGTACTACATGAACATGCACATATGTGGATAAACATTGCACTTTATATTTGTGGATTGTTTCCTTATATTTTATTTGAAATATTTTATATTAGTTTCAATAATCATATCGAAAATAAGGTATTAAAATCAGATGTAACATATATTTATTTTTGCTTTTGCAAACTTGTTTCAAATTGAATCTCAAAATCCAACAACCTGTGACATTGAAACTATAATTTATCCTGGCTTTAAAATAATGTTTACTTCATACCTATATTTAGAACAAGTTAGTCCAATAAGTAGTGATTTTATCAACTGACTCAACATATTTGCAAGAAATTTGGGAACAGATTATCTCCCATATTAATGGCATACGGAACATCTAATCTTTCCTAGTATTTGGAGCTACTTTGTTAAAACTTTGCTTTTCTATCTCATTGCTGCAATAAGTTTGTGTTTAGTAACTATGGATTCATTGCAAAAACTGCTGGTCAAACTCCTGGTGGTCCTTTCTGAAATGACACTTGATGCTTCTCAGCAGTTCTGTGTGTGGAGAATTAAAATGTCTTTCATACTCAGGTTGCCATGCTTTTTTTTTTGCTGTGTTCAATAGAAGACTAATAAAAAAAAAAAAAGATACTACATTTCTGCTGAAATTCATTTATCTTTACTAGCTTAATGCTGTAGAAGTTAAAAAAACAAACACTCCAAGAAACATGGTTAGTGAGGATAGGTATATCTGTTGTTGTTAGTGGCTACTAATAGTAACTTTTTAATTAATAAATAAAAGTATTTAATAACAATTACAATAGTCTCACCTTATCTGCAGGAGATACAGCCTATGATGCTTAGTGGATGCCTGAAACTGCAGATAGTACCAAACCTTATATAATGTTTTTCTTACATACCTATGATAAAATTTTAATTTATGAATTAGGCACAATAAGAGATTATAAACAATAAAATAAAACAATTATAATTATATACTGTAATATAAGTTATATGACAGAAGATTCATTCTAACTAGCAATTTCAGCATATGAATGTTTTTCTTATTGAGAACTTTTACCTTTTTATTTAAAGGAAGCACTTTGATTTTTCTTTAGTATATCCAGATTGTTACTTTAACTTGTTTTGTGGTTTGAGGCCATTATTAAGTAAAACGTAAATTATTTTTCTAGGGTTAACAGATAATTGAACCATAGAAAATAAAACAATGAATAAGGGGAGACTACTCTGACTAAATGTGTGATAGAATTGAAATAAAAACTAATTCGTTCAGCATATTTTTGTTATCAAGCGTACTTTTAAACGATATTTGAGGTGTAAGAAACTATAAATAAAATTTGATAGATGCTTGTTTTCCTCTTGTCTAAATATTTGATAAGTACCTGTTGGAAAGAAGCCTTTTGAAAATGGTAGAAAGGATTCATATGACGGGCATGTGAGGTCATGCAGTGTTGTAAAAATGTAATGTGTGCTGAACGGTTTTTAGATAATTTTTGTTGCATAACTTTAAATTGAAAGCTGCTGGTCTCTGTGGTGACAATTTAGTTTGGTTGTAGAAACAAATGAAAACTATTAGTCGATTTTTTTTCTCTCTCTAAACTGGAATAAAAGCTTGAATTTGCCAAGTAATACTTTCCATGTAACAAAAAATAAAATAAAACAAATATTCCTTTAAAGTGATAAATTGAGAGATAGCCAAAAAGTACATTCTGGGAATATTATTATTATTATTATTTCTTTTTGGTGAAAGTTGGACACTTTAATTTTTTTTAAAAATTCTTTAAAATAAGTTGGGAAAAAGAAAAAAAAACTGAAAATTTGTCTCTACCCAGCAAAAAATAAACCCTTGTCAAGTGATTTTTTTTTTTTCCTGTTTTAAAAATAAAACAATTTTTTTTCATTTTTCTTAAAGATTCTAAAAAAATAAAATCCTTTATAATTAGAATAAAGATAAAATAATAAAAATAAGTTTGTGATTTTGTCCAAAATATGTCCTCATTTATTTCATTTATTGTCTATACTTTTTATCAGTAAAATGAATTCTCATGAAAAGTAATCATAAAAAACTTTAAAAAATATAAATAAAATTGTTCAAAAATCTAGTTTCAGTGATTGTAAGAGAATAAAAGTCATGATGTAACACTGCTGTTGAATAAATAAATCTGTGAAATTTTGGTTTGTTATGTTTTATCCCAATGAAACTGATTATTAATCTTGCATTAGTCACATGGGATGTTTTGTTACTCCAACATTTTTAAAGCACTTGTAATTCCTAGCTGGCCACTTGTTTTTTTTTTTTTTTTTTTTTTCCTCCCTTAAACTAATCTCATGACTCAGAGTGTGTAGCATGCAGTGTAGTTTGGTTGTCATGGGAAGCAGATGCCAGGGTACTATCAATTTTCAGAAATCTGGGGTGGTGATTTGAATTGTGCTTATTTTTCACTTTACAGTTTGTTAAAACTTCAGCAATTTGAATAATTTTCATATACAGGGTTTTCAATAATTAGTTCCTAATATTAAATTGTATATAGGAGGGTTGAAAAGTTTTTGGTCTAACCAAGAAGAAATTGATTGATTCATTTTCTATAGCTTATCAACCCTTTACAGATTCTTTAAAGCCAGAAAATATTTTTAGATTGTAAGAATTTTTTTTTTTTTTTTTTAGATAATGGTCTAGTAATAAGTCTTACTAATTGACTCATGGCTGGGAGGAGAAGAGGTAGATTCATAGCTTTCTCAAGGGTATTTGCACATAAATGAAAATAATCAACCCAATGGGAATTGGAATTCAGCTCTCCAATTAATAATTCTGAGCCATTATCCATTACACCACCTGCACATCCAAGGTTACAGCACCTGGTATGCCCAAACAGTCACCCATCTAGGTACTGACCAGGCTTGATATTGCTTAACTTTGGTGACAAGATATTGAAAAAAAAATCCAGTGTTTGGTCATCTGGCTTTTTGAAAGTGGTTCAGGTCAAGAACTTGTCTGTACCTTCTTATATAAAATGCAAGTTATACAATATACCCACTTTTTGATAAAACATCCTATAGAATTTTTTCCCAACATATTTAATCTTTTAATAATATCAACATTGTCAAACAAACCATATCAGGTAACCTGATAGGATTTCTCAAAGAAATATCTTCATACTTACATTTGCTTTAATATTTAGATAGGGAGTGACTACAATAAATTCTGATGGTAGGGGAAAGAAAATGAAACAATAATCAGAGTTGTAGTTTAGGACCAAATTTATTTGAACTTGGTATCCAAAGGTCAAGGAAGTGCAGGTAATGGTTATTGATTTGGAAAGAGAAACCAGTGAGTTGAGTTCAAACTCTCACTGAGGTTGATGTGTTCATTTTCACAGAAACTCTTGGGAAAGGTATGAATCCAGCTCTTCTCCCCTTAGCTATGGGTTAAATAGCAGAGCTGATGGGACTCTTACTTTGAGGTAGCAAACCGTCTGAAAGAAAAAATTGGATTTAAAACCAGCTTGAACTTGTGAGGTTGTCTTGCCCAAGACATACCACTACTGCTATGGCTGCAGTACACATGTTTCTATGAGTAATGTTAATATTTAAAAACAAAAGCTGAGGTGCAGTTGAAATTAATGAAGACTATTATTCTCATTTTCACTAAGCAGATTATAATTGTTACTTTACAAGGCATTTTAATCCTTCTTGCTTGGAAGATACTTTCTGAACAGTCCTTGGAGACTTCATTTTTTTTTTTTTTTGTTTCATCAATTTTATTGGATTGCATCCTAAACATGTTCAGTTTGTTAAAGTTCTGCAAAATCACCTTCAGTGAATCATCATTACCAAAATTTTATCTGAGCTTTACTTACTGAATTATTCCTGAAAGTCTTAATCTTTTGAAAAATTCCTGCAGATGAATATCCAATTTTTGAGGAAAACTTGATCCATATTTGCTGAATACGATAATCAAAATAAATAACCAAATGTTCCCTAACAACAGGAGAGTGTCTAGTTATACATTTACAGTGAGGCCCATTTCTGACCGGCTTCCAAGTTATATCAAGACTATACAGCTGTTTCTTGAGATATTCAAAATGGTCGGATATGTTCTAGATAGACTTTGTATGTGAACGTAAGACAGTTGAAATAAGTGTACTACCATTATTTAATTAAATGCAATATAATTTATTTCAACTATTATGTAATATCAATTCTATATGGTAGTGAATGCTGGACAATTTCCACACAGATGAAGATAAGACTGATATTTATTCTAAAGGAAAAGAACAAATTGTGGCATGAGGCCAATAAAGGGGATTATTATTGAACTGGTCAACACTAACTATCTTATACCTAGCTAATCAGATTAGACCCAAAGATCTACATTACATTTTACTCATTCACCAAAAGAACTCGTCCATCACCAAACAAGCCTTCAACCATTTAATTTATAATATCACGTGCTCTCAAGGGAGACCTACCAAAATCAGAAAATGCCATAAAAAATTTTAATGATTTATATATACAATTCT